GATACCCAGTAGGCTACTATTGGTCAGTTTTTAAATGATGGTATTTTCTTATTGAACTCATTTATATCAGATAAGGATCCGTCTCTCCATTATAAGGTCCGTGGGTTCACTTGCAGGACAGAACCAGAGGACCTGGCAAGGAACAGCAGGTTCAGATGAGATGAAAAAACTGAGCCCATGTACACCTTGGCGTGCATGTAAAAGGACCGTTGATGGTTGGAATTATATGAGAAGAGGAGGTGGAATATTTAAACTTCGTGTAGATGTTCATTAGGCGAATCTGAGTTAACTGATTACCATTATCCGCCAAAGCTAAGCAGGATTGAGCAATTTCAATTGATTCTAACTGATGGAGAGTGATGAAACTTAAATTGTAACATGGACGGGAAATCTTCCTTTGTACAATTGTGGTACACGAATCATGTACCATAATGCGTTCCAGTACAATTTGTAACAAGGGACTCGAAGAACGAAATGAAATGGGGTTTAACGCCCTACTGTTTGCTCCAATACTTGGCTAATGAAGACGGCCATACGCTATACTGTGTGCTAAGAGGAGAATTTTCCTCGGGCAGTGGCACTATGGCCTATTCTTATATCGAATTCTAACTGCCAAGGGATCTTTTACGGGACCTTGGTTTTTCGTACCATCCGAACAACTAGACAGCTGTCCTTGTCGGGCCCTCCGTCCTGCACCACTGACAAGTGAAAACCACGTCCACAAGGCATGTCAAACGGTGACGTCCACTGATCTAGATAGATCAGTGGTGACGCCATATTCTTATCTGGAGAGAATGCACTATAAATACTTAGAATACTACCACAGAGCAGACTGGAATAACCAGACTCTAGAGATTGCCATGCGATTGAAACTTTCGTGTATAATTCTGCCGAATATAACTATTTAAAATTATAGTAAAAAACGGAAGCGATTGAATGTAGGCTAAATCAGTTTATATACATTACATTACATTGGTATATGCGTTGCTACCCATTTGTGTCAATTTCTATGGAAGGATAACGTTAACAATATTATTTCAATGTTCACTGTACAAACTGCATATGTCAGCAGTTCAAAAAACGTATATTAGTTTTACAATTTGCAATTTCCATTTCTCCACAATACCAAAGTTACAGTGTTAAAATATAGAATACACCTTTCAATAATACAAAATACAGTATAATAATTATTTTGAACATTGCACTTCTGTATTTTGCATTATAGACAAATGCATAGGCCTAATAGAACTTAGCATATTAGAACATATACCTTATATATGGGATCTCCGACGAAGCTCATTTGCATACGGAAAAGAGTCTGGACTATGGCGGAAATTAATAATTTACGTGATTAATCTACAAGGTCAACGTATGTAGAAGGGACAGAGATCAAGCTGGCATACAATATGTCACCATACAATAAGTCGGCTTACTATGCAACGGGCGAATCAAGCTAGCATGCGCTAGATAAGCCCCACATTTTTACTTCATACCACCCCCAACCCAACCGCAACCCTTCACTTCAACTTTAATCCTTTCTTTTTTCAAAGTAGGGATCCACGGTGGCTACGTGGGTAAGACGTTAGCTCGCTAGCCTGGATGTTGCGTGTTCGATCCCTGCATTGGCCGAGAAAGTTCATCGGAATTTCCGACGTGGTTTCACCTTGTCAGTAGTGTAGGAGGGAGGGCCTGACCGGGATAGCTGTCTAGTCGTTCGAATGGGATGAACAACCTAGGGCCCGTGGATACATTGGCGTGCAGGAAAAGGGGTCCCTTGGCAGTTGGTATTCGATATAAGAGTAGGCCTAGGCCATAGTACCGCTGCCCAGGCAAAATTTCCCTCATAGCACACTGTATGGCGTATGCCTGTCTTCATTATCCCGGTCGAAGCAGAACAGTAGGACGTTAAACCCCATTTCACTTTTTCAAAGAATATAAATGTGCTAGAAAATTATTTGAAAAGAGAAATGAACGTGCTTTTTAGTGATAAGTAACATGATATCTGGAATTCGAATTAAGACAGGTATGTTTACCTTAAATACCCCCACCACCGTCATTTAATAGAGTTTCGTACCACCCGACTATTATAGTTTGTTTTCCCTTGTTAGTGATGCAGGAGGGCCTGAAAAGGACAACTGTCTAATCGTTCGGATGGTACGAAAAAACGAGGTCCCATGTGCACGTAAAAGATCCCTTGGCAAATGGAATTCGATACAATAGTAGGCCGTATACAGCGCAGCTGTCCGGGCAGATTTTCCCTCATAGCACACTGCATGGCGTATTCCCGTTTTCATCAGCCCAGTCGAAGCAGAACAGTAAAATCCCATTTAATTTCTGTAAATATGAGTACCGCTCCCTTATACTCAAAAGGTAGATCACGTAAATTTTTAAATTCCGTCCTAGTCCGGACTTTTTTCCATATGCAAATGAGCTTTGTCGTAGATCCCATAATAATATGCTAAGTTCTATTATGCATTTGTCTATAATGCAAAATGCAGAATGGAGAAGTGCAATGTGCAAAATAACTATTATACCGTATTTTGTATTATTAAAAAGTGTATTCTGTATTTCAACACTGTGACAATAGAAAATGCAAATTGTAAAACTAAAATACGTATTTTGAACTGCTGACTTATGCATTTTGCACCGTAAACAATGAAATAATACTGGCAACGTTATACTTCCATAAATTTCTAGTTACCAGATATTGGCGATATAGCTCCTTTAATGTATAGTTTCACTAACAGGTACTTCAAAACATTGGTTCAGTTCTATCGTGAACATTTTCTGCTTAGAATGTTTTTAGGTTAATCTTTATAACACCATTTTAGATAGTTGCTGACAATTTCAAGAAAATTCAATTTGGGAATTTATTCCATCTAATCTATTTTGATAATATATTCACAGAAATGTATTCGCAGTATCGGCCTGATGTGTGCATTTGACGGGCTAGATCTATTTGTTAAGGCCAACTCAATTTTAGTTAAGGAAATGAAATGAAATGAAATGGGGTTTAACGTCCTACTGTTTTGCCCCGAGCTGGGCAAATGAAGACGGGCATACGCCATACAGGGAAATTTTGCCCGGACAGCGGCACTACGGCCTAGGGCCTACTCTTATATCGAATTCCAACTGTCAAGGGATCTTTTACGTGCACGCCAATGTGTACACATAAACTCGGTTTTTCGTCCCATCCGAACGACTAGACAGCTTTCCTTGTCAGCTCCTCCGTCCTGCATCACTGACATGGGAGAACCACGCCGGAAAATCTGGATGAACTTTCTCGGCCAATGCAGGGATCTTTTAGTTAAGGTGACTGAGATGTAAATAAGGTTAGGGAATGTGATTGTTGGCGAGATTGTAGGTTAGGGTTAGCGCTATCCCTGTTCACATCTTGTGACCATTGTCCAAACTTGGCCTGAATTGTAATGTGACGGAATGAAATTGAAAGAACAGTAACTGTGAAAATACAATAAATCGTTTGAATTTAAGTGTTTATTGGTCACACGGTGTGTAGTGTGGTTAAATCCCAATAATTCAATTCAAAAAAGAAAAAGAATTATAACAAGTATAACAAAAGCGTGGGTGTTACATAAAATATACAATAAATAAAAGAAAAAAATCTTACATGAAATATAGTAGTGAAGTTCCTCGATTAACTCGCGATGCACATTTCGGAGTGGTATCCTTTATCAAGCGATGCAAAATGCATAAGTCAGCAGTTCAAAATACGTATTTTAGTTTTACAATTTGCATTTTCTATTGTCACAGTGTTGAAATACAGAATACACTTTTTAATAATACAATCATTACTTTCAAAGAAAGGATGACACCCACGGATGTAAATGCATGACCGAACCACGACTGTCATATTGAAACTTGTTTTTTAAAATCTTTTTTTCTTCGATCGGCTGCTTCCCTTGTTTTCAAGTTAAATGGTGATCCATTAGAAGGAACATTTTGAGTAAATGTATCATTGATACGGATTCGAAATGTAATATTTACTACCCTATGTTGTTTAATCAATTTTAGACACATTAATTTCCAGTCGTATCAAACATCATTGATAGGGACCTGCCATTTTATTGATTCCGAAATTATTTGTTAAACAAAATAAGAGGGGGGAGGGTGCGTAGGGGACTTTCGGAGTGTGTTCATAGCTGAAGGCAATACTGGGCCTATTTTTAATCATCTAGGCCCCGATCCCATTAGTGATGCCAAACGGATGAATACGCGATAAGGTCAATAACAGCTGCAAATCGCTTTCTTCACCTCATAAAAAAACCTCCCCTGCACTTATTGGGATGGCGTGCTACACCAATGCAGTGATTTTCTGTGATCTGATTTGAGGTTTTATATAATCCCCTTCCCACTCTAATAAAATAAATTGGAAATCTTCTGAAATCGCTTCTAAACTATCGCTTCAGTAATCTACAAGTATTGGTGGGTGTCGTACACGAGGCAATGCATGCTTGTTCGATACCTACCGACACCACTTCTTATTCAAGGAATTAACATAGCTGACTCACTTTTGTCCTGCTATTATAATTCTAGATTTTTTGAATATAATACCAATAATTCAATTTTGGGCGCAAAATGTTTCATTATTTTGAGAAAACGAATAATTAATCAACACTTTCCTATTATCTCTTTTGACGAGTCTTATTGTATCTTATCTGATGTAATGAGTGTAATGAGTACAGCTGTATTTTTGTGACTTGTAGAAAGAGACTATGCCAATAAGTCGACATCTCGACGTTAGGATAAAAATAACACGATGATACGACAGAGTTAAGTGTCGTATGATTGCGCCAATACTGTCGTGATGTCGTGTTGTCGCGTTATGAAAAGGGCGAGATTTAACATGGCCACTATCAGCCACCATAGCTATGAACTTTTCAGTAGACACCAGTAAATACTCAGTTGGGATCACGTGGTTTTGCACATTTTCTTAGTATGGCGTTCAAAATTTCGCGGCACACTGGTTGAGAATCACTGGGGTTTAGCAAGATAGGATAACTCTTGTCAAACATCCGCAAATATAAAGTGGAGATGTTCCAAGTCCATTACAAAACACACAAGGTGATCTTTAATACACATACAGGACGTGGCCTTGGACAAAACGCATGGTATGTATGGTTCGGCTATTTTCAGGACACGTAAAGTACATGTACACAAGTATCCAATATAGTATCACCGTTTATGTGTAGAGAAAATAATGGAACGTTAATGCATCAATGCTGGTTTATTTCTTTGCTTGAACTTCAACTTGAACACTGAATGTTTTAGATCCCGGCACTGAGGTCGTACCAGGACAGTAGGTTTATAGAACCGTGTTATTTGATCTCGCCCGAAGAATGGGGGGGGGGGGCAAAGGCAATTTTTGCCCGAACAGCAGTTATAAGGCCTAATCTTAAATCGAATTCCAACACTCAAGGGTTCTTTTACGTGCACGCCAATTTGTAGGCAAGACCTCGACTATACCACGACCCTTGTCAGATCCTGCACCATTGACGAGGAAGAACGGCGCCAGATAATCGCGATGAACTTTCCCGTTCAATACATGGATCGAACATCGGACCTCCAGGTTAGCGAACCAATGTCTGATTATTTTTATACCGACTGCACTTATTTTGCGACTGACTGCTTTTTCCCTGAAACCGTGGTCAGACCTAATAGCGTTTACACTACGAAAATTTAATCGTGCCGTGCCTGGCACCGTGCCGAGACCACCTCACTTCAGTGCGCCAAATTGGCACGGTACTCAGTACGGCACCGTAGAACTGATCTTTGATGACACGCTTTTGTTTGACCCGTTTACACTCCAAAAAATTAATCGAGCCGTGCCTGGCACGCCTAAAATTTGTAATGTAAACGGGGTTAATGTTACTATGGTTTGTGGATGCAGTTCTCATGTAACAACTGTTCGTATTCCAAGGAATTATCATTGAACTGAAATTCAACCGTGTATCTGTTATCTGCTCGTTCCTTTAGTCGTTATATAGGGACAACTCGTATTTTCCATTTTGTTGCGTCACTTCCTGTTTCTTTAAATCTTCGTTACACATCTACCGTATAAACGGTCTTTGTGTTAAAATTCTATTTAGAATGCGTTCCCGTTTCTTCAAATCTTCGTTACACATCCACCGTAGCAATGATCTCTGTGTTAAAATTATATTTAGAATGCGTTTAACCATTGTTGTTACTAACACTTTCTTTATTTATTTTCAGATGGAGCTGAAACTAACTGACCACGAAAACTATTCTACCAGTGTTCTAGAATCTTTGAACACTTTCCGGAAAAACGGTGAATTTTGTGATGTTAAAATATGTGTTGATACAGACACTCTGCATGCATCTAAGGCTGTTTTAGCTACCCACAGTCGGTATTTTAGGGCAATGTTTTCTGGAAATTTCCAAGAATCGTCCGCGGGCTTTACTGTTGTTAACTTAAGTGGTGTTTTCCAAAGGCTTAAAAATGTGGAAATATGTATAGACTCTTTATATAGAGGAAAGATTGGTATTAACAGAGAGAACATTGTAGAAATTTTTCAGATTGCGACTTATTTGACTTTTGATGCTATAACTGAATGTTGTGTTACATTTATTCAGGACAATCTGAATGTAGATAATGTCATTTTCTATTATAAACTTGTGTTGGATTTTCACTCGCCAAAACTACATACCAGAATATTAGAAATATTAGAAGCACGTTTTCACGACGTGTTCATATTTAGAGCTGAAACTTTAGATCTGTCCCTGGAAGATCTAGAGAGGCTGTTCTCTCTGAACTTTCAAAAACACTGTACAAAGACCAGCTCTGATTATTTCATGGAAAAAGTGGTTTCTTTGCATGGTGCTGATCTCGTTGATATGACAATAGTAAAGAACCAAGGCAGTTCTGAACATGCTAACACACGTACTAAAGATCATCGACAGTGTTTGTTATTAGCCTCTTCGGATTTTGAGACTGGCCAAGAAGACTTACCCTCTAATCTCTTGCTTGCTGTTTATGATATAAGTAACAAGGTTTGGCTGAGTATTGGTAAAACGGAACTGCCATTTATTTTTACACCTGACTGGAAAGCGGTATTGTTTAAAGAGTGTGTGGTTTTCCTGAACCACAGAGTAACTGTTTGCTTTTCAGTCAACTTGCAGACTTTAAAGTGGAGTACGTTTTACATAACCAGTATTACTGAATCCATGCAAGGTCCTTTAAATTGTTTGTTACCCACAGTTCAAGGGGGTAATATATTGATTTTAGCGGTTTCCAGTCAATTAATCTTTACAAGTAACATGTGGGTGAAGCAAATGAAATATTTCAAACTCACGCCTGATTTCCGGTCTGTGCTGGTTGCTGAAGTTTCCCGTGATTACCATATTGATACGTCAACGACATTAATGAATAGTTCTGATGAATTCTCTGTGTTCGTCGAAGGAGACTGTGTGTTTTACAATGGCCAAGAACGATTTATGGGTGCTGAAATTTTTGTATTTGATTCGACCACAGAGGAACTGAAATCCCACAGAGAAACTTTTACCACTCCATTACCAGCCTTTGTTTTGATTAAAGAGAATGCTAGCTTAATCAGCAATGTTGACCGCGTCTATCTCAAATATGATCACACAACAGAATCATTGTTGGAAGTGAGTAAGTCAAGTGATGAGTTATATAACTTAGACAAACCTGCTAATAATTCTAATGCCTGTCAGTCCGACTTGGGTAAACCCGTAACACCAGCAAATCTAGTTTCTTTCAATTCCTCGATATGGAAGATTGATAACCCGTCTAAATATTGTAATTCTTTGGTGGAGAAAAGTGTTCAAGATAAGGCTGATTTAAAGGTTGACATTCATCCTCCGCCACCTTTCATGAATTCTGTTTATTTTATAGCAGGTCAAATACCGTGTTCATGGCTTGATTCCTTGGACCAGGCGGAGTTTCAGGAGTCAACGGTGGTGTCTGAACTTTAAATCAAACTATTAAATCAATCCATTAGTTTTGTACATTAGTTATTTAAACTTGTAAAAATGGAGCCGTGAACTAAAAGTAAAGATGTATTGTGGATTTCCCCATATTTGTAGGATTAGAAAACCAAACTAGCTTGATTCACCTTGATACCGCACTCATAGATCCCCTTTCTCCTCGGATTATGGTCATTATATTTTTCAGCGGATGCGAGTTTCAGTTTGTCCTATTTCACTTCGGAAACATATTGGTACCGCTTTACTTCTATAGAAAGGGTTCCACTAAGTGCCATCCGTGAGAAGAATCCGCTACAAAATTGCAGCTACTCTACCCCCACCTCTGGCTATTTTTGTTGTAGGCCCTATTATCAAGTACGTTTGGATCACGTGACGTGGTAGGTTCTGACCATAGGCATACGAGCTGGGGGGGGGGGGGGCACACAATTGTACTTTGTAAAAGTTGTATAAAAAAAATATTGCGTTCTTGAATGTGTCCAATTAAACAGCGAATTTATTATTATTATGTAACATACTAAGAACCTAACTACATTTTTTGGGAACCCACCACCACCGCCCCCCCCCCCCCCAGTCAAAAATTTCCCCGTACGCCTATGGTTCTGACTACCCTCGTTTTGACGTGTAACAGCAAGAGTTTCACTGTAAGATGCACCCAGTAAAATGTACTTGAACTCACATACTGTGTTTGTTAACAGAACCCATAAACCAAACATAGGGTCAGAAGCTGGTTCTGAATTTGGACTTTCGTTTGGTCCCAGTAGTCGCACTTCATTCAATCATGGTGCCATCAAACAGCGGCGTGATGAACACCCCGTCAGTAGGCCTACAGTAGGCCTACAGCCGCCTAATGGATTTGATTTTACGCCGACACAAACGTGGCCTAAATGGTTAAAACGATTTGAAAGATATAGTTCTTCATCAGGACTTTGTATGGAATCAGCCGCAAAACAAGTGAATAATCTGATTTACGTAATGGGACCATAGGCCGAAGATAATATTTTTCTCAGCATTTCCTTCACCGAAAAGATTGTGTATAGCATATTGAACGGAGAGTAGGCCTAGAGTATTATAGCCCGTTCAGACGCTTAAGTTGAACTGGTTTAAAAACCTAGGGGGATCGTTAAACCAGTTTAACTTCGTCGTCTGAACGCAAATGTGGGGCAAATAAACCAGTTAAAAAAAAAACAGCTCGCGAGCTGTCTTTGAGAAGGCTTTTTATATTAAACTGGTTCATCTTGGCCGTCTGAACTGGTTGGCTTAAATTTAAAAACCCCGGCTCCAGTTCGCTCTGAGCATGCGCAGTACGCAGTAAGTTTCATTCCTGGGAAAACACTCGACAAACCTCGGCAGAATACGTTACTCTACATCTAGCCTCGGCTGTATGACGGTAAATGATATCTACCTACGCCTATACAATTGCGATGCGGTACCGTTTTACTTATTTGGAAAACTTGCCGCTTTTAAAAAAAGTTATCAAAATTGCGTCGTTCGAAGCGTGTGTAGAATTTTCAGTGCAAAGTTGTCCTTGTTTGAAGAAAATCGGATAAACTTGAAAGAAAAACAGCTCCTGACATTGAAATATTTGTATGATAAAACATTCTTCGAAGGTTTCGTAATGGGCAACGCCGTTGGTAATCCGGGAACTTGAAAGTAGATCCAATGGCGGACTTCGTCATACAGCCGAGGCTAGATGTAGGTTTGCGGAGTGTCCTGGGAATGTGTCGGGGTCAAGCTGTGCCAGTGTTATCGAAAGCGTGCGAGAGCCGAATAAAGAATATGAAGCTACCTATGCGTAGTTAACTCTAACCTGCGAGGTCAAAATAGTTAAACTGGTTTGGCTAATAGTACGTGTGAACGCAACACGATTCTGTCTTTAAAACCCCGGCGATTTTGAACTGGTTTAAAAATAAGCGTCTGAACGGTAGGCTTATATTAGATTACGTCCCGATTCCAAACCTTATTCAGTCTTAACTTCTAGAGCTGTTAAATTGCCTCAGTATGATAAGTTGGAAAAAGATTGCACATCTTATAGAATTAGATGTTATTTTACGAGTTGAGGACCCCACTGAGTGGTGTTTTCCGATAGAGCCTATTGAGAAGGCTGACAGTAGAATTCGCTTATGCGTAAAGATTTCACCATGTTGAATAAAAATGCATATGTTACCCACGGTGGAGCAAACACTAGCTCAGTGGTTCTCAAACTTTTTTTTGCCAACGGCACACCTTGGAACACATGACCCCCCCCCCCCCCAAAAAAAAAAAAAAACAACAAAAAAAAACCAACAACAACAACAGAGGCACACCTGGCTAAATATACATGAAAAATATTTGAATTTTGCAAAGTAGAAACATGGCAAGTCATAGACGGTATACAACCGTAGTCACAGACTAGTTACAGACAAATAGAATGACTCAAACTAAACAAGCCAACAGTGAGGCTGATGTCCCCCGCCGATCTCCCAAAATAAAGAGATGACTCCTATTAATTAATCGCACATTTATTTTTTTCAAAAGTATCAAGCAATCAAACCGATTATCACCTACACATTAAGTTACATCACTCTCTATCAGGTAGAATCAAAGTTATCTTGTCCCAAAGGATCGACCAATGAAATTGATTAGCTCTGTTAAGCTTTAGCTCGAAATGTTAATCATTGAACTCAGTCAAGACATTCACCTAATCAACATCAACATCAAGTTTAAACTTTCTACCTCAATTAAAAGCACAGTTATGTTCCAAACTCTTAACCAATCAAATTGCTTATCGATCCTTAGCCTAAGCAAAAAATTCGCATCAAACTTAGTCAAGGTAATGATTTAATGAATTTATACTCGGAGTTTCATCACTCTCACTTAATGAAAACCAAAGTTATTGGCCCCAAAGCATCAACCAATCAGATTGCTTATCTCTGCTTACCCAAAGCAGAAAATGCTCATCTTCGAACTCCATCAAGGCATTCGCCTAATAAACACTTACGCCAAGTTTGAACGTTCTATCTCAATTAGAAGGAGAGTTATTGTGTTCCAAAGTCTCGGTTTTCCTCTCACTGCTAAAGAACCCTACACACAAGCGAATTATTGAAAGAGGGTTGAACCATGTTAGTCCTGAAATGACCTTGGTTGTGTGAAATGGACGTTAAAACCCATTTCTCTCTTTATCTCCCCTTCTTAAAGTCTCTCCAGCAGAAACAGCCAAGACTTTCTGTTTAACAGCAAAAGCAAAAACTTCAATTATAAAATTTATTATCTATGCCTTCTCCTGCAGCTGTCTCCTCCTCTCTCCCCCTACGCCCACATGGACGTATATTGTCGTCGCCCATGTTCGTCCACAATTTGTTTGTGGACACTCTACGGGTCACAATTTTTATCCGATTTTCACGAAACTTGAAATATAGGTCTATCTCCCAAAGATATCGGTTCCTTTCAATATTGGCATGTATCGGATCATACCTTCATGGATTATGGCCCCTGATTGTACGAAAAATCACGTTTTTAGCTTGTGGACACAATTTTGACCCGATTTTGATGAAACTTGGAATGAATGTTTATATCCCAAAGATCTTGGTTCCTTTCGATATTCGCGCATATCGGTTCGTAACTTCCTGAATTATGACCCCTGATTGTACGAAAAATCGCGTTTTTAGCTTGTGGTCCCTCTAGAGGTCACAATTATTATCCGATTTAAAAAAAAACGTTTTAGTATATCACCGTTACAATGATGGTTGAGTTCGAATTTCGTGAAAATCGGACGAAAACTGCCGGACAAAACGGCCGCCCCTTGTACGCACATATTGATCTTGGTTCTTTCGATATTCGCGCATATCGGATCGTAACTTCCTGAATTATGGTCCTTGATTGAACGAAAAATCGCGTTTTGAGCTTGTGGTCCCTATAGAGGTTACACAATTTTTATCCGATTTAAAAAAAACATGTTAATATATCACAGTTATACACTAATTTCGTGAAAATCGGACAAAAGCTGACGGACATAATGGCTGCCCCTTGTTCGCAAATAGTGTAAAAAATATGGTATATCAAGGTTGTGAACCCTCTAGAGGCCACAGTTTTTATGGGATTTGGATGAAACTTTAAATATATGTTTTTATCATAAAGATCTTGGTTCTTATTGATAATCACACATATCTGAACGTAACTTCCTGGATCATGGCCCCTGATTAATCGAAAAATCGCATTTTTAGCTTGTGGATTCTCTAGGTCACATTTTTTTTTCCGATTTTAAAAACTGTTTAGATATATTACCATTTCACCATAATGAAGGTTGAATTGGAATTTCGGGAAAATCGAAATGAAAGTGCCTGACAAAATGGCCGCTCTTTGTACGCAAATAAGTATGTAATACAAAAGTTATGGACCCTCTAGAGGTCACATTTTTATCCGATTTTGATGAAACTTAAAACATATCTTTATATTCCAAAAATCTCAGTCCGTTTTGATATTTGCGCATTTCAAACCATAACTTTCTGGATTATGGTCCTGATTGTACAAAATGCGACCGACTGATGCCCATACCCCTAGTACGAGTGACGCAGTTAGGAACCGAGCACCACAGGTGCGAGTTTTGTAGGGGCCATGTGCAGTAGCGGATCTAGATGGGGTGGGGGAGGTCCAAATCTAGGGGGCCACCCAAGCCACACTCCCACCCCACAATGAATGTCAACAAAATACTGGCTATAACATTAAGCGTCCCAGGAGAACATAGATTGCATTGTATAATTATATAGTTGTCGATCGTTGTCTCGCTGGAAAGCAGTTTTATTTAAGTTGACATAAAGTTTATGACATATATGATTGTGCCTATAACACTGAGCAACCTGAGAAAATTTTGAAAAATTGAGTCAATATCTTGGCATTTGAGGTCATTGCTGGGAGAAATTCTTGTGGACGAGAGGACCAGAAATGTGAGTCAATAAGACAAAATCTCGAGATCTGCCCCTGTCAATTCCGCCTGTTTTGCAAGAGTTGACAGAACTTTTGTATAGTCTGACGCCCCACGACCCACACACCAGTGCCAGTGGTACTACTAACATAACTAGGCAGTTCAGTATAACCGTCAATATGATAGTGCTGAGACAGTATAAAACAACAGAGGAGTGGAAGAATGATGTTATAATGGAATCGAGCGCCGCAGGCGCGAAAAAATTTGAGATGTGTAACCGAGCTTTTAATTTTTGGGACTGTGCCTGACAATTTTAGTCAATGTCATGGCAAATATGGATCCAAATTCTCGTTAACGAGAGGATAAGAAATGGGACAGAATCTTGAGGCCTATCTGTCAATGTCGCCTGTTTTGTGAGAGTAGAACTAACAATTCTACAGTCTTTTGACCCACGACTCACTCACTAGTGGTACTACTAACTGGGCGATTCACTGTAACTGTGAATATGATGTGATGAGATAGTATAAGACAGAGAAGGAGTTGAAGAATGATGGCATAATGGAACTGAGCGCCGATATGTAACTGAGCTTTTAATTTTCGAGGACTGGGCCTGAGGGCACTTTACCTCAATGGGGCGCTTACTTGGTCTCTGAAATGCCCTGGACTTTGGGGGGAGATTTTGCAGAATTCTGATGGTCAGAAAACACCCCATTAATTCATTTAGTCTGAGACCGTCTGCGGTGAGCACTTTTTTTGAGACGGACTATTTTTTTGCCATGGGGTTAAAAATATTTTTTTCAAACATGATAAGTCGACAAGGTTATTTTATACTAAAGTTTTGCGTGAGTAGAGTGACGTGTGCAGTGAGCACTTATTTTGATACCGACTGCTCATATCTTACGACCGACTGCACTGATTTTGCGACCGACTAGTATTTGGGATCTATTCTGGCATTATTTGTTTACCTCATTAATTCATTAAGACGGCGATGCATAATTTTGAGACCGACTGCAGTGACTGCACTTATTTTGAGACCGATTATTTTTCTCCCTGGGGGAAATTTTGTTCTTAGACCTACATACTGACAACAGAATAAGTGTGAAACACATTAAGTTGACAAGGTTATTTTATACTAAAGTTTTGCGTGAGTAGCGTGACGTGTGCGGTGAGCACTTATTTTGATACCGACTGCTCTTATTTTGCGACCGACTGCACTGATTTTGCGACTGCTCTTATTTTGCGACCGACTGCACTGATTTTGCGACCGACTATTTTTTTTCCTGGGGGGGGGGGGGGTGTACCACCCCCCAACACCCCCGGGCATTTACGCCCCTGATCACAGGGATGTTTCGTTGTTTCGAAGATGCAATTGTTAAATAATAAAGCACATGGGTGGGATGGTACTAGTACCTTGGCCGTTTAACGTACCGGTAGTGATATCGCAGAACAAGGCCTGATTCCTAGAAAATTCTTAAGCACGTACTTACTTGTGCTTAGATTTTTTAAGTAGACTTTGCATTTAAGTAAACTTATCTTATTTTGTGTTCCCAGAAAATTCTTAAAAACGTTCATGTGCTTAGATTTTAAGTAGACTTCAGTGTAAGCCCAAGCACGTACGTTATTATGTGTTCCAAGAAAAAACTTAAGCACAACTTCGTTCTTAAACGTTGTGACATTGTGAATCTAAGCGCAAGTCCCAAGCAAGGTACGTGGGCCTATACGGCTTACTTACCAACCTTACGTCTGTTTCTGCTTCCAACAAGATGGCTGACCGTAGAGTTATTCGACGGCATTTCCTACATCTTTTGATATCAAGGAGACAATTGAAAGACAGAGAAAATCCCTTAGAAACATATTCTCGAGAAGAATGCTAAAATTTCGCTTTTACTCTGAAACCATTATATTTATTTACCAAGTAAACAACACTAACACACGGGCTACTTTAAGATCAGGCGCTCTGTTTGCATGTGCTTGCGTTTTTTTGTTTTTATACGCCCACATTGAAATGTGGTCGTATTTTGTCGTCGGCCCCGCCCGTCGGTCCGGCGGTCCGGCGTCCACAATTGCTTGTGGACGCTCTAGGGGCTAAAGTTAATATCTGATTGACTTTAAATTTATACACAGTGTTTAAGGTCTTGAGACTAAGAAGCCTACTGATTTTCAGCGATTTCCAATAATTACTGCCAGAGTTATGGCCCTTGATCACTTTGAAAAATCTTGTTTTTAGCTTGTGGCACATTTTATATGCGTAGCCTATAGGGCACATGTCAAATGCATCGACCATTTGCCGGGAAGCATCCGACCAATTTATGACGTACTTCGCATACCAAAATTGTTTTTATGACGTTAGGAGAGCATCATAGTCTCAGTTTACCAGTCACAATGTGCTTAGGCTCATACTTGACTTGTGCTTAAGTAAGAACGGCCTTGAGAAATTTCCAGAGACGGTATTTTATAAAGTTTCTTACGTAATAAAAAGTGAAGCATGACTTACTTTAAGAAGCACGTCGGTGACTAATTTAGTAATGTAAGGCTTATTACATACCAAGGATAGGCAAAGAATGAAACAGTCTGGGAGTGGAAAGGGTTTAGAATATGTCCGCCAGTAAAATTAGAAATAGAGTACAAACAAATTGGAGGAAATACTTTTAATATCGACCCCACAAGTAAAACCAAGAATCCCTGTGCTTTAAAGTCCAATAGACTAAAGTAATCCACATTCTTTGTCTAATCCGTATAACAGATAGCCGCACTGAAATTTTTCGATTTCCGGTATTCAGTTGAAACAACGTGCTCTTCGAATGTCACCTAAATTGAATCTACTCATTCTAAAGGTAATAATTAAACATTATTTTGAAAGTTAACATATGACAAATCAGCACGCGAAATAATTGATTGGAGAATTTTTTTTTTTAAAAATTGGATTAAATCTGTGCCAAAGCAAAATACAAAAAAACGAAACTAGAGTATATTTGTCGGATTGGCAATGTAACTTAGAATGGTATGTTTGAAATCAACCTAGATACAGTTTTATAAAATTATCCAATCTATAATAAATAAATATCGGGGCAAGATACTAGAATCTAACAACTACTCACAGAAAGCATGAAAATGAGTTGGTGTTCAGCCTCAGGTAAACAATTGTGTTATAAAAAAATTGGTACAGGTAGGTAGACTCTAAAATCGCCAAATAAAGAGAATAGCTCCTGTGTTGCTTAATTGTTTGTATTTTTTTTCCTTTCCAGGATGTTTGTAAGGTAAACAATCTGTTGATGATGATAACCTAATCAACCAGATTCAAGATGGGTGTGAAAGGATTAACACGATTTATTGACAACAATCCAGGTTTATTAAAAGACTTCCAACTAAGAGATAGCCGTGTAATATTTGATGGCAATAACCTGTACCACTTTCTTTATCACACCTACAACATAAGACAACAGTTCAATGGAGATTATGCAAACTATGCCAAGAAAATAAAGCAAGTGTTTCTTAATTTAAAAAAGTGTAACATACAACCATGTGTTATATTTGATGGAGGATATAACACTGATGACAGGAAACACCAAACTGTTTTGGAAAGAGCACGTGACAGGGTTAAATGGTCAAGTAAAAATAATTTAAGAGGTTCTAAAAATCTCCTACCTATTCTCTCTTATGAAACATTTAGATGTATTTTGGATACTTTGGGTGTGGAACATGTAACATGTGACTATGAAGCTGATGAACATATAGCAATACTTGCCGAAAAATGGAACTGCCCTGTTATAAGCAATGATAGTGACTTTTATGTTTATAATATTAAAGCAGGGTTTTTCCCCATGGATTATGTTGACTTTCGTGTTAAACGCAAAAAAGTCAAAGATGGAGAAACTGGAAAAACGAAAACACATTTATATATCTTGGTTCAAAAATATCATCATGATCATTACTCTGAAGTTTTTGGAAAATTCAATCCACAATTTATGCCTCTCTTAGCAACAATTTTAGGAAATGATTTTGTGAATGGTAAAGTTTTTGGTCCTTTCACAAGCAGGTTTAAGCGCCCAGCTTCAAATAAACCCAAAATATCTAAACGTTATTCCAAAACTGCTGCCTTAGTTTCTTATCTAAGGAGATATGGTTCTCTTGAAGAGGTGGTTCAAAACATCATAGAGCATTTTCAAGATGAGCAAAAATCTGTCATACAGAAAACAATTCAAGACTCTGTAGCATCTTACACCTTTATAAACACTGCTGAAACCTTTTTGACGGAATATTTAACAGGTTCTCTTGAAGTAAGCACAATTCAAAGAAATGATTTTTTCGGGGAGCCCATACCAGATTGGATAGTGAATGCTCTTCTCAAAGCAGAAATATCCCCATTTGTTCAAAATGCGTTAGTTCTTCGACGTGTGATATTACAGTGCCAAGTGGAAGAATTGAGGAAACCATCTTCTCATGAGATATCAAAACATATAAGGAGAGTTATATATGGGGTGCTCTTTAGTTCACAGAAAACTAAAGACCTGGATGATATGCGAGCTAGCAGAGACACCCACATAGAAGAATATGATAGAAAAACAAGTGATGTAGGCAAAACTTATACAATACCTATAACAGAGATAGGTGATTTTTGTAAAGTATTGGGTATAAGAGGTCTACCAATAGTTGATATAGAGAGGAGACAAGATCTTCTATTACATGTTCTAGCAGTGTCTAAAGAATTTATAGGCAGGTTTCATAGCTCGCTGCAGTTGTTGATGGTCATTACTGTGTATTGGGCCAGATCAGCTGGCATTCCTAAATATCACTTAGCAGCTTACCTATTAAATGTACTTCTGCTTAGAATATCAAGCTTTTTGTTGGCTAAAGACAAAGATCCAGAAGATAACCTGGATAAAGAACAAGAATTTGATGAAGCGATGACTGTTGTTAAGTCACCACCTCCCAAAGGAAAAGATTTGGGTAAGTCTTCAATAGATGACCTTGAGGAAAAGGCAGTTTCTGCACTGAAATTATTATCTGTAGATGAAACTAAAAACATTGCACCAAATACAATTGAATTCAATTCTGTGTTTCAATCAGTGTCTCCTGTTCTTGGGTTAATCAAAAGAAATTTAAACAGAGATATTACCAACTTGCCCCACGTTACCTGGAAGTATGAATGGCCTCCAAGACTTTCCCATTGCTATTCCCAATTACAGTCATGCATTTTGTACACAATAAACTTAAACCAACTTCTTCTCACGCCTTTTGTCGACCCAGTCATCCCAGAGTCTTATGATGGCTCAACTCTTTTTCTAATTAGTAAAGCTATGCAGACAAAAGAGAACATGGTACTATTTGCTTCTAAGATGTTATGCGGTGACATTACCCTCTTACGACTTTTCAAGCAAATGTTGGACACAGTTTCATCAGAAGTTGGCGAAGAAAATTTTGTTGAAACCTACACTATGAAACGAAGAAGGAAAAAGGAAGAAAAAGATCGGACAGCTAAAATTAACCTTGTTGTAGCAGAGATGAAATTAGACTCACCCTCTTACTCTGAGTGTGAAAGTTCTGAGGAGGATGAAGACATTAAAAGAATTGCTTTTGATTGTGACGTTGTAAATCGATTTAGTTTCTTATGATTTCAGTAGGTGTATTAAATTTATGTCTGATAATTTGTCGTCATACACCAGACATGTTTACCCATTTAAAAGTATTTTTGAATTCCGCTTTCGTTGTGTTATGATATACTGCTGTCTCAATCTAAAGTATGGTACACCCGTTTGTATGAATGGTATTAGGACTTTTTTCATATTGGGAGTGGGACCCATATTCGTCCATAGATGAATGGGCGTCACTGCCACAAAAGCAAATAAAAAACAAACTTTAAGCAGCATTGTTGACTACTACTGCATACACGCAATTACTCTGTTCTGTTAATACATGTACATGTATTTATTTAAACTTAAAGGTACTTTTCACGCCTAAATCAGCCATCGGAACTCCTTTTGTACATCAAACCAGCGGAAGAGTCAAGGGAACTCCTTTTACACCATCAAATCGACGGAACAGTCATGGGAAACCCCTTTTGCAGCCAAAAGAAATAGACACCATATTTCAACTAGCTGATAATGTACTTAAAAACAAAGAATTTTACCATTTTGTACTTGGAAACAAAGAATTTTACCATTTTGTACTTGGAAACAATGAATTTTTGAGGAGCAGACATGGGAACTCCCTTTGAAGTGACACATCAATCTATACATGACATTGGATAAAAGAAATATTGGAATCCATTACCTAATTAATAAGCCAGAAGAACACTAATGTCCAAATTTGTTACTGACCCACATCCAGCTGCACCCTAAAATCAAATTTACTATGCACATCAGTAATAATGAAGTCTCCTTCTTGGACGTTAAAGTCATCATGGATAAATTAGAAACTAATATATTCAGCAAAAAATGAACTATAGTCATCGATATATTCAAATACATGTATCCGACTGTAAGCCTCATCAAACTTTCAATTCTATAGTTTACAGTGGGGCTATTCGGATGATATCGAAATAAGACAGGCAGAAAGAGAAATTTTGTTTAACGTCCACTCGACACAAACTAGGTCATGTCCTTATAATTATTGCAGTAATTCGATTGCTCGTAAGGGATATTTGCAAGTGTGATGGGGGGGGGGCGGTTGACTCGGAGAAAACCCACAAGCTTAGACAGTCGACCTTACGCCTTTCTACGTAACAGCTTTTGATCAAAACCACTAAACTTGACTCAATGAACGCGTTAGACCACTCGACCTCACTCTTGCAAAAAAAACCCCAAAGATGTTAATAAGAAGAATGTTATAGAATAGATAGCAACATATGACGCCTGTCAGCCCAATTTACATACATTTGTCCAAGATACGGAGACTAGCTCTCGTATGTCATGATATCCCAGAAGAAGGGAAAGACTATTGGTCAAATAATACTAGTGAACAGTCTGAAAGCATCTCGAGTGTCTGTAGTTAACAGTGACTTACAAAAAGATTGCAAACCATGTAATAGACCTAAATGTAAAGTGTGAGTTACGGTTGAAACTACATCTAACATTATAAGATAGACTTAAGCGCTTTTCGTGTTAAGGATTAATGGTACCCCCATCCCCCTTTGGTACCTCCACCCCCCTTTGGTACCAGACTTAATAGGCATAGAAATTGAAAAAGACCTCACATACAATATCTCTACACGTCAATACATTCCGCCATGATTCGTATATCTGCACTATATACTGGAAAATATTACCAAGAATGATGATAAAGCCATTGCAGAATAACTTTGGATCCAAATTAGCCAACGTTATTATCCAATTGATTTGAAATTTATACACAGTGTGTAAGTTCATGAGAGGAAGAATCTTTTTGATTTTCAACAGATTACAATAACTCGGAACAGGTTAAGTTGTTATCATCTGATTACATGTTTTGTATAATAAATTTTAGCACTAGGAAGACCTGGAAGCCAATCAAGTTTAATTTAATATTACTGATAATTACTTCATGGGTTGTTAATAGTTTTTTACTTTTATTTCAAAATGACCTGTATAATCGACAAATGCATAAAATGAGACAACCTTTGGGCATAGGCGTACGGGGAAATTTTTGACTGGGGAGGGGGGGGGGGCAGTGGTGGTTGGTGCCCAAAAAATGTAGTTAGGTTCTTAGTATGTTACATAATAATAATAAATTCGCTGTTAAATTGGACACATTCAAGAACACAATATATTTGTATACAAATTTTACAAGGTACAATTGTGTGCCCAAATTTTCCCAGCATTTGGTGCCCAAAATGGGGGGGGGGGCGGCCGCCCCCTCCCCGCCCCCCCCCCCCCCCCCCCGCTCGTACGCCTATGCCTTTGGGGACTGCACGGTCGAATTAGCTGCTGTGAGCGTATATTTAGTTGACGGAAATGTAGTGTAGTTATCTATAGAATTAATCGGTACATCCCCCCCCTTTATTGACTTTATGGTCTATCATTAAAGGGGAGGGTTGAACTTATATTTTCTACCACGTTTCGATGAATATTCATGGTTGAGAAGCCGAAGGATAGCAGAGTTAAGAGGTTATTTAAAGTGATAAAGCGTATAGTTTTATGTTTATTAGTATGCTACTTCCAGTTTATATATCTTTGAACTTCCATGGTCACACAAGCTTTAAACCAGATTTTGCGAGATGTTGCCACTTCTGTGCCAGAGAGCATTCAACCCAACGAAAATTTGGGGTCAAGTCAGCCGGAAAAACTGACAAGAATTGGGAGTCGATGGGAATTATTTTTGTGGTCTGCAACCATTATCCAAAGCAGAGTTGTCCTTTTGTACAGACGGATGTGGGCTAAAAGTAAATGCAGGAGGACCACATCACACATAAAAAAACCCACTTCAGAAAAAAAACATAGACAAGACACGCCATGTACCAGGGGCATGGTGACTCATGATTTTGCATTAGGAAAAAGGTCCCGAAAAACAATATTTATACATGTGTGTGTGGGGGTAATATTGGGCTGCGTGGAACATGCTAGAGTCGATTTTTGTAGCATATCTGACCCACGGTTTATGTTTGACACTGGTTAAGCACTATAATTATAATGTTGTAAACTGTATTGAAACCGCTTGATTTTTTGCCATGTTCGAGGAGGCACAAATACTCAAGGGGCGCAAAAACTGTCTCCACAAAAAATCATGCTATACAGCAAGATGCAAAGTCTAAATAAATCATTCACGAAAATGCTCTGTTTTCTTAATTCGCAGAAAGGAGTGAATGAAGTATATTTGAGTAGTTTCATGGGGGGGGGGGGGGGGGGCGGTGGCTAAGTGGGTAAGACGCTGGCTTGCTAGCCTGGAGGTCGGGTGTTTGATCCCTGCATTGGCCGAGAAAGTTCATCCAGATTTTCCGGCGTGGTTCACCCTTGTCAGTGATGCAGGATGGAGGGCCTGACAAGGACAGCTTTCTAGTCATTCGGATGGGATGATAAACCAAGGTCCCGTGTACACATTGGCGTGCACGTAAAAGATCCCTTGACAGTTGGAATTCGATATAAGAGTAGGCCGTAGTGCCGCTGTCCGGGCAAAATTTCCCTCATAGCTCACTGTATGGCGTATGCCCGTCTTCATTAGCCCAGTTCGGGGCAGAACAGTGGGACGTTAAACCATATTTCATTTCATTTTCAGTTTCGTGGGTCTGGTTAACGTTTCTAATGCATTCACCGTTATTTCAAAACAGACGAAGAACTCCGAATGCAATTTGATCTTCCGATCCGACAGTCATGCACTGGAAATTTACGGTTTTGTGCTGCTCTCGTGTTTGATAACAACAGTGTACAATGATTTGACAAATATATGTCATAAAGTATAACTTGTTAGAAGAAAAGCAGAAAAACCTCCAGCATGATTGGGTCTTCAAAAGTAGTACTTTTTTTGTTGCGGGATCGAATACTATTGAATGTGACAAGCTTTGGTAAGAAAAGAAGAACGTTTTTTTATGTCTATCAATCTAATGCTATGTTTCGAGAAATGGTTTGGGAGACAACTTTAAATGGGCTCCGTTATAATCATATAATAAGATACCGGTATATTTTAATGACGTGTAATATGGCGTGTAATAGAAGCCAATCCATAATGTTCACAACAAATATCAGGTGAGGTAGGCTACTCAGGTAGCCGAACTTCCACATTTCATTTTGCATACCCGGTGATTGAATGATAATAATAGGACGATAAAAAAAAAAAAATATTGAACAATATACAATGTATCAATCTGTACCAAACAGGCTAAACTAATAGGCCTTCTGATCATGAAATAAAAAATTATTATATATTGTTGATGTGATCGAGACCAGTAGCCTAACATTTATTGTGAACGCTCTAGAGGCTATAAATAAAGTTCATATCCGATTGACTTTAAATTTATACACTGTGTTTCCACGATTTCTGATAATTACTGCCTGACAATGTTGTCGTATATTGTTGGGCGTCCACGGCTAAAGTTCATATCCGATTGACTTCACATTTATACACGTACGTGTTTCCACGATTTTTGATAATTACTGCCTGAGTTATGGCCCTTGATTACTCTGAAAAATCTTTTGGATGCTCTAAACGCTACAGGGTGGATGGCCGAATGGTTAGCACATGTGGCTGTATCATAAGGTCTGTCATTGAGTCAACTGGCATGGTTTCGATTCCCTAGTTGTGTAGTATATGACAAGGATCCAGTAGGGTCGCGACGCCTGTCCAACCTTGTGGGTTTTCTCCGAGTTCTCCGGTTTCCTCCAACTGCTAAAGACCCCTACGTGCAAGCGACTTATTGAGATAAATTGCATGTGTTAGTCTCGAAATGACCTAGTTTGTGTCGAGTGAACGTTAAACTTATGGCCATTGATCACTTTAAAAGATCTTGTGGACACTTTACAAAGAAGCCCATTAGGCCGAATTCTTGGCTTGCAATTTCTTTATCTTCACTTCTGTTAAAGTGGTCTATAAAATCGGACAATCAATAATCGTGCAATCAACATGTCAACAAATTTCTCCAATAAAATTTGTAAATGTCATAGTTTAATAAGGCCGAAATAGACCAGAAATCGATGACTTATTTCTTTATAGTGCAGAGGCATATTTGCGTAGGTGTGAGTTGGATCCTGTACAGCTATTGAAAATTTGGCCAATTAACGGTCGTGCTTTCAGGGTGGCGGTCAGAGTTCAGGGTGGCGGTCAAGTGCCAGATAATAGCAATTGTAAACAAAGCCATGTGCAAATTGCTTGTGTTGAATAGGGACAAACAGAGATTCAATGAACCAAATAAATGCCCCATTCGTGTAGAGAAATAGCATAAGACTAAGAGAGCCCAAAAGATATTTTGATCACCTTGACAAAAATGTGGCATTCAGTCAGGTTTTTTCGATACTCAATAAGGATATTGGACCGGTCGATCTAAGTGGAAAAATGTCACACCGATCTGCAATATTCGCTAGGCCGTGAGAATCGCTGATAAGGATGACATCGATGCAACTTAATGAGCCACAAATTTTAACTTTTTTCCTCTGACAAATTAAATTCTAAAACATTTTTTTTATGTATTAGAAAAATAAATAAAGACGTTTGAAGTATTTTTAGGTAAAAATTATTTCCTATTTTAGTGTAAATGGGTATTAAAAGCCAGTAAAAGGCGCCATTCTGCTCGAATCGTCTTATGTAAACAATGCATGTGCCATTGAGCCAATGATTGACACCGCGTGATATGACGTCATGTGTTGAAGGCAGTCATCTTTTACATAATACTTTCATAATACTCTGTGAAACAGATTGGAAAAATGCCTTCATATCAAGGAATATTACAAGGATAACGACTAGGCCACTGTTTCTATAAGTGTAATTCTAATAAAATCATTCATTTTACATAACAACACACTTAAAACATGTCTGGCCTGTTGTCTTAAAAATGATCATGGATAGTGTATAGCTAAGAATGAAAAAAACATATCTTAAAATAAAGGATGGGAACTGTTAAAAATTTCAGAAATATTAAGAATAAAGGCTTAAATGATTAGACCTACTTGCTTAGAAGCACAAATTCCGCTAAAGATCCTCCCTACTAAACAAACTATACATTTTTTGAAAGCTTATAACACCAGGAACACAAATCCAGAGAGTTCCAAGCAAAATGTTTGCAATAACTCGATTTAGGGGCAGATGAAAATTGTGATAATTGTCAAGTAAATGCTATATTTATACTAACAATTATAAAGTTGACATAAAATTAAATATTGGTGAAAACACCCAATGCCTTCATCCCCAGCAAAGAATATGGTATTGGTTAAATTTTGATTTAAACCAAAATGCAGAAAACATAAAAGACAAGGGAACATACAGAATTTTGGAAATCCATTAACCGTAATAGAGAGTTATCCCCCTTTCTGTCAAATGTCTGCAGTTGATAACAGTATTTCAGATGCGTGTTGACTGATGATGCTGTATGACACACAAGACCATGTGTGAGCACAGAAGCCTAATATTTATATCGTTAATGGGTTCCCAGGGGCCTGCAAGGGTTGGTGAGCGGATGTTTACACAGAAATTATGGGCGGAACAGCAAGTCTGATGAGCAAGGAGATATGTTTGGATTTGGTTAAGCAATATGGTTGTGAAGTAATTGAGACCAGAATATGTCCGTAGTTTTGTAAATCGCATTGAAACCATGTGATTTTTTCCACTAAAATATAAACCTACACTGACATAACCTTTCAATTAGACCCTACATTATTTTTACTACAGGTAGCTGTAAACCTCCAGTTCAGATATTTAAGGCTAAATTACAAACATTTTAACTGAAACCGTATCTATAATTGGGTAATTGGCTAACAAATATAGATATAAGACAAAAACTAATTATTTATTGAAGTAAAACAATCATTGAAAATCTAAATTACGCTGTTACTTTTCACTTTAAATGTCATCAAATTTAGTCATTGACTCGTTATCATCATCGCTTTCACCACATGTATAAACATCAAATTCGGTTTCTTTAATGGTTTCTTTGTTTCATTTTCACATAAACTATACTTAAACAGATTAGATATGTACTTGTACAAGACAACCCTGGTGCGGTTTCCCTCCTGTCAGTGGTACAGGATGGGAGGGAGCGGGAAGGATAATAGTTTAAATGATTTTTCCCCAAGCTGTGATTGTAGTTTATTTTTAATTAATAACGCAATTATACAATTATATTTCCTTGATATATGGTCGCATTCTCCATTCTCTGATCTTTGTGCCTGAAAAACTGAAAAAAAAAAAAAAAAATTCTGGGGGGCGGGGGGGCATATGAGTTCTCTCAAAACAGTATTTCTACTATTATTTCTGTAAACCTTAAGTTCAGATAAATTTTAAGGCTAAATTCCTAACAAATATTTGATTTGAATTGAAACAAGGCATCTATAAGTATGTAATTTTCTCACTAAAATAGATATGGCAAAATCTAAATAATACTGTAAGGGAGTGGCAATTGTACAGAAGAGAAAGAAAATTCAAATGGAGTTTAATGCATAACTGTTCAGTATTAACCAGGATAATGAAGATGTACAAAAGCCATACATTATGCTATAGGGGGAATTTGGTCCAAACAGTGACGTTACAGTCTACTCTTTATTTCGAATACCTAGACGCTGCCCATCACAGCCCCCCCCTCCCCTTCCTGCACCACTGACAATGGAAAACAACGCTATTAAGTTTTGGGAACTGTCTAGGTCAACATGGATCAAATCCTAGACCTCCTGATTAGTGAGCCATGGACAAGAGGACAAGGGGAAACCACGCCGGACCAGGATCAAGCCCTGGACCGCCCGGTAAGTGAGCGGCTCCCTTGCACACTGATGACACTTGTATGGAAAGAAGGAATAGTAGCTGTACGCATAGAATGGCCCCCCCCCCCCCCACCGAACTAAAATGAATGAATACTGTGTGCTCATCTTCATTATACGGGTTAGTGCAGTAAGACATTAAACTCCAATTGATTTCTGTTCTCTTCATTACAATGTCACTCCCATTACTATTATTAAGTTTGGGTCATATCTATTTTCGTGAGAAAACTACCGTAAATATCTGTAGATGCCATGTTTCAGTTTAATATTTGTTAGAACTTTAGCCTCAAGTCCTATCTGAAAAAAGATTGAACGTACTTGTCTGTAGTCAAATCCTATTCAGTTTATCAAATAAATTCTTTAAACAAAATAATACTGTTATCAATAATTATTGATTTTTTGCATAAAGTGAGATAACTACTTTTACCGTAAATGGATTCCCAAAATTCCATATGTTCCCTTGTCTGTTATGTTTTCTGCATTTTGCTTTAAATCAAGATTTAACCAATCGCATATTCTTTGCATAGGATGAAGGCATCGGGTATTTTTGCTAATATTTAATTTTATGTCAACTTCTCAATTGTTAGTATAAATATAGCATTTACTTGAAAATTAACCCAATTTTCATCTGGCCCTAAATCGAGTTATTGCAAACATTTTGCTTGGAACTCTCTGGATTTGTGTTCCTGGTGTTATAAGCTTTCCAAAAATGTATAGTTTGTTTAGTAAACAGCATCTTGTAGCTGAACTTCACGCTAGAAATTTTGGCTGCAGGCCTAAATTTGAACTAGTTCAGAATTGTCTTGGAATAACCTAGATGGAAGAAATAAAATTTTGCATCAACAATATACACTAGATGTATATGAATTCGAATAATACTTAACTGTCATTAAAAGCAGTCAAATTTGATTTTTATATATACAATGTATATAAAAATGGGTTTTGTCTGCAAGTGCGAGTGAACCAGATGGAGCCCCCCAGGAAAGCTCCAGACACACTTTGAATGCTCCAATCTTGCTTCTGCAGTAATATAAATATTCTGATTTCTTGAAACAATTATAACAGGTACTGTACATGTAGTCGATCAAATCCAACAATAATTACCTCCAGTAGATTGCATAAGTCTATAAAGTTAGGCTTTTCCAGATGTGACGAAGATTTGAAGAAACGAAAGTGACTCAAAAAATGGAAAACAAAGGTTATCCTTCTATATACCGGTAAGTTATGACTGACTAAAGTAATAAGTGATAACAGATTCACAGGTGAATTTCTGCTCACTGACAATTCTGTTGTAGAGGAAATGTTGTTAAATGAGACTGTGATCTTCAATTCAAAAAAGTAATTGAATGTCCCTAGATAAGGGAAAAATAGAAATAGCCTGTACATTCCCTTGTTTTTATTCATTCTATACTTAATAAAAACATGGTAATGCACAAACTTTTTCTATTTTTTTCGCTTTCTCTTATCTAGTGACAGTCAATTCTTTCTATAAATTGTCGGATTTCCTCTCAAATCTTTTCCTCTTCAACGGAATTATCAGTGAGCAGAAATTCGGCTGTGTATCTGTTATCGATCATTACTTAAGTCAGGTATATAGAAGGATAACTCTTGTATTCCATTTTTTGCGTCACTTCCATTTCTTCAAATCTTCATTACGCATCTATCGTAACATTGATCTCTGTGTTAAAATTATACTTGGAACGTGTTTAACCAGTTCTATCTCTGACAAATGTGATAATGGCTGACACCAATATTGTCCTTTAATAAACAAAATCGCTTATTTCTAATTCACCCAGCCTTAAAGTATTATTTTAAATGACTCATCATAATACAAATCTTCATTGAATCATTTATTTTATAGGTAAACAAAAGTTTGGTCTAAGACTAGCTTACTCAACCTCTGATGTGCTAAGCCGCCAGGCTGTTACTCTTGCAAATATAACATCAGAACCTACGTTTCCACAGGGAATACAAGGAGATAATGATGCTAACCTTAAATTATGGTTTGATACATGCAACAGATATGGCTTGGAGAACTGTCATGATCAGTTACAAGGAATTCAATCTGGAAGAAAAACCCTTAGTCAAGTGCTTGCAGAACAAGATGCTTTAATACAACAGATTGCAGAACAATACAAAGCTGAGGCAAAAAAGCAACAATATGAAACAGACAGTATCCAAGGCGTTCAAGATATTAATCATTTACCAAACATTGACACTCCATGCCCACAAGGTGTTCAGGGGAGTGAATGCGCACAATTTAAACTTTGGTTGCAGAACTGTCACAGATTTGGCTTCCAGAACTGTTTAGAGCAGTTTCAAAGCGCAAGAACTGGACAAAAAACATTGTCAGATATATTTAAAGAGCAGGATCATATTATTCGTTCTGTTGTATCCCAGTATCAACAAAAACGCTCTTACAGTACTTCACCTAAATCAAGCGACCCAAATAGATCAGCTACCAGTACAGCTAATACAACAGAACCAGAAATGTCTGATGTTAAAGTTGTAAAACTTTCTCAAAAAGAAAGATTTAAAAAAGCTGTAAAAGAATATGGTGCTACAGTTATTGTCTTCCATGTAGGCATATCTCTTATTTCATTAGGTGGATTTTATTTAGCTGTTTCAAGGTAAGAAAGATTTTAAATTATATGTTACTGTACAGTAGGGACCTGTGGTTGTTTTATTCTAATATGCTAATTCTGTAGAAAAAAAATATTCTGGTTCTCAGATAGTCCTTACTCGGAGGGAGGTTTTTATTTTGGTGTTTTTATTTTGTAAAAAGGAGCATTAAGTGACTTCTAATCAACATCTGGAGGGAGGTTTTTATTTTTGTTTTTATTTTGTCAAAGGATCACTAACTTTAGGGAGGTGTGAAGTCTATCTGCCAGCCACATTGGTTTTTATAAGCCTACATTAAAATGTGGTCGTATATTGTCATCGCCCCTATTCGTCCGTTCGTCTGTCCGGGGTCCAAAACCTATGTGACTGGCAGATAGACTTCACACCTCCCCTAAAGTTTTTCAGGACTGTGACAATAATATGCACAAGTATTTGGGACATTCTAGAGGCTACAGTTAAATAATATCCGATTGACTTTAAATTTATACACAGTGTTTAAGGTCATGAGATGAAGAATCCTATTGAATTGCAGCGATTTCTGATAATTACTACCTGAATTATGGCCCTTGATCATTTTGAAAAATCTTGTGGATGCTTGATCTAGAGGCTAAAGTTAATATCCAATTGACTTTAAATTTATACACAGGGGTTAAGGTCATAAGACAAAGAAACCCATTCATTTTCAATGATTTTCGATAATTAAGGCCCTTGATCACTTTGAAAAATCTTGTGGACGCTCTAGAGGCTAAAACTCCATTTCATTTATTTATAAATTGTTTAAAGTCATGATAATTACTTAATGGGTTATTACTCGTAATATAATTTTCATGTGTTGTAAATGTAAAAGATAAAATATTTGACAACACTTGTTGACTGCCCGGATGACTTACATGTAGCTGCTGTGGGTGTATGCTTCATTGCCTGGCAACCTATCTTTTAATATATATGTAACAAAAAGGCTAAAATTAAACATAAATCAGATAACATTACACTCTTTTGGAATACACATAAAGATTAATATTACATGTTTCTTTGTTTTGTTTTTCAGTGGCATTGATTTAGTTGGTATTTTGACAAGATTAGGAGTTGGAGAAAGTATTCTGCAATCTAAAGTGGTATCAGGTGCTGGTACATTTGTTGTTGCCTATGCTGTCCATAAGGTTTTTGCTCCAGTACGAATTGGAATAACATTAACATCAAGTCCATTCATTGTTCGATATTTGAGAAGAATAGGATTCTTGAAGACACCTAAAACTATTGTTAAATAATCAGTAAAACGTCTTTTGAACTGGCTGATGCATTTTCAGTTCATAAAATTGACAGTAAAATTTATGTTGGCGAAATGAAACTAGATAATTTGTGCTAACGTTTTCGCAACTGAAGTTGCTCTTCAGGCATTTACTATAACATTAATCATATATATGTATACAAAATAATAATAATGAATACATGTACATACATATGTGAAGGCATTTTTGTGAAACACTTAAGATATATTTTAGTTTTAAAAACCTTGGTATTTTGTGGTGATAGACTCTTGTAAACTTGTGCATGCCGGGATAACCAAATATATTTAGAGTGTTATTGGGGTGATTATCAAGTCATTTCACACAATTGAGGAATGAAATTTCTTACATAAGTTACGCCGTTTAACAAGTCTAGAGTTCGTTTTGATTTGAAATTTCCAGTCAAGGTAAAAAGGGCTATATCATCACATGATTAAATTTACTCTTTACTCCTTAGTCCTTAACTGTGTTGTAAAATCAGGGACTACCCCTTTAATTCCTATAGATTGTGTTTTATGGCATATTTTACCACATAAAATATAACAATAGTACAAATCTTTGGAACATATGGGAATCTAATGCAATTAATTTAATGTTTCACAAAAATGGCTCAGGTTAATTTATATAATAATAACTAGAACTTTGCATGTAAGTGAGCAATATAAAGGTTGTTAAAGTATATAATTCACAACATAGTTAAATATACATGTATATAACTTAGCAAAGCATGCATTGTCTATAACTTGTGTATGGTAATATAGTTGATCTAAAACTGTTAAAAATATATATAAGTGATTGGCATAAATATATTATTATACAGTGTATTACAGTGACCTTATTAACTTAAAACAGATATATTTTTGATATGTTGAAAAAAACAAAGAATGGCAGTGACATTAAAAATAATATGTGTCCGATGTACTGTATGAGTGTGAAAAAAATAATGTTTCATATTGTTTAAATTTTAAATCACTGTCAGTGTTATTATGGTAACTTTACATTTGAAGACAACATGTGATGGTTATGTTAAAAAGTTGCTTTATATATGCCCAAATTGAAATGTCATAATTTGTCGTTGCCCCCTTACGTCCGTCTGGCATCCAGAATTGCTTGTAGACGCTCTATAGAAAATAAATGGGGTTTAACGTCCGACTATTCTGCTCTAACTGGGCTAATGAAGACGGCATAGGGTATGCAGTGTGCTATGAGGGAAATTTTGCCCAGGCAGCGGCACTGTGGCCTACTCTTATATCGAATTCCAACTGCCAAGCGATCTTTTATGTGCACACCAATGTATACATGGGACCTCTGTTTTTTGTCTCATCCAAATGACTAGACAGCTGTCCTTGTCAGGCCCTCCATCCTGCACCACTGACAAGGGGAAACCATGTCGGAAAATCCTGATGAACGTTCTCAGCACTGCAGGGATCGAACATGCGACCTTCATGCTAGTGAGCCAGCGTCTTACCCACTTAGCAACTGTGGCTTCGATGCTCTAAAGGCTAAAGTTAATATCCCGAATGACTTTAAATTTATATACAGTGTTTATGGTAATGAGACGGAGAATCCTATTGATTTTCACCGATTTCCGATAATTACTGCCAGAGTTATGGCCCTTGTGGACCTTCTAGAGGCTAAAGTTAATATCCAATTGACTTTAAATTTATACATGGTGTTAAGGTCATCAGTTCATGATTTTATATTTATACAAAGTGTTTATGCCTATATCTAATCGTCTTGAGACGAACAGGTATATGGATTTTCAATGATTTTGATAACTTGAACAGCTAAATCCATCATATCAAATGTTTTGTATACTAAACGTTAGCATGGGCCAAACAAATTCTAATGGTTTTCTGATAATTACTTAATGAGTTGTTACTTTTTATCAGATTTTAGTGTATTATAAATGTTTCATTACCGACAAAAGTAAAAATATGTGACAACTCTTGTTGACTGCTCGGACGATTTAGCTGCCGTGGGCGTATGTTTCATTGCTTGGCAACCTATCTTTACTATTTTCCAGTATGTAAATCAGTGTGTAGGAAATACAGTTAACTCTTGGGAGGGAAACTGGGCTAAAGTATAATTTACTGTATGACTCCTAAAAACATTATATAGGCAAGTTCTTGTATATACATGTAATATATAAGAATCTCACTGTAACCTAGATTTAAATATAGTCTGTAGACCCTAACATCACAACTTTGAAAAAGTCCTATTAATGTTACGATAATTTACTCGTGCAGTAGATGTCTGTTATGCTTTTTGAAATTAGAAACCTATAAAACAAACCAAGATAAATAGAATACTTTAAGATACAATTTATAGTTGCATTTTTATATGACAGGGAATTCGGTAAAAAGCAAGGCGGTATGATTTGTCTTTTAAAATAAAGGGGGAGCACACATATTTTCCTTGTAGTTTTCATCATTAGGTTTTTATATAGCTTTCATCAGTTTGTTAGTAGAGCCTTTGCACTTCCTCAAACAAAAATTTGATTTTCTGCAGATCTGTGGAACATTATGTAGAAATTAGACTATCTTGCTTCATTTTTAGGCCTGCTGGGAGATAAACTATAAAATTGCAGTTCAGAATGGTCAAATGACAGTGTTAAAACTTTGAGTACCATTATGTCTCATTGTGCTTAGTTTACAATATTGGCCCTGTTGGGGGAAACAGTCATGAAGTTGTAAAAGAATGTTCTTTTGTACTTTATAGAATATAACCTACCATAAACTTTAAACTAAACATTCATATTTTGTACGAAGTATAGCAAAGATAACAACAGGCCTACAGTAGCTAGTAGCTAATTCCAATTCGAAAACTACAAGCATGAACCTCACTCATATAGCAGTTTAATTTATCTCCATTGCAACTGTCAAAATCTAACAGCCCGAAGATCTCAATTCCATAATATCTTTTAAACCGAATTGACCCACATTTCTGCTAACTTGAAACCTAGAACCGAACAGGCATGATTTTGCTACAGCTGAAACAAAGACTTTGTGGATTCAAAGGACCTTTAACAAAGATTATGCAAGAGCTAAATCTGCCAATTGCACGTCTTTCTTTAGGCCTGAAATGTTATTTAAGTTATTAATTAGACATTAATTAACTTATCCAGACCATAATCAACCCTCGGTGAAATCGCTAGCCTGCGATATGTTTTGGATTAGAATCATATCTGCTGCTTAACGCTCATAGATAATTAAAAAAAAAAGTGGATAATTGAGTCTATGTTTTTTATCGTACCGACTTCAGTAATGATGATCGAGGCTTGACTGAAATTTTCAGCAAATTGCCTTTACATTATCTAGTTTTTAACTATTATAGTGAGAACTGCCAGCTCTTTATCTAATCTCCCATAATGTACGGTATCTTTAATTTTAACATGTGCATATAATAATAATAATAAAAATAATGTGAACGTTTGTATGGTGCTATTCCACACTGACTGTATGCTCGTAGCACATATCTTCAATTGCCAATCTTTGTCTTTGGGCACAAATTAAAGACATCTAAATGGAATCTTGGATTTGTTATAATTATGTGCCATTTTATAATTAATGGGGAATAACTCCATTTTTTGTCAAAGGGATCAGACTATAGTATTTTCTATCCTCTGTCAAAAGGGTGTCCAGGGAGATAAATCTCTTTTATCATGATAAAGAAGAGGTAGCCTCAACAAAATCTGATAGTTATATGGTTGGGTGAGGTTTATAAGTAATTAACAATTAATGGTCGTGGTGAACAATGCTGTAGAGAAAAGCATTCAGCCCAACGGAAATTTGAGGGGGGGGGGGGGGGGGTTGGAGCCGGGCAAAGAAGACATAATTAACATTGAAGTCAATGGGGAAATTAATGGTGGTCTGCATCCATTTAATTTTGAGAGTTATCCCCCTTACTCCACATTACTGATAAAGTTTCACCGTATGAAACATTTTATCTGTTCTTACAAAATGGCAATGACATGGTGCAGAAGAAAGAGTTTATGGTCAAAATCAAGAAATTTTACCAGAATTGTCCTTGATACAAATTCACCAGTAGGTCGATTACAGACCGTCGTATTCAAGCAGGCAAGGATACATTGTTATTCTTCAAGTTCAAGAACAACTACAACAAAGCAACCAAACCAAAGAGATTATTGCATCGATCTTGTCAGGTAGGCTACTGGTATAATTTAAAGAAGCTAAGTCTCTAACTGAATATCATCAAAAATCTTCGACATTGAAAACACGAATTATTTGTCAGTTTAAAGGAGCTAAATCGCTAATATTTGGGACCTAGAAATTGACACATATGGGTCGCAACGCATATAATAATGTAATGTGAATGTATATAAACTGATTTACATTCAACCGTTTCTGTTTTTACTGTAATTTCTAATCAGTTATGTTCGTCGAAATACAACAGAAGTCTCAACTGAATGGCAATCTTTAGCGTCTGGTTATTCCAGTCTACACCGATGATATTTATTGCGCATGCTCTCCAGATAAGAATATAGCATCACCATTTGAAATGACTTGTGGAATATGTCTAGCCGCGTTCTTTGAGTCCTTTGTTCCAAATGGCGCTGAAACGCATTATGGTACACGATTCGTGTACCAATGGTAAAATGTTTATTTTGTCTTGAATATTGGATATCAGAAGTCCATCTTTTCCCTGTAAGATCACAAGACCAATGTTGATTTGAATTGACAAATAATTCGTGTTTTCAATGTCGAAGATTATTGATGATATTGAGTTAGAGACTTAGCTACTTTAAATCAACATTGAAGTTGTGATCTTACCAGGAAAAGATTGGATTCTGATATCCAATATTCAAGACAAAATAAACATTTTGTCTTTGGTAGCACTTGGTACACGAATCATGTACCATAATGCGTTTCAGTGCCATTTGGAACAAAGGACTCAAAGAACGATGCTAGACATATTTCACAAGTCATGTCAAATGGTGACGCTATATTCTTATCTGGAGAGTTTGATTGTAATTCTACGAGTCGTAATAAGGAACGAAGAAATCATGTGTGAAGACGGGGGCATCTTGTTTCATTCTTTAAAACAGGCGATAGTATATTTCAGCACAGGTTAGGAACGAAAAAGGGTGGGTGCCAAATCAACCAAATTCAGAAATTGGGAGGGCACTTCCCTAAAGGTAAGCTCGGTTAATTTTTAAATTCTACATGATCATAGTTACGTCACTCCAAAACCATGTGAGATTTCAGAGCAAATATGATATAATATCGCCAAAAATATGAATCTGCAGACAAACAGGTGACTCCCAAAGGTTTTGCTACCGGTATCACATAGGCCTAAAGGAATTATTGTTGAGACAGGGTACTACGCTCTGTATTGATTGCGCTATAACTTAGTTTTTACTCGTAGCGCGTTGCTAAAAAGTTTGTGTTTTCCAGTAAGGTACAACAAGAATACTGGTAGCTTGGTCTTCTTGTAACTCCTATAGAAGTAGACAATTTGGAAATGCATAGAGTATAAGATCTGTCCAGAGAAGAGTAAAGGCATTCACCGTACTAGATTCTGGATCACACATATATGATACATACATATATGGTTTAAACTGATAATTCAATCTGTACGTGAAAAGATCCATATATTATCAGGGTTAACATCTAGACCCTTCATTGATTTTTGAAAAAGGGTTTTCTTAACATTCACTCAGTACTGCCGTTAACCAAATATTATGTTCTTTAAAAAGCCATATTTAACGAGTTAAATAAGTAACATTTATCAGAATGACTGGTTCCCATATGTGTGATAGAGGAAATGGCAGTATTATTATCAATGAATAATTTAATTTACTATTTACTATTCTGGGAACAAAACTCTTCAATGCCAAATAAACAGCATGTGTTTCTAGGTAATTGATGTGTTCCTTCCGTTCAGTCACCACCTATCAGATATCACCCTCTGATGACATCACAACAGGTTGATACGTTACATAACATGCATTGAAGATCAAAGGAAATAACATCCCAAGGTGTGTAATTGCCGTTACTACACTAGGATCTGGGAGAGTTGTTATATTACCGGCTTCTTGGTTGAAGTGAGGGATAAGCCAATGAAACAGTCTGTTAGAGCAAACCACTAGATACGCCAACGCTGATTGATTAATCAATGTCTGAGGTCATAGGTCAAAAGCTGCTTGTACGATTCCTGACACGACCTTTGAGTACAACTTTAGATTTTAAGCAGCCTGCTTGAAACTTCTCTGCTTTCTCTAAGGGTCTAATTTTTAATTGCCCACAGAAGTCTTCAAATTTTCTTACCAAGTTGTGATCAAAATTTAAACGAGAAACTATTTCTGACGAGGTTGGTTTTGTTTGTAGCTGTTCTTCTGTCGATATTTGTTTCGAGGGCGGCAGTCTAAAAAATGAACAGTGTGATTATTATACCTCTTGCTGTAATTAGATGAAGAATTGTCATAATAGTCTCTACAACTTGTGGTTGCTGACATTTTTGCCCGAGTTTGCCCAGATCTCCCCATTAACTGTGGGAACAAACAGGTTAGGGCAATTCTCAGGATATTTCTCCAATGTTTTCTTCAATATATCATCAGTCACTCTTTCAGCAAACCGACTATTTACCGAAGAGGCTAATTTAGATGACAGTTTTGGTCTTGCCTTTTCAGAACCAAGAAATTCTTTATTAATTATTGTATCTAACAATGTATCTGCTTCCTTGTCCACTACAGGTACAGTACACAATAGAGGATTGTCTGCTTCTATGAAATTCATAAGAACCAGTAATACTAAGAGAACAACTGGTATCTGATGTCTAACTTGAACTGGTGTGACGAAGGACCTTTCTTCTCTTTGGAGAAGGTGATCTATGAGCAGAGACTCTAGGAATCGGCTTAAGAGATTCCATATGTGGATGTTTTCTGATTCTTCTACTTCTAGATGATCTTAAGTTCGTCTCTTTTATTTCAGAATGAGACCAGCGGTGACAGCCAGATTTGTTAGCTAATTTGCATATAGCCTGTCCCATAATCTCAAGATGCTGCGACATCAGATTCATAGTATCTTGATAATAACACACCAGGTTGTTTAGTTTGTTTTCCAAGTGTGTCACTGGAAAAAGGGGTACCCCCACTAGGTATTTCATCTTCAACATGTGGCCAAGAAGTTCACGCTTCTAATGAAACTGTGCCAAACCAATAGATGGGGAAGAGCAGTGTAACCAAATAATTTTTCTAAAGAAGACCAGGTCAAGAGAGTCTGGCTGATTATCTAAATAGTAACCGTATTTTAATTTTGGATGCTGCTGTCTATGGCAATGCTTTTTTTTTTACAAACTCAGTTTTTAGGCATGTCAATGGCTGATCAACAAACGACTGCTCACATATTTTACGGAATATAACTGATAAGAAATTACAATAAAATTTTTAAAAATTGAATTTAAATCAGTTTATCTACATTCATATTACATTAATATGTGCCTTTCAACCAATTTTTATTATGTTTTAAAGTTTCAAAAGAGTAGAGCTATAATCTATATTCAGTTTTATTCTTTTTCAGAAAACATGACTATGAAAATTATCTCAGTAATTTACTAATGCCAGGTTTATCTCAGAGAGGTGCCTTTGCTATAAGAGCATTTAATGTTGAATTAGCTCTAGTAAGTTGATATTGCCTCTATTATATTATTTATTGCATTAAGTTAAATTATTCAAGTGGGATTCTTGGTGAACAAGATCATACATGGAATGATAGACAATTGATAGTACCATTTGCCGACAAATACTTTTTTAGGAGATCAGTTAGTAAAATATTGAAAACTGTATTCAAATTTGGGTATTCGTGCTTTTGAGATATGATTTAATCAGATGCTTGTTTTTTTATTTATTTTTCAGATCCAGGATATTGTATCCGAAAAACAAATTGGTATTATGAGACTAAAATTTTGGCGAGACAATATAGACAGGATATACCAGGTAGATATTACTGTAAAACTGTTTTATTAAACTAATAAATATTTACATAAATAAAAAGGCACAAAGTTTGAATCCATTAATGGTCAAGACTATCTTGGGGTTCTCAAATTGTTCATGAAGCATGTGATGCTATTAAATTTATTTTAGTTACAATGAAATACGCATTTTTTCCTTTGTGTTCTTGATAATCTTTGATTAGACGTTTTTAAACCCATATATTTTCTTTATTAGGGTTCACCACCTAATACTCCAGTTGCTTTAGAACTTTATGGGGTAAGTAGGTATTTTGAATTTTTTCTTTAATTATGATGTGCAATAAAACCAAAGTTGCAGCAGCAAAGAGACATGTTTGTTAATAGCGAGTACATTATTCTGAATTCTTGGTTAAACATACATTTTGTGAGATAAGATAAAGAGCTGGCAGTTCTCACTATAATAGTTAAAAACTAGATAATGTAGAGGGAATTTGCTGAAAATTTCAGTCAAATTGATCCACTCTGAACCGAGAATTTAGCGATTGATTTTTAGGCCTAGCCTCGATTATCATTACTATAGTCGGTACGATAAAAAACATCCATTTTTTGATTTAATCATCAATGAGCATTAAGCAGCAGATCCGATTCCAATCCAGTAAATATTTATTTAAGGCTTGGTATATATATAAATATTGTGGTGTAATGGTCTAGATATTTGGAGATATTTATTTATGGTGGTTGTCTTACACATGGTAATAACACAATCCAAATAAATGTACACTTTTTAAATCCATACCAATTAAAGATACATTATGTAAGATTTAGATAAAGAGCTGGCCGTTCTTGCCATAATAGTTCAAAAATAGATACGGCTTAATGAATATATTGAAAATTTCATTTATATTAGTTTATTCTAAGCCAAGTTATCACTGTTTGTACTTTTGATAAGATGTGTGCATTGATTGTTCAATATCATAACCACGGTACTGGTATATTCAAGACTTAGACTAGCTCCTCCATTTTCATAGGTCCACATTCATAATGGATAATAGGGTTGTACCTATTTACATTTTGTCTGTAAATGATATACCGGTTGCAGTTATTAACAGATTTTGACCCAGTTTGGCATGATCCATCATAGGGTTGTACCTATTAATATTGGTATATTGCTCTTGTTTGTTTGTCATCTACAGGCTGCAGTTCTTAGCAGATCCTTTTGACACTTTGCATAGTTATTCCTTATACCTTAAGGATCACCCCAATTGTTTTTGGTGCATGCCTAACCCCAAGGGGCAGAGCCACACCCATTTTCTTTTTGTGTGTGTCACCTACAGGCAACGGTTCTTAATGAATTGTCTGAAAACTTTTCATACTTATTCCTAATACCCTAAGGATGACCTCTTTTATATTCGGTGCATGCCCAACCCCCTGGGACAGGGGGTGTCTGTGTCTGTGTATCGCCTAACAGATTCTTTTAAAACTTTGCATACCTATCACTTATACCCTAAGGATGATCCCTATTGTATTTGGTGAATGCCCGATCCCAAGGGACAAGCCACACCCACTTTTCTTAATGGATCGTCTTGGAATTTGGTATATTTATTCCTTACAGCCTAAAGACGCCAACTATTGATTTTAGTGCATGTGCCGACCCAAGGGGCAGAGCCAAGCCCAATTTTGGTGTTTATCATAATAATAATATACTGACCACAATTCTGAATGGATCAGCTTGGACTTGGCATATGTATTCCTTATAGCCTAATGGCGGCAACTATTGATTTGGTGCCTGTCACGACCCCCAGGATCCTGTATTAAATAATGACTTCAATTGATTTACAGCAGTCTTTTAATCTTTTTCAGGCAACTCAGCACTTAAAATTATCCAAGAAATGGTTAGCTAATATGGTTGATGCAAGGGTAAAATATTTTAAGTATTTGTGGGGCTGGAAGTGCACTCATAGTGAATGAGAATTTTAGATTAATTTAAATATAAAAAATAAACACATGTAGTAACTATTCTACATGTCCACAATCTTTTATTGTTTTTTTTTTTAAAGAAATAAAATGTAAAACATACATATTAATGTAACAAAACCTTTCAAATATACTTCACATTTATTAATCACTGATAAATTGAAAAATACATTGCTCTTTTTCTTAAATTATGATGTACATTGATTCTCAACTGTTTAATTATTATCATATGAATATAATCATTACCTGTTTTCTTTTTTCATCTGTCTCATGCTCGTTGAGGCGAATCGTTACATAATAATTCAATTAGTAAATGAAACTAATTAAGATATAATAATATATTTGATGTGTTAGATAGTTTGAACAAATGGAAGATAAATCTTATACGAGTATAAAACACATAGAAGAATTTGCTGAAAAAGGTGTCTGCCCTATGAACTATCTTCTCTTACAATGTTTAGGTATGGTATATTTACTATAGTATGATATATAAGGATATTAATTAACATTTTAAAGAGGTATTTTTATTCTCACCAAGAACTTAAATGTGATTAATTTTGAATAACGTTAAGTTCATACCACCATAAGTATCTTTCACGACAATCCACACAAAAATTTGTATACCAAAAACCGTTTAAAGATTTTCCATACAATCTAACCTGAACATCCACCATGTATTGTTAAGGCCATATAAAAAAAAATATATTCTGGTTCTCAGGTAATCCCATGTCACTTTAACAGGGCGCCGTGACTTGTTTTTATATCAAAAGATAAAAACAGTCTCATCATTTACCGCATCTAAATCTTTAAAAAGAAATCTGAATGAATCCATAGGCTCATTATCAGAAGTACACAACTTAACCCTGATAAATATTACAGACATCATAAAGAACACTGGATAATCATACATTACTTTAAACAACATGATGAGATAAATGTTGTGCCTTGAAACATGATGTTTATGAGAAGTCATTTAGACAATTAGCTATCCTTTGACAAAATAAAAATACAAAAATAAAAACCTTACTCCCACATCAGATTTTTGGTAAGGACTGTCTGAGAACCAGAATATTTTGTTTATATGGCCTACATATAGTCAAATCAGGTCAAATCAAAAAATTTATTTTTTGCCAACCCTGGTAGACATCCAAAGCTCTAATAACTTTTTTAATGTGAATTTCACCCAGGATATTGAATGATGTCTAAATAAATGGAAAGTAACCTCTTCATAAATATAACCTGTTCTGGCAAAGTCTTTACTTCATTTGACCAAAGCTTTTTATCCATGTCATCACAGTACCTTTTTACAGGAAAAAGAAATTTAAAGGGATATAATAATGTTTTTGTATCATTAACTAGGCTTTTATAAACATCAATCTAGATTTATATTTTCGTTCCAGGTGTTGAGAATATACATGCTGACCATGCAGCTAGTCATATAGGTAAAGCCCAGAGTATAGTCACTTTATTGAGGGCTGCCCCATTTCATGCTGGTAAAAAGAAAGTTTATCTACCAATGGATTTATTAATAAAGGTAATTCAGTATTATAATTTAATACAAATATTTACAAATGTGTACACTCTACAGGTAAACTTCAGAAGATATGGGGGGGTTGGATGGCCGAATGGTTAGCACGCGCGCGCTGTATCATACGGTCTGTCATTGAGTCAACTGGCAGGGTTTCGATTCCCCGGTTGTACGTGACAAGGAGTAGGGTCGCCTGTCCAACCTTGTTGCTTTTCTCCGGGTCCTCCGGTTTCCTCCCACTGCTAAAGACCCCTACGCGCAAGCGAATGATTAAAATAAAATTGATCCATGTGTTAGTCCCGAAATGACCTAGTATGTATCAAGTGGACGTTAAACCCCATTTCTCTCTCTCTCTCTCTCTCAAAAGATATGTTTTATTTTTGGTCTTTTGGTCTAGAAACAAAATGACCAAGTAGATTGAATAAAATCACTAGTTCATTGTACATTTAGCAATGTAATAATAAGTCAGCTATCTTTTTCATACAAGTCAGACTTTAGGCTCTTTTTGTGGCAGATTGACGGTCGTCTACTTATAGTTTAGACTAACAAAAACACAAAATAGCTATATTGGGGTTACTTTTAATTCTAAAACTTAAAATCATGTTAATAATGTATATAAAGGTTGCTATTTTCATCTTTTCAAATATTTCAAAGTTAAGGACAAATCTAAGCATGGCTGTTGTAAAAAAAACCCTGGTTCACACTATGATTACATCAAGATCAGAAAATTGCAATTCACGTTTAATTGACCTGTGACAACACATCCTGGACAAGCTTCAAATGTTCCAAATTCCGCAGCACATCTTGTGACACTAGCGAGGGATTGGGTGACCAAATTTGATTTGATTCCAATCCCTGATTGTACGTTACAAGGAGTAGGTTTGCCTTTTCTCTGCGTCCTCCAGTTTCCGCCCACAGCTAAAAACCCCTACGTGCAGTCGTGCAAGCAAATTATTGAAATAAAATTGAACCATATGTTAGTCCTGAAATAACTAGTTTGTCTTGAACACAGAGAATTATGATCGCTTTACCCTGATATTGCATCAGCTCCATTGGTTACCTATTCACTACAGTACTCAATTTAAAACCCTGCTTCTGGCTTAAAAATGTGTAAATCATTTGGCAGCTGGCACCCATTATATAATTTAATTGTTTCAGTGGCATTTAGTAATTGAACTGGAGGTCATAATTCTATGGAATACAATTGCTGTTTATTACTGAGCACTTTTATCAAGCAATATTTAGTAGAACTTGAAATTAAATTCAGCTAACCTCAGGCACCAAATCTCAAGCCTTTGACCATTTGGCCGATGTACTATTTTTCTGGTTTCATTTTGTCTGTTTATGTTATTGTATCTTAATGTTGTTGTATCTATTTATTACATACATATTTTTTGACTGTATTTTATCATTATTTTATATGGACCTTATGGCTTATGGCCTTCTATGTATTTCATTATTGTATATTTTATTGTGTTCATGTAATTGTGTATGTTTATATTTTAATGAACAGGTATTTGGAACTGTTTGATAATTGTAAAGCACATCTGAGCATTTCTTGGTGAAAGATTGAACTATACAAAATTATTGAAATAAAAGTGTGTCGTTAAATTAATGCTATAGCTTGGGTTATTCACAATTTTCACCTAATTTCATGTTTTAAATTTACCTGTGTTTTATTTTAGAATAAAGTATCTCAAGAAAGTGTAATTCGTGGTAAAACTGACCAGCCTATTAAAGATGTTGTATATGAAACTGCTAGTATAGCTCATCATCATTTAAAACATGTAAGTTTAGAATAATCTTGAATATGAAATCTATAATATTGTCAGTAAGTTCAGAAAGGCACTTGAATATGGAATCAACAATGTCAACTGGGAGTCAAAAACACATAATATCATGTTTTCAGGAGAGGCAAAAAACTGTAAAATTTCATTATAAATTTTAATTATACAACAAGCATCGGCAGGCACAATCTAATTGGCATGTCGGATAAAACTATAAGTTGTGTTTCTGCTAAAGCGTGATATCTTGCCTAGTTTCAGACTTACGAGGTTTTGAGTTATGATTTTCAAGTAGGTATTGAGCTATAAGGTTTTACCTAATGCCGAACTATATACATACAAGGTTTTGGGGAGCCGCGGTGGCCCATTGAGTAAGGCGCAGGATCGACAACCAGGGGGACAGGGTTTTATCCCGGTGTTGACCGAGAAAGAACCACAGGGTTTTCAAGCATATTTTCTCCTTTCAGTGGAACACAACGAAGTTCCTGGAAAGGATTTGTCTAGTCTTTTGGATGGGATGAAAAACCAGTATCGTGTACACGTTGGCCTGACGAGGGACAACGTCTATTCGTTCTGATAGATGGGACGATTAACCGAGGTCCTGAGTACACATTGGCGTGCACGTTAGAGAACCCTTAACAATTAGAATTTGATATAAGAGTAGGTCGTAACACTGTTGTGCGCCCGTCTTCATTAGTCAGGTTGGTGCAGAACAACGGTATGATGCTAGACCCCATTTTGTTCATTCATATAAGCTTTTGCTCTCTGGTGTGTAAGGATAGGTAGCAGAATTAAAACATCTTTATTTCATTCAGAAAAAATGGTACATCAACCAAATATTATTATGGTCTAATGTGAGGTACATGGTTTTGCACACATCAGTTCTAACCAATCGAAATACAAGATTTTGTTCATGTGACTTTTACACCAAATTTTATTGGCATAGATGTACAAGTATTTAGAGACAGTAGGTATCATGACGGGAATAGTCGATTTTGGCAAAAACATGACAATCGCAAAAAAACAAGTTACACACGGTTTTGACTCCAGATCGACGCTAGGTATCTCTCCTTGTTTAGTTGACATGAAAACAAGAGTACCTTGCTGACAAGAAAAAACACAATTTTGTTTGAAATACTATACTATAAATTATAATGTTTGGTGTGTGGACCATCCTTTGTTAAACATCAATTATTCTCTATGCATAAACTTAGAGTGAAACTTGAACACTTCATAAAATAGAAAAAGAAAATTGAATGATAAAATTTCATTGTTATTGTAGGCAAGATCTTTTAAATCTGATGTTCCTAAAGAGGCTTGTGTAGCTTTTCTATCTACAGTAAGTATTTCTATATTGTTAACAAAACTATCAAAATAAATGATGGCAGTGACTATTTGCCACATGTGGTTAGCAAGAATTTCAAAATACAGACCACAATTATCAACCGATATCCATGAAACTTACAGAATATGATAACATTAATAATATCTCAGAGTAGGCAAAATTTCGACCACTTCCGGTTAGCGGTTTTCGAGATATCAGGTTACCACACATTTCATGTGGCACGGCTACAGACCACAATTATCAACCGATTTCCATGAAACTTACAGAATATGATAACATTAATCATATCTCAGAGTAGCCAAAATTTCGACCACTTCCGGTTAGCAGTTTCGGAGATATCAGGTTACCACACATTTCATGTGGCTCGGCTACAGACTACAATTATCAACCGATTTCCATGAAACTTACAGAATAAGACAACATTAATAATATATCTCAGAGTAGCCAAAATTTTGACCACTTCCGATTAGCGGTTCTCGGTGGCATGGCTACAGAACGCAATTACCAACCGATTTCAATGAAACTAGCAGATTATAATGACATTAATAATATCTCAGAGTAGCCAAAATTTCGACCACTTCCGGTTAGCGGTTTTTGAGATATCAGGTTACCACACATTTCATGTGGCACGGCTACAGACCACAATTATCAACCGATTTCAATGAAACTTGCAGATTATAATGACTTTAATAATATCTCAGAGTGGCCAAAATGTTGACCACTTCTGGTTAGTGGTTTCCGAGATATCAGGTTACCACACATTACATGTGGCACGGCTACAGAACGCAATTACCAACCGATTTCAATGAAACTTGCAGATTATAATGACATTAATAATATCTCAGAGTAGCCAAAATTTCGACCACTTCCGGTTAGCGGTTTTCGAGATATCAGGTTACCACACATTTCATGTGGCACGGCTACAGACCACAATTATCAACCGATTTCAATGAAACTTGCAGATTATAATTACTCTAATTATATCTCAGAGTGGCCGAAATTTCGACCACTTCCGGTTAGCGGTTTCCGAGATATCAGGTTACCACACATTTCATGTGGTACGGCTACAGACCACAATTATCGACCGATTTCAATGAAATTTGCAGATTATAATTACTTTAATAATATCTCAGTGTAGCCAAAATTTCGGCCACTTCCAGGTAGCGGTTTCCGAGAGATCAGTTTACCACAAATTTCATGTGGACGGCTACAGACTGCAAATACCAACCGATTTCAATGAAACTTGCAGATTATATTAATATTAGTAATATCTCAGAGTAGCCAAAATTTCGACCACTTCCGGTTAGCGGTTTTCAAGATATCAGGTTACCACACATTTCATGTGGCACGGCTACAGACCGCAATTATCAACCGATTTCAATGAAACTTGCAGATTATAATTACTTTAATAATATCTCAGAGTAGCCAAAATTTCATGTGGCACGGCTACAGAACGCAATTACCAACCGATTTTAATGAAACTTGCAGATGAAATGTGTGGTAACCTGATATCTTGGAAACCGCTAACCAGAAGTGGTCGAAATTTTGCCTACTCTGAGATATTATTAATGTTATCATATTCTGTAAGTTTCATGGAAATCGGTTGATAATTGTGGTCTGTAGCCGTGCCACATGAAATGTGTGGTAACCTGATATCTCGGAAACCGCTAACCGGAGGTGTTCGAAATTTTGGCTACTCTGAGATATTATTAATTTTATCATATTCTGTAAGTTTCATGGAAATCGGTTGATAATTATGTTCTGTAGTAGTGCCACATGAAATGTGTGGTAACCTGATATCTCGGAAACCGCTAACCGGAAGTGGTTGAAATTTTGGCTACTCTTGAGATATTATTAATGATATCATATTCTGTAAGTTTCATGGATATCAATTGATAATTGTGGTCTGTAGCTGTGCCACATGAAATGTGTGGTAACCTGATATCTCCGAAACCGCTAACTGGAAGTGGTCGAAATTTTACCTACTCTGAGATATTATTTATGTTATCGTTATCTGTAAGTTTCATTGAAATCGGTGGATAATTGCGGTACGGAGACTTGCCACATGTGGCAAATAGTCTCCGGGTTGTCTTACCACATGTGGCATATAGCCCCAGCCATAAATGATTACACAGATTTATATTGTACTTTAAAAAACTAGATGGTACTCCATTAATAATTCTTAAAAGTTTGGAAAAGAAAGGTCTTTATGTCAAACATATGTGGGAAAAATACGGCACTGATTGCACTAATATTAGAGCTTAGCTAGTTTTTATGGCAGTTTCAAATGGCAGAAAATGTTGTTGCCTTCTCAGTCCTGAATGTCTTATGTACCGAGTTGTTAATACAATTTATTTAAGTTAATATTTAATTACACTTTGTTATTGATGGGACTGTTAGATTCAATATTTCAGACTTGTTAATTTTGAAAGGCACAGTTACTTATATTTTGTGATCAATAATATTAGTAAAAATTATAAACTATATTTCAGGTATCTTGTGAGTGGTATTTAAAACAATTACAAACAGCTGACTTTAATATATTTGACTCAAGACTTCAAAGAAGAAACAACCTATTACCTCTTAGGCTATGGTTACAAAAGAGGAAAAAGACATATTAGTAACCTCATAATAAATTAATTAAAAAAAATCAATAAAATTGGAAGGAAAAAGAAATTGTTTAATAAAAAAATTGTGAATATACATATTTATATTGATACTACTACATAAGCATTTATATCAATTTGGATTTCTGTGTTTGTGTGTCACTGTGTCATTGTATAGTTTGTGTCTAGTCATAGGCGTATGAGCCGGGTTGGGGGGGGGGGGCAGCTGCCTCCTAACTTTCGGGCAGACGGGTAAAGTGAAAACAAAAATTATTATTTAATTGAATACCACAAATTTGTACTGAATTGACTCTGGACCCACTGTGCTTTGTGCATCAATTATTATTTGTGAATGCTGCTGCAACAGTCCGATTGGATGGTTGGAATTCAGGTTGGCATAGAGTGGGATTTCAGTTGTAAAATGATTGGAAACTTCGAAGTTGCTTAACTCACGGGCTAGATTAGCAGAAAACGCATTTGTGGCGGTTATACTTTCAAAATGGATTGGTTGATGGATTGGTTGTTTGGGATTCAGGTCGGCCACCTAAGGTATAGGCTATATTGGACCACATTGAAGTTGCTGTATTCACGGGCTGGAATAGCAGGAAAACGCGTTTGCAGCAGTCAAATTTTCAAAATTTTCTCCCGACTGTCCCGTCTCCGTTGACTGTAAACGATTGATTGATTGAATGAAATTCGAGTCAGTCACCTAACTTAGGCTATATTAGACCACTTGATTTGCTGTCTTCCCGGGCTTTGGGGTGGGGGGTGGGTGCTGATGGTAAACTCTGTCTGTAACTCGTGGTTTTTTCGGGCTTTTCAGGATTTGCCCCCGTAACATACATCGAGCTGGTACGCCTAAGTGTCTAGTATAAAGGTTATTTTGCTGATACTATGCTAAAAAAGTGAGTATCGCCTGTGATATAGGTGGAAATGGTTATCTTGCTGATACTATGCTGAAATAGTGAGTGTATTATCACCTGTGGTGATATAGGTGAAATGGCTAAAACATGGTCAGTCGATCATTAAATTTTTGTACTGACAGGTTTATTACCGAATACTACAAAATACTACCTCATTGTGATTAAAAACTGACAGATAACATAAATTATTTCAATACGAATAGTTTTTTGCTGGAATTAGCAAAATTGTAGTTGGGTAAACTGGGATGTCTTATTTCTAGCAGGCCTATCTAGTCGAGCATCTGAAACACTAACCCAATATTACCAAAACAAAATCCAAATGCTATAAGATACAACCACACACTACCCTATTATTATTCAAAACTGACAGAAATTTTCAGTTATTTCTATATCAATGAGCTAATTCTTGTACTAAAGTTTCAAGTGGTCTTTTTGATATTAAATTATATTTCTTTATTAGGCCTACTATATTTGGGCATTTGAAAAATTTGAATCACACATTTTTATTAACAAATATATTAAACATACATTATGCAAGAGCTAAATCTGCCTTGTGCAGGTCTTTCTTTAGGCATGAAATGTTATATAAACTAGTAATTAGACATTTATTAACAAAACAAGACCATAATCGACTCTCGATGGCATCAGATACTCGAGATTTTAACTAGATTGAAACGGTTCGCCATTTAAAAATTTAATTTAAAAATGGGAAAGTGAGGTTAAGTCCCAATTATACCAGTGCTCTGATTACCACTGTGCACACATCTTGTCAAAACTACAATGATAACTTGGCTGAGAATGAAGTAATTTGAATGAAATTTTCAATATTTTCTTGTTTTATCATCTATTTTTGAATTATTATAGCAAGAATGACCAACTCTTTATTAAACTCTTAACTAATGTATCTTTAATAAACTATAAAACATACTTATGAGATTTTATTGTTTGGATGGGTGGGTGCACTCTTTTTATTTTGCAAACTGAAATTAAAGCTGTCTGAAGCTAAATTTGCCTATGCAGATATTTCTCTCGGCATTAAATGTTATATAAATTATTAACAGGACAAGATCATAATCAACTCTTGATGCCATCGGATAGGCCTACTCAAGATTTTAACCAGATTAGAATGGTTCGACTATTTAATGATTTAATTTAACAAGAGCATCGCTACTGATGCAATATACGTCCACATTCCTGTTTTGATTGATATATGGTACTTTTTAAAATGAAGAGAATGAAATATGAAATGGCTGTAATATGTTAAGAGGCAAAGAAGGCTAGGCGTTAGGTTTGTTTTGCCAAATTTACAGACAAAATATTAACAAAACAGTGGGTGTGACACTGCCCCAGGGGGTTTGGGCATGCACCAAAATAAATAGTTGCTGTCTTTACGGTATTAGGAATAAATATGAAAAATTCCAAGATGATCCATTCGGAATTTCAGCCTGTAGACGATAAATACATAAATTGGGCATATGGCGCTGCCCCTGGGGGTTGGATATGGAACAATATAAATAGGTGCCACCCTGTTATTGAAATGATTAATATGCTAAATTTGAACAAAATCTGTTAAATTGCAACCTGTAGAGTATTTACCAATAAAAACTAACGATTGTTATACATAATAGTTGTCGGAAAAACAATTGAATAGTTTCATGGCTTGAACTTTGACCCCGAATATCTCGAAAATGCCCCAACGGCGGACTGATGACCACTCGGCATCGTATTCTATGTGGACGTATAAAAATGGGGAAGAGAGACTAAGCCTCGAAACCAGTATTGTGGTTACGATAATACACAATCAATATATAGATCTTGTCAAAACTACAAACAGTGACAACTTGACTCATAATAAAGTAATTTGAATGAAATTTTGAGTATATTCATTTTGCATTATCTATTTTTGAACTATACTATTCAAAAAAAGTAGGGGATATTTGATTTTGGGGGCATAATACTAAAATATGCAAATGACTACGAAAAAAGTCACTATAGAACCTAACAGAAGAAACATTTCCAGTTACATGTGACGCCCAAACGCACCAATAGCTACCGCATGGAATGCAGGTGATGCTTGGGATCATCATGGGGGTCCAACCCAAGATTTGCACGACTCTGACTTTGAATGTTACAGTCATTGTGGCATTGAATTCCAGGGTGGAAACATCAGTTTAATTGTTTTAGTGACCAGAAAACAAATTTTGATATGCGTAGGCTTACCCAAAATGAAAGGTTACGTGCCCTTGGCATGCTACAGATTGGCACAACACAGGCGGTTGTGGCGCGGACGATGAATGTTTCTCAGTCTGTCATAAGCAGGCTATGGTCCAGATACCGTGATACACAATCTGTACAGGACAGACCACGCTCAGGTCGACCAAGGGCGACAACTCAAGCCCAGGATCGATTTATCCGTACCTTGGCCTTGAGAAATCGTGTCATCACAGCAAATCAGATCAGCGCTCGTCTTCGAACAGACACTGGTGTGAGAGTGAGTGGCCAGACGATTCGGAATCAACTGCATAGGGGTCACCTTCGCGCCTGACGTCCTCGCGTGATCCCTTGTTTGAGAGATCATCACATTCAGGCAAGACGTCGTTGGTGTAGGGATCGTCAACACTGGGATAATCGACGCTGGAGCAATGTGATGTTTTCAGATGAGTCAAGGTTCACTGTTGATTTTTTGGACAGACGTAGGAGGGTGTGGCGTCGTCGAAACGAGCGCTTCCAAGACGTTAACGTCATCAGACATGATCGATTTGGGGGTGGTTCTGTTATGGTGTGGGGAGGCATCACTGTTGCTGGAAGAACGGCTTTACATGTTGTTGCAGGGCGTGTTACAGGCCAGTACTACCGGGACAACATCTTGGCAGTCCATGTTGTGCCGTTCGCACGACGTCATGGCCGCCGTTTCATCTTCCAGGATGACAACGCAAGATGTCACAGGGCCAGGATCGTTACAGGTTACCTCCAACAACAGAACATCACCACATTACCTTGGCCAGCACTGAGTCCCGACCTCTCCCCCATCGAGCATGTCTGGGACATGCTTGGACAGAGGTTACGTCAACGTCAACAACGTCCTGCCAATGTCCAAGAACTTGCTGCTGCGTTGCAACAGGAATGGGACAATCTGGACCAAAATGACCTTAGACGTCTCATTAGGAGTATGCCACGTCGGATCAATGCTTGTTTGGCAAACAGAGGAGGATTTACCCGTTACTGACTTGGTTGTGATGCTGTGGTAACTTTGCTGTTTGACCCCGGGTATCATTTTACCCTTATAATGGTCAGTCTGTGCCTTACTTAGTCTAACAATCATTTGGAATAAATCGATGAATGTGAACTTCATTTCATTTTGTCATTTGTTTCTTCGTCAGTTTCATTAGGTGACTTTAATAACACTTAAAAATCAAATATCCCCTACTTTTTTTGAATAGTATATTATATCAAGAATGCACTCTAAATCTTACATCATGATGTTGACATAGAAGACTAGGTGACTTAAATGGGGTTTAATGTCCTATACTTTTCTGCACCAACCGAGCTAGTGAAGATTGGTTCCAGTGAAGCCACTGATGGTCTTTTGACTGTTGCCAGTGTTGAATCTGGATCAAATAATTCTGTGAGATTAGCTGTAATGCAGAAATGGTTGAATTTACAAAAAGATGTGGATGGTGTGAAGATTTTGCAATATTCGGCAACCTCTGCAGATGATATAAGTATAAGAATATGGTCAATAAATTTATCTGAAACTTTGAACAATTTTATAATATTTCATAATAAAAATAACGAGTGACAAAATGGGGTTATAATTTTTGGGTGTTTTGATATTCGAGACTGAAATAGTTAATGTTAATGGGAGGGAACTGTGGTCAAAACGGAAATAGAACTACCATGGCAATAACAATATGGCCGCCAATTGTTTTTCTGTTGAATAGAATTAACGATAATTGCTGTAATTTGGAAAAGCGGAGAAGGTAATAATCAAATTCAAAATTTGAATAAATAAAATAATAGATGAATTCTTACTCTATGAGATAAAATTCAAGAAAACGATAAAATCATTTGAATGCCACGCGATTTGTGTGAAATTAATTTAATGACACAAAATATTCCCCATCAAATATCAGTAGGGCCTAATAAGGTTAAGCCCAACGATGCTCTTCATTTTCAGACCTTGCTTAATTATTAGGAGAGAGGTCATATAGATCTAGGCCCTGTTCCTCAATTTCTGAATAAAATATTGTTTAAAAAAACCTCTCAAAAACCTTGCTTTAAAGGGCGTACAATAACAATGTTACAATGATAGGATGACCCGTGCACTTTACAGAAAGTTGGTCTCGACACGGCTAAATGTGCACGCTTCAGTTGCGTGTCTCGAACTGATTTCTGACTACCCCGCACTCGCTTTGAGTCGATAAATAGCCATGGCACGTGCAATTCTCTACAGATATATCAACTATTACAGCCGTAAAAAATCTATTGTTGACGATTTTGAATAGCAGTAAAATTTAGCTTCTTGGTTATTACAGCAGCTTTGGTAATTACGTTTGTTTTATTTTTTAAATTGCTTTATCATTAACTGTACCGTTAAGAGCGGCATCTTTTGGTTTAGTACAAATACTATCTCTGAATCACTTTCTTTAGCAGGAACATGATACTAGCAGTAGTTTCATTTTACTTTTACAAGTTTCTTAAAACAATTGTTGAGTTGTCTAAAGTGCTTATTTCTAAATTCAATTTCTTGTTCTAGCTTTCTGTTATGTTTCGTAAAAAAGTAGTCTTGATTATCCCGACCTGTCAATCAGACGTAGAATGGTCGATAGACTGGTTAAGCGAGACTAATTTCAAAACAAGGGCACGTAACCTATCTTTTACTCAAAAGTGTCTGGATGTTATGGACGCAACTTGGAACCAGTTTTCAGTCTATTATTTATAGATGATTAATGGTCATAGCTTATTAAGTACAACATGATCGTTTATTTAGTGACTATAATTGTGTGAAACTGATTTGAGGCTTGGCATATATATAAATATTGTGGCGTAATTGTCGAGATATTTGGAGATATTTATTTATGGTGGGTCACCCTAACAATGGCTCTATTTTTTAGAACTTTGAAATAGGCAAAAATGTTTTTTAAAAAAAGCACATATTAATGTAGTGATTTATATTCAATTTTTGAAAAAAATAATAATTTTTAATCAATGTGTTCAGTGAAATATGTGAACAGTTCAAATTGAATAGCAGTTGTTTACACCTGCTTAAAAGGCTTAGTGCATTCTAGGCTACACGTTTTTTTAAAATTATTTTTTTGTCGTTTGTGAATCAGCCGTTTCTAATTACTTCCACATTGTGTTGTAGGATATGTTTTTATGTGTTCATTACAAAATGGCACCTGAAACCATAGGGTAGGCCTACACGACTCGTGCACTGATTGTGCCTTAAATATTAGATATTAGGATCCTATAGTTTCACGGCAAGATAACAACATCAATATTCATTGAAATCGATCAATATTGAATTCTAATTCGTATTTTTAATTTCAAATATTAAAAGGAGACTGATCAGTCGTCCTGACCTAAACTTGCCACTGAATTTTAATAATAGTTTAGTAGGACTAGGACTGAGAGAGCCACCATCTACTTACCTTGGATATGTTAAAAAGTCAATGAATAGCTACAAGAACATTGGTAGACTTTTTTCTTTTGTGAAATTGACACATTCTTTTGCTGGCCAGCATTTCATGTTTATTAATATTAATATTTGAATAGTGTTGATCTTGTCTTAAATAGCATAATAATGTTTATACAATAAAAAGTAGACAGGGCTTTGAAATTGCATTAAAAGTAAAGCTCCAGTATGTTACTGGACAAGTTGATTTTGATGAAGTTATGTAGCCTATCTGGTGTTTTAAATTTAGGGAAAGAATGTAGAAAAACTATAAAGTAATTCAACAGTAGGTAAGTATAACAGGATGTGGCAGTGGTATGGTAGTTACCAATTAATGATATATTTTTAATATCAATTCGTAACTAATTATATCATTAACTCCACAACTTTATTATCTTTGTGCGTGGAGTTTTGATTTTCTTGAAATTGCATTAAAAGTAAAGCTCCAGTATGTTACTGGACAAGTTGATTTTGATGAAGTTATGTAGCCTATCTGGTGTTTTAAATTTAGGGAAAGAATGTAGAAAAACTATAAAGTAATTCAACAGTAGGTAAGTATAACAGGATGTGGCAGTGGTATGGTAGTTACCAATTAATGATATATTTTTAATATCAATTCGTAACTAATTATATCATTAACTCCACAACTTTATTATCTTTGTGCGTGGAGTTTTGATTTTCTTGGCAACTCTACAAAAAAGTTTGCCATTATAACTAATCATAACACAAAGTATTCTTGATTCTTTTGTAAAATTAAAATTGCCTTAAGTTTCCATTAATCATGGCTCCTTATTCATTTTAATAGCTGCAGAATTTAACAAATTAAAGATGGAAGGAATACCCACTACAAAAAGAGCCACTACTGGTTCCTTAAAAAGTGAATCAGAAATTGAATTTTTAGTGAACAGAAAAAAGAATGTTATTTCTCTGAAAGCCAGATATCATTGGTCACTGTTGCGCAACTCAATTCGTATAACAGTGGATTCCATCTCAGAAACTGATTCTAAAGATGTGGTTGTTACTCATGGTATTCATCATGTACGTAAAATGAATCATCCCCACTGTGTTCAACAAGTTGCTATGATAAACACAAGACAGGTGGGTATTATTAAGTAGTATGTGTTCTGGGTGAGTTTCTTTTAAGCGTACTATCTCATCAGTGGGTGGGTAGAGCTTATGGGTGATGATCAATAAAAACAACTTTCCAGTGGTAATATCAGTGGTAATATAGAATGCAGAACTGTTTGGATGGAACTAAAAACCAAGGGTTGCATACACATTGCCTGTACATATTCCAAGTATAACTATTTCTGGTTCTGTCACCTATCAGATTCCTTAAGATTTCGAATTTGAAGAAAAGTAAGCATAACCATGACTTTAATTTTACTGTAATATATCTACATGTATGTATGTCAGAAAGTAGAATGTGTATATGCCACTTGATATTTTAATGTTGCAATCAAGATATTTATTTCTCAATGTACTTTTAATTTACAGGAATACATAACAACAGATGGAAGAGGTTTCCGAATATTTTTAGAAGATGGTAGAAGAAAAGCTAACATTATTCCTGAAGAAACTATGGACCGAGTTATATATTCTTCACAAACAGATCAATATGTTGGCTGGCAACACAAAACAGATCAATTATATGTAAGTGTGTGACCCATGGTCGCTGGCTCATGGTAGACTTTTCCAATACATTATGGGAGATTAGATAAAGAGTTGGAAGTTCTCAGTACAATAGTTAAAAACTAGACGATGTAAAGGGAATTTGCTGAAAATTTCAGTCAAATTGATCCACTCTGTACCGAGAATTGAATATTAGGCCAAGCCTCGATCATCATTACTAAAGTTGGTACGATAAAAAACATAGTCTCGATTATCCATATTTATACGCCCACATTTTCATGTTGATGTATATTGCCGTCTCCCCATCTGTCTGCCCGTCCATCCACAATTTGTTTGTGGACACTCTACAGGTCACAATTTTTGGGGAATTTAACGAAACTTAAAATATATGTTTATATCACTGTTACACTCTAATGATGGGTGAGTTCGAAAATCAGACCAAAACTGCCGGACGAAATGGCCACCCCTCGTACGCAAATAGTGTACATATGGTATATCAATGTTGTGGACCCAAAGATTTTGGTTCCTTACAATATTCGCGCATATCGGATCATAACTTCCTGAATTATGGCCATTGATTGTACGAAAAATCGTGTTTTTAGCTTGTGGTCCCTCCAGAGGTCACATTTTTTATCCGATCTAAAACAACGTTTGAATATTTCATCGTTCATGCCCTTAATTCTGGTTGAGTTCGAATTTCGTGAAAATCGGACCAAAACTGCCAGACGAAATGGCCACCCCTCGTACGCAAATAGTGTATATATGGTATATCAAAGTTGTGGACCCTCTAGAGGCCACAATTTTGATCCGATTTTGATGAAACTTGAAATACATGTTTATAACCCAAAGATAAAATCACGTTTTTAGCTTGTCCCTCTAGAGGTCACAATTTTTACCTGATTGAAAAAAAGGTTTGAATGTTTCACCGTTACTCCCTAATGACGGCTGGGTTCGAATTTAGGACCAAAACTGCTGGACAAAATGGCCGCCCCTCATATGCAAATAGTGTAAATATGTGATTTATCTAGGTTGTGGTCCCTCTAGAAGTCACAATTTTGATCCAATTTTGATGAAACTTGAATATATCTTTATAACCCAAAGATCTGAGTTCCTTTCGATATTCGTGCGTATCGAATCGTAACTTCCTGAATTATGGCCCTTGATTGTACGAAAAATCGCTTTTTGTTTAGCTTGTTCTCTATCCTTCTCTTACAAAATGTGGGCAGTGGATTTTATCTAAATTGCATAAAATCGTTTTGTGAAACGCACCCTATCTTAAGTTAGGATGACATTTTAGTTTAAGATGATTTTAAAAAGATTAACAAATAATAATTAAAAGATTTTATCCAAAACATACAAATAGTAATTACTAGAAGAATACCCGGCTTCGCTCGGGGGTCATAACCCCGAAACCAGAAGTGGTAGACTAACGCCACCTGGCCTATGTTACTCCCCGGTCCGAGCTATATCCCAAATTTCAGACTCGGGGCAGACCTAGTGTAGCCGCCAACCCCGAACAGACAGACAAACAGATAAACGACAGTCACAAATATTAGTATAGATAATTTTGAGTTTACATTATTGAAGATATTTTTACCACACAAGATTGCCAGATAGAAAGTGACTGTTTCAACCTTTTTGTATATTAATAGCCATAATATATTTCCCAAATATGTAATTTGACAGTTTGTCAGGTGTATCATACCATAATTCTATTGGAGTTTTGTAGCACAAAATAGTGGTTGAAAACAGAATTATTAGGGTAGCTGGAAATTATAACGTTAATTATAAATCCTGTTCAATCGACTCCACTGTGTATTCAGAATGATTGTCAGTTGATTTCTTTCAAAAGAATAGATATCTAACTTGCATTTGATTCCATTTGGATTAAAATTGTTTTTTGACATTGCTGATGTTGAGAGCTGTAATCAAAAATTTGTTAACTTGTATTTCCGGTATTTGAGTGTCAATAAATGAAGGCACTAATTATCTGATGCAAGCGATCTTCACGGCCAGCGCTTCTATAAAAGGCCACAAGTTATGTCATTATACAGTAATTAAAGGAACACGATATAGCTGCTACCTGAATGGATAATCTGTAAGAAATCAGATTCTCTGCTGCTCAAAACAATGCAAAGATTGACATTTATTTGTGCTTGTTTATCCACATTTTTCTGTTTAATCTAATATTAGAATTTGGCTTAAATCTGTTTATTATTTTTTTTTAAGTTAATGGAAAAAGATGAATTAGAGATCATATCACAGGTACGAACACCGGATAAAGTGTTTCTAGCTACATATAATAGTAACACAGGAGAAGTACTAACAGTTGGTCCAAACTTTATAATGGTAAGTTTAGTAGTTATCAGTAACATCATAGTAAGGGTCAATAGCACAGGGGGAAAATTCTTAATACTCATGCATGGACTCGCAAAAATCATTGAATGTTCGAAAATTTCTAATACTGGCACTACTTCCCCCCATATCATTAAAGTTACTGATCGTCATTAGTATTTTTTTTTTAATTAAATATTTAGTTTTTCATGGCTTGATTATTTAACATTTAATTAAACATGCATTATGCAAGAGCTAAATCTGCCTATTGCAGCTTAAATGTTACATAAATTATTAATTAGACAATAATTAACTTACCAAGACCATAATCAACTCTCAATGCAGTCAGATGACTCCGATATTTAGTAGATTTGAATATGTTTTGTGGTTGATGAAAGACTTTATTATCATAACAGCGGTAGTATTAATGACAGTCGAGGTTAGATAATAATTGTATCGCCAATAGCTTGGCTCAGAATGAAGTAATTTGACTGAAATTTTCAGCATATTCTCTTTTCATTATCTATTTTGTAACTATTGTAGTGAGAACTTCCAGCTCTTTATCTAATTTTACCTAATGCCGCTTTAAAAATGGGTTCTCGCGTACAAACTGGGTGATTTTATGGTATATATGGACTAAAAACATATTCAAACTATGCTTATGCTTCAAATCCTTCTCAAACATTGTAATTGCGAAGGAATGCCCTGCTATTAAAATTCGATCAAACCAGGTCATGTTTACGTCACGTCTTGGGTGTCAGTGGAGAATTCATTGCATACATAAGACGATGTTGTCTTTAATCGCTTACTATTTCTTACAAATATCGAATCCTAATTAAATCCTCGAATTATCCACTACCCGCGTCTTTTTCCGTCATTTTTATCTCAGAAAGTATTGTACGTCTAACTCTTCATAAAGTTTATCAACTTGTACATCAAGCGCTCAATGTTCGCTTGTGACCTTTGACATCACGCGTGCAGAAGTTCCTAATCGTCAGGCTGTTGATTAGGGGAACCCTTACATTTTTGTCCTGTATACGCTCCATGAGTGTTTTTCGGGGAATCCAGTATTTTTCTAGTGAGATTGGATATCTCTACTTTCCATATATACCAAAATTGCCATACCTTTATTGGAAATAACCACCGATAAATACTTTTCTGGGACCCCATCTTTAAGAAAAACAATATTTAAATATCAATAGTAGATAATGTCCCAGCTTGCATTCAGTTGATTTAAGAAGTGGCCTGTCTTAATTATGATTTCATTGAAAATCATAAGTGCCACTGGTGGTTGTATACTATATCATCTGCAGTAGATGCCAGATGTTGACAAAGTAATTCATCATATCTTTGTAAATGCTGAACAGAATTGAACCATTTTTAGACTGATATTCCTATTAGAGATTCTACTTTTACAATATATTGTAGTTTGCAAGAGATTAACAATGTTTGTAAAATAAATTTTTAGCTTAATTTATGAAATTCCCCAGTGCATTGTAATTATCATTTATATAATTTTACTGTCTAGTTTGGTTATATAATTTTATGTAATTGGTAAAAGAAAAGTGGATATATATATTTTGCAGTAACAATGTCATAGTTTATATATGAATATTTATATTTATTCTTTTGACAGACTATAGCATTTCGTTATGCTGCACGACATCTTATACCTAACAAAACAATAAAAACAGAGTTTGGTGAAGATAATATGTTTAATATGATGGTATTAGAAGATACAGCTAGTCAGTCCCAGAGACTTTACTTAGCTATAGACAGTGGAGTTGTGGTATGTCAAGAACTTTGTCTTTTTTAAAATATTCTTCTGTAAAAATTTCTCAATGGAAACATGGTGGGATTGTTCATATGGGCATTTAAGAAAGAACCAAAGTTCTCACTGGAACACATTTTGTAGAGTTCATAATATATTTTATAAAAACTTACTCTTTTGTGATGTGTTGGCGTTTTTAGATCTAGCATGAATGACTTTGCTGCAGGTTACAATTTAATGGGGAATGAAAACTCGACTATGTTTTTAATTAATTTTTATACGCCCACATTTTCATGTGGACATATTATGCTGTCACCCTTGTCTGTCCGTCTGTCCATCCACAATTGTTTGTGGACCCTCTACAGGTCACAATATTTATCCGATTTTAACAAAAAACTTGAAATATAGGTCTACCCCTCAAAGATCTCGGTTCCTTTCGATGTTGGCATGTGTCAGACCATAACTTCATGAATTATAATCACGTTTTTAGCTTGTGGACACTCTAGAGGTCACAATTTTCATCTGATTTTGATGAAACTTGATATGCATGTTTATAACCCAAAGATCTTGGTTCGATATTCGCGTACATCGGATCGTAACTTCCTGAATTATGGCTCCTGATTTTATGAAAAATCGCATTTTTAGCTTGTGGTATCTCGAGAGGTCACAATTATTATCCGATTTAAAACAAAATGTTCAAATACATCACCGGACAAAATGGCCGCCCCTCGTTGTAAATAGTAAAAATATTGTATATCAAGGTTGTGGACCCTCTAGAGGTAAAAATTTTGATCTGATTTTGATGAAACTTGAAATACATGTTTATAACCCAAAGATCTTGGTGCTGAATATCGGATCATAACTTCCTGAATTATGGCCCTTGATTGTACGAAAAATCACGTTTTAGCTTGTGGTCCCACTAGAGGGCACAATTTTTATCCGATTTTAAAAACCGTTTGAATATATCACCATTACACCCTAATGATGGTTCAAAATGGTCGCCCTTCCAACGCAAATAGTGTGAAAATATGGTATATTAAGGTTGTAGACCCTCTAGAGGCCACAATTTTGATCCGATGTTGATGGAACTTGAAATGTATGTTTATAATAACCCCAAAATCTTGGTTCCTTTTAATTTTAACTTCCTAGATTATGGCCCCTGATTATACGAAAAATCAAATTTTTTAGCTTGTGGATTCTCTAGAGGTCAGAATTTTTATCCGATTTTAAAAACTGTTTAAATATATCACCATTCCATTATAATGAAGGTTGAATTCGAATTTCAGGAATATCAAAACTGAACTGCCCGACAAAATGGCTGCTCTAGTCTTTGTACACAAATTGTGTGAAAGTATATAATATGAAAGTTGTGGACCCTCTAGAGGTCACAATTTTTATCCAATTTTGATGAAACTTAAAATATATCTTTCTATCGAAAAATCGCTTTTGTTTTTAGCTTGTTCTCTATCCGTCTCTTGCAAAATGTGGGCGTATCTTGCCTAGCAACTGCTGGTTATATTTTAGGTATTTAACATTCATCATGGAAAGATGTTATTACATAAAAAAGATTTACATGTTCGTTCTATAACAGCTTTGACATTCTTTAATCCTTTGAAGTATGTGGTTACAGGAGCTCTAGATGGATCTAGTAAGTTGAAATATATACTAATTTATTATATCTATAGGTTAATTAGCATGCATGTGTAGATTCAATCGCCCAGCCTGACCTTATCTCCGACATGTACTAGACCATATTTTCAAAATATTGGTTTACTGATCAAGACCACATGAAACAGATTGTTTAAGCACATGTGGCATTCGATTGGTCTAAATCAGATTTGATTCATTGCATATTATTGATGAAATAGCCTTTCATTCCATAAATATTTTGTTTGTTTTTTTTTTTAAATTCGAAGTATTTGTTTAGAGCTGTTGATTAATTATAAGTAAAAAATATGCTAAGGTGCATGTTTCAAAATGTCAACAATTTGTACAAGTAATAGGTATAGGATAATGTAACTGTGTAAAGACTTGGGGGGGGGGGTCACAGTAATTGTATGATTAAGGCTCTAAATTTACAACTATAATGACCCAGGTTCAGACACCAAAAATGATCATTGTGAGGGTGAACGTGACTGGCTTCTCCTCAATAGCTCTGCAGTCTTTCTGTAATTTTTCTGTTATTAAAGCTTAATCAATGTTGCAACTTAGCATAGTGATATATCAACATATAGAGAATATTTGTAGATAATTATTTTAGTGAAAATTGATTTTTTTTTTATTATTTTGGAAGAAAATATTTTAGTTTAAAACTAATAAGAATCAATGAAGCATCAAGTATAGTAGAAGCGAGTTACTAAAACTTTAAGATACAATAATTTCAGCTGACTCTAATAAACTGTATTATAATATCAAACATTTGACAAAAACAGTTTTAAGCACAAGCCAAGCAGGAGTACGAAAATCAAAACTTGTAAATCTAAATTAATTACGTCATCTGGATCTAATCCCAGAAATCTCATTCAAATGAAACCAATACAGAGACCTCAAACTTTTGTTTATTAAACTGTAGATCTGTTAGGAACTTTAATTTTAACATTGATCAACACTCTAACACATCAACACGTCAATTTACAGACTTATTAAACAGTCATTCCCTTTACAGTATATTACTACATTAACCCATAGAAAAGGCCACACATTGGATTTGGTTATCACAAGAGAAGATAGTTCAATACAATTGGATAATATCAATGTTGAAGATTATTTAATATTTGATAATTTTCCTGTTCACTTCCAGTTACCTATTCCAAAGTCAAAATGTGCAACAAAATCTGGAACATATCGAAAATTAAACAGTTTACAAGAAGACAGTTTCTGTCAGGAATTGGAACGAAACAGATTTTCTGATAGTAATTACTTAAATAATGTTAATTTGAAGCTGAGCAATATTTCTCCATTTTAAACAAGACCTTTTAAAAACACACTTGCACCTGAAAAGTGCCATTGAGGAAAATACAGTCCCAAACACATTTAAATCCGCAATTGTATTTCCCCTTCTTAAAAAATCAAATTTAGATCCCAACCTAATTTTGTTGGATTTATCCGCAGCATCTGACAAAGTTGACCATAATATCCTTTTAAACCGTTTGGAATCTGTGTTTGGAATCTCTGATGACAAATCACAGAAAGTGAATGTAAATGAGTTGTATTTGTCTCTACAGACCATATCATCTGGAGTACCTGAAGGCTCTGTCCTTGGCCCCATTCTTTTATTTTTAGCCTTTATACCAAACCACTTGGTGACATTGTCAGACACCATGGACTTTGTTGCGATTTCCATGCTGACAACACACAATTGTATATTTCTTTTAAGCCAACTGAAAGTCAGTTTGATCACTCTAAACAGAATTTTGAGTCATGTATATTATTAAAACCTGAATGAGTAAAAAAACTTTTTAAAGGTTAATGACGATAAATCAGAATACTTGCTGCTTGGATCAAATATTAACATAAACAAATTAAATGATATGTCTGTTCAAGTTGGTAATTCTAACATTAATCCATCTAAATTTGCTAGAAATATTGGTGTCATTTTTGATTGTCATTTATCCATGGAATCTCAAATTAATAATTGGAACCACAATACTCTTCTGACGAAAATGTATCTCAAATCGTTTGGACTGCACACGATGGTAGATGGACTCTATCAAAAAGTCACTTTAAAACACAGTTTTAAAATCGCTGTCGTGAGAAGAGAGAGCGGGACATTATAAAACAAATCCTAAATTGAATCTTAAATTAAAATGAATTACAAAACAAATTATTCCGTAGTCAATTGTTTTATTTAATTAGGAGATTAAGAAATCAGTCAGGCGTTAATGAATATACACCTAGCTGTATATAGGTAATTAAGGAATAAACATTCTAAATATGCATTTGGTCACTGTCACGTCTAAGGGGATTAAGAGTGTTTTCCATAATTGGCAAAGTTGTTTTTACTGGAGGTCTCTTTTTGTGACTTTGAAAGAAGATAGCTGAATTAATCAGATTGGTTTGAACTTGCTGCAAAGTGGATATAATGACCACTGGCTATACGTACCAAAACATTTTCTCAGCCATCTCATGTCCCCTTTAATTAATTCTCTTCTTACATCGCGTATTGATTGTTTTAACTTGTTTTCTATGGTACTCCTGCTAAACATCTTGATAAGCTTCAAAAACTTCAAAACTCTGCTGCTAGACTAATATCAGGCATTCCCTATCGTGATCATGTTACACCTGTCTTCTATAAATTACATTGGTTACGGTACCCGTTGTATATAGAATACAATATAATATAAGATTTTACTTTTAAATGTTTAGATAATATAGGCCATTTTTATTTGTCCGATATTTTACAATTCTATAAACCTAATCGTTGTTTACGTTCTGCTTCTCATGAATATGTACTTGTTGAGAAAAAAGCTAATTTTTCAGTTGCCTCTCCCAAACTCTGGAATAAACTCTCATACACTATGCATAGTTGTCATTTTGAATGTCTGCTTAAGACCCATCTTTTTAAAAGAATGTTTATCGGTAATTAGCTAATTAGTCTGTGATATATGTTCATTTTTATTATTTTATTTGTTTGTAACTTTATATTTTATTTATCTGTCACTTTATATTTCATTTGTTTGTCATTTTATATTTTATTTGCTTGTCATTGTATAATTTATTCGACTTGTTGCAATTATTGTAAAGCCCTACTAGTACTGAACACTTCCAGTGAAAGCAGCGCTATATAAATATGTGTATTATAATAATAATGTAAACTTGGTTTTAGTAAAGATTCACTCTTTAATTTAATTGAGCTGAAGTCGCTTCACAATTATTGCTCAGTCAAAATTCTTTTACGTATCTCTATAAATAAAATTGCTGACATAGGCAGAGAATAATTCTCAGAAATTTTGAAATGTAAGTTGGAAATATTGCTGCTGAGGCAGGTCTCTTTTCACTAACATTATGTAACCATAGACATAAAATTTGTGTTCATGAGACATTAAAATCCATACCTTTTACTTTGTAGAAGTCTTAAAGATAAAATATTAAATTCTCTTTAAAAATCATATTTTCATTGTCAAAATGTCTGTTTCAGTAAAAGTATGGGATGAGAAATGGCATATAGTGATGGTATTTGTAGGACATTGTGAGAAAGTCAATGCTCTAGCTGTTTATCCTAATGGACCAGCTGTAATATCAGCTAGTACAGATCATACCATTAGAGTGTGGAATCTAGAAACATGTGATGAAGTTGATAGGTTGGTAATATAGATATTGGTCAAGTCTAGAAATTTGTTGTATTTTTTATCCAAAAGCTGTGAATCTTTAAAAAAGAAAAAAATGTGTCTTGGTGAAATCTGGTATCTGGTCCATCCTGGTGAATTATTGTATCTGGTTAATCTTGGTGAAACTATATCATGTTTAAGTTATTAGAAATCTTTTTATCAAGACAGATTTTAAGCTTGAATTTGAAGATAACTGATATTTATACATTGATATTTTATTTCTCTCAAATAGGAATTAATATGTTCAAAATTAAGAAATAACAGTCATTTCTAGTACTTGATTTCATAGAAAGATGAGATTTGCTGAGGTTTTTATTTGAAGATCTAGATGTGCTATTTGGTGGGTAAAAAGGGGAGTTTTCTATGAAAATAAATTAGTGAAATGATATATCAATGACTTTAAAGTTTAAAACAATATTATTATAACATGTTTGTATACATTGTGTTGTTTTAGAGTAGCTATAGCTGAACCTGTTGATGGTTTAGGTACAGAACAACAGTATAATATATTCTATACATTTTCTGGGCGTAAAGTTGATTTATGGCAGCTACAACATTTATATAACATACATACTGCTATTGGGTAAGTTGTATTTCTATATTGCTAATATAAATCTCTCAGACCAAACCACCATTTTTGATGTGAAGGGTGGAATTCTCTCAATCCCGCAAACAGGGACAGTTAAATAAAGACGTTAATCAACTGAATCAATAAGAAAATCACCACAGCTTCATGTTAATAGTCATACCACATCTATTATCAGCACGGATAAAACTGTGACAAGACTTGATTCTATATCACACGATTGCAATGTTCCAGACAAATATACACAATCAATCATGAAGCCCTCTTAGATAATCTTGTCATTGTGTAAGGTGATTCAGAAGTTCGTAAAACTGATTTATTAGAAATTACAAACTTATGCAAAATTAAATATTTGACATTCACAAGTTTTATTTAAACTCTTTATTTTGTATGGTGTATAATTTCAGGCATCGTGTAAATAAAGTGAAAATCACAACTCATCCATTTTTTCCTGTAAGAGCTGTATTATCATGTTCTGATTCTAGTGTTCGTATTGTTTCACCTGGTAATGGGAATGTCATTACATCTTTAATTATGGAACAGTTTTCAGGTTTAGTTGATGCTGCTTATGCTATAGCAGAAGGTATGTCTACAGTTGACAGTATGTTAGAAACTAATAAAGGGATGGGATGATAATTGGTTTATTTATAAATCAGTTGTAAACATCTTTCTGAGACAAAAACTATAATGATAGCCCTTAGTGCCACTTGTTCAGTCGTTCTGGGTCCAAGTCCTATACAACACCTTGAAACTTTTAACGAAAAATTTAATGTTGTACACAGAAGCTTAATTAGCTCATCTCTCAGGTGGGTAAAGGGGGTGTTCTTAAGATTTGAAGGAAGGGTTTTTGGCGACATCTGAAGTTGGTCTACTTAAATACGAAAGTTTATTGTTGTTCGGACCTGCCACCCCATGGGAAGGGGACCCGCAACTTAAGAATCAAGGTTCAGAGTATCAGACACCTCTGTCCACTCATCTAGCATAGTAGAAATTTTGTACGCGATTTTCGAAACAACCCAAACCTAGCTCCCTTACGATTAGCTTGTGGATTCTCTAGAGGTCACAATTTTTAGCCGATTTTTAGAAACGTTTAAATATATCACTGTTACACCCTAATGACAGTTGAGTTAGAATTCCGTGAAAATTGGATAGAAACTGCCTCACAAAGTTTTGCCGCTTCTTGAATTTTGGGGTTTGAGAGATGCAAAGTGGGTGTCAGTTCCCTTCAGCTCCCCTCCCCAATAAAATCAAAGTATTTTTAACTTTGAAAACTTTTTAGGATTGTATCAAATTTTGTTACTTGTATTGTTTGTCTTCAAGGGTGAGGGTCTTGTGCTTAAAATCTATAACCATCCAACCTATCGTTGGTTTCACCTGAATTTAATTACCTTTTTTGAGCCCCTGACCCCTCCCCTGCCTTCCACCCCACCCTACACTATACCCCGTGGATTCTTCTTATAATATATTACTAATAAGAAATCAAACCGAAATGGATCACAGCATAAAACTGCATGATCAAGAATGTAGCTCTATTTCGTGGGCAGCATGCTTAATTGAGAATTGATCCAGTTTCTGTAATACGGAATATTAGTATAGAATCCAGCTTGGTCGGCATCAGCACAACCACGTCCACTAGATACAATACCGAATAAAGTATACTTTTCCCCTACCATGCACATTAATGGACCACCAGAATCTCCCTGAAATTATATCAAAAAATACTTTATAATATTGTTGATCATTATTGGTCTCACTGTGGTAGTAGAAGATTTTCCCTGGTCATGTTGATGGCTATTATTGTGGTTATTGTGATTGTTGGCGCCCTGGAGCTTTTTATATGCCCACATTTTCATGTGGACGTATATTGTAGTCGCTCCTGTTGGTCCACAATTTGTTTGTGAACCCTCTAGAGGTCACAATTTTGATCCGATTTTGATGAAACTTAAAATATTTGTTTATATCCCAAAGATCTTGGTTCCTTTTGATATTCGCGCATATCAGACCGTAACTTTTGATGAAACTTAGAATATATGTTTATAAATTATATCCCGAAGATCTTGGTTCACGCATATCGGACCGTAATTTCCTGGATTATAAGGCCCATGATTGTACGAAAATGTATCACAAGGTTGTGGACCCTCTAGGGTTCACAATTTTTATCCGATTTTGATGAAACTTAAAATATATGTTTTATATCTTGAAGATCTCGGTTCCTGTAGATACGCAAATATGTAATACCAAGGTTGTGGACCCTGTAGAGGTCACAATTTTTATCTGATTTTGATGAAACTTAAAATATATGTTTATGTCCCAAAGATCTTGATTCCTGTAGATGTCAGACCTTAACTTCCTAGATTATGGCCCCTGTTTGTACGAAAAAACGCTTCTTTTTTTTTAGTTTATTCTCGGTCCATCTCTAGCAAAATGTGGGCGTATCTTGCATGGCAACCGCTTGTAACCTTTTCTGATTATTGCAATATTTATCTTTATTTTAGAGACATTATTTACCGTAATGGGTAATGGTGATATTGTTAAATCACTTACTAATACCAATCCATGTAAAGTTGTTAATAGATGGAAAAATTTTCAGCCAGGAGGTAGTTTTTATTTAAAGTCTATAAAAAAGACGGGATATCTTAATCATTTATTTTAAGTGTTTGATAGTGTTTCTTCTTTCAAAATCTTTATTTGATTATCCTTATAGTCTGTTGTACATTGAAGAATGTAATTGTTTTGATATAGTGGGAAGGAATTTAATTCAGTCCAAAACAATCAGTCGCTTTTTATTTTTCAATTCCAACAGTGATGTCTCGACTTGTAAATGGTTTAAATTTAAGAGCTCAAATTGATATAGTTGATGTTACTTCAGAAGATAAAAATAAAAACATGTTAAAGTCTATACTTGTAGATAGCAAATAGAACTGAAGATATTTTTTGACATAATTAGAGTTTGTTATATTTGTCTTTTAATTGTTTTTTTTTCTTTGTAATTTCAGGTCAGTTTAACCATTCGACAAATAATATTTTAATAACATTTGATTACTGTCAGTCTTCATTCATTGAGATATATTGTCTTCTACTTCAGAACTACTTTACTTTAATGATGTTATTTATAACATTGTTGAAAAAATCTAAGATCTGTAGAAAAGACAAAAAAAGGGACATATCACTGCAATATCAGATGTTAAATATAGCTATTTAACACACACACATATCACTGAAATATACTAAATCTTCTTGGCATGTCATTTGAAATGAAATGGGGTTTAACGCCCTTCTGTTTTGCTCCGATTGGGCTAATGAAGATACAGTGTGGTGCTATGATGGAAATTTTGCCCAGACAGCAGCGCTATGGCTATTCTTACATAGAATTCTTTTATGTGCACGCCAATATATACTTTGCCCCTTGCCAGGCCCTCCGTACTACACCTCTGACAAAGGTGTACCACGCCAGAAAGTCCAAATGAACTTTCTCAGTGATCGAACACGGGACTTCCAGGTTAGCGAGCCAACGTCTTACTGACTGCATGTCATCTGACAAATGGTGTGATTTTTTAGCCTGATAAATTAAGTGATTTATGCTATAACTAGAAGCACTATAACCAGGGGCGGATTGGGCGATTGCCCGAAGGGCCGGTCGGACCAAAAAATGAAAAAGATAATTTTGTCCAATTCGTCTAAAAAAAACCTTTTTCTGCTTCTGCTGAACATTATATGGGGGGGGGGGGTATTAGACCGGTCATGGAGCGATGATGATCATGTTGTATGTGGCCGGTGGCTTTAACGGGCCGCCACGACATCACTGCCTCCTGCAAATTTATTAATTATTAAGTCACCTGCACCCTGTTTGTGGGGATACGCCAGAAATATCTGCCGATGGTTCGTAACTCCATTAATTAATAATATGACGATATGATAATTTCACAGGTTGATGGTTGTAAATTACTTGCAGGTCGGGGTTTTGGCCTAAATTAATCGATTTATGAGATATAATATTTGACAGAGATTATAATCAGATATGCCACCCAATCGCATATTTGGGTTTCATTTTTCAAAATTTTCCAGGGGGAGAGCCCCAGGACCCCCCGTCCGGGCTCAGCGGTCAGTAAAAGTGGCTGCTCCGACACGGAAGCCCGGGCCGGTTCCCGGCCCCAATCCGCCCCTGACTATAACAACAAAACTAATGTATTGTCATTAAACCCCTTTGTAATCTTAGATTAAAATACCAATTCAGATTAAAAAGTCAGTGACATTTCCCTTTAATTTATGAAATTTGAATCAATGAAGATTGACTGTAATTATTTGAGTGAATCACTTAACTTGTTTGTAACTAACCAAATGTTTTCGTCTGTTTATTAATCTACAATAACTTATACACCATGTTGACAGATATAAATACTGTTTTACACTTTTACAAAGATATAAATATTCCTTTCTATTTCTTTAACACAGTGCACTAATTATGATAACATATAACATATGCTATATACTTATTTTGTATCACAATGTAATTTACACATAACTTATTTACGGGTGCTGTTATACTTGTTAGTTATATTTCAGTTAACACACAATAATGTTATAAGATGTACAAATGTCTGGAAATACAAAATTACATAGTTATGGTGATGATATATTTCAATTCTCTTTACATTTTCATGTGGATGTATATTGTCGTCGCCCCTGTACGTCCGTCCACAATTTGTTTGTGGACACTCTATAAGTCACAATTTTTGATTTTGACAAAACTTAAAATATAGGTCTATCTCCCAAAGATCTTGATTCTTTTGATATTGGCATATATCGGACCATAACTTCATGGATTATGGCCCCTGATTGTACGAAAATCACGATTTTAGCTTGTGGACACGCTCGCTAGAGGTGATAATTTTCATCTGATTTTGATGAAACTTGAAATGCATGTTTATAACTCAAAGATCTTGGTTCTTTTGATATTTGCGCATGTCGTATTGTAACTTACTGAATTATGGCCCCTGGTTGTACGTAAAATTGCGTTTTTAGCTTGTGGTCCCTCTAGAGGTCACAATTATTATCCGATTTAAAAAAATGTTCAAATATATCACTGTTACACTGTAATTATACTTGAGTTCAAATTTCGTTAAAATTGGAACAAAACTGCCAGACAAAATGGTCGCCCCTCTTCGTTCCTTTTGATATTCAGGCATATCGGATTGTAACTTCCGGAATTATGACCTTTGATTGTACGAAGAATCACGTTTTAGCTTGTGGTTTCTACTAGAGGTCACAATTTTTATCCGATTGAAAAATAAAATGTTTGAATATATCACTGTTGCACCCTAATGACGGCCGAGTTCAAATTTCATGAAAATGGGACCAAAACTGCCAGACAAAATGGCCACCCCTCGTATGCAAATAGTGTAAATATATGATATATCAAGGTTGTGGACCCTCTAGAAGTCACAATTTTGATCCGATTTTGATAAAACTTGAAATATATCTTTTTAACCCAAAGATCTTTGTTCCCATCGATATTCGCGCATATCAGATCTTAACTTCCTGAATTATGGCCCTTGGTTGTACGAAAAATCCCTTTTTGTTTAGCTTGTTCTCTATCCATCTCTTGCAAAATGTGGGTGTATCTTGCCTGGCAAGTGAATACTAGTATAAGCTCAACCATTAAATTTACATGTTTTATTAAGATCAGTTGAATTATAATAATAGGATATTTAATTTATGGTATGTCCATGTAATTCTAAGGAAAAATGTATTGTAATATATTATTCCTAAGTCATTTATACAAACCTGGTAAAATAGATAATGGAATTTCACAATCATTTATAAAAAAACTTGATAAAACTGGTACAGGGTAATAAATTTCACAATCATTTATAAACACATGGTAATAAATTTCACAATCATTTATACAAACATGATGAAATTGATGCATGGTAATACAATTTCACAATTATTTATAATTATAAAACCTGATGAAATTGAGACATGGTAATACAATTTCACAATCATGATAAAATTGAAAATATGACATTGTAAATGACTTCACAATCATTCTTAATTATACAAATATGATAGAATTAAAATTTCAGAATCATTTATTTTTAAAAAAAAAAACAATGATAAAATTGATACATGGTTATATATTATTTCAGTCTTTTATACAAACATGATAAAATGATACATCTGATTTCCCAGTCATTTATACAAACACCATATGGCAACTTAAAATGCACAGAAGCATTTATTCAAACATGATGAAATTTATACTTGGTAATATGTATAATTTTGCATGATCATTCAACAAGCATGATAAGATACATATATTTCTCCTATAATCAGAAATTTGTAACTATCTACTGGTGTATGAGTATATTGTTGATGTGATGGTCGAGGGAGATATTTGGGAAGCTATGAAAAGAGGTGCTACCACTCAAAGTTTAAAAACTTTGTCCCATCCACCTAAAAACCAGAATCGCAACAGAACTCTACTACTAGGGGGAAGAAGAGATGGCTATATTTGTGTTTATAATTGGCTAACTGGTGATGTAGATTTTAAGATAGAGGTAAATATGAGTTTGAATTAAGGACTGCTTTTGTAAATTATTCACCTTCATCTGTTGTAAATTATCAATAAGCTATAACACATACTTATGGAAGAACATATATGCACCTTGTCTTTGATTGTGTTGTTTTCATGCCTTTGACCTTGTTGTTGTCATGCATGGTTTCTGATTTGTTGTTATTGCTTGTCTATATATGATTGCCCTACACATTTGTTAATGTACTTGCTTGAAAACGTTGAGAGAATACTCTTTGAAACGTCACCTAAATAAATCAGTAATTGTTCTTCCATAAGTATGTGTTATAGCTTATTGCTCTATCAAGTTAAAAATGCCTCTAAAAGATCATTGTAAATTATCATTCACCTTGATCTGATATGTAAATCATTCACCTTAATCTTATGTATGTCATTCACCTTGATCTGTTGTAAATCATCATTCACCTTCATTTTTTTTTTTTTTTTTTTTTTTTTTTTTTTTTTTTTCGCCTCAATCTTGTAAGCTACATCCTATTATAGTTGATAAAATGTATATGATTGATTCTGAAAATGTATCCCATGGATAGACTCTTTCAGGAAAAAGGACCAATACAGTATTGCCGATTATAAACCTGTGAGTTTCATACAGTTGCAGGATATCACAATGGAGACATCTTTATCGCACACCTTAATTTTAGGCATATTTTTATTATATCTAGTCCAGGTCCTGAGTATGATAACACCTGATACTACTGCTCACATAGCTTATAAATTTTTGTTTTACTTTTTGTATATGGGTCGAAGTTACAACATATAGATATACAGCTTTAGGTTATAAGTAGGATTTCATGATTTGATTTGTTTTAGGCTCATGGTAGTAAAGGCGTGTTAAATCTGTTGGCTAATTCTAAAGAAGATCAACTTATATCGGCTGGAATGGGTAGGTTTTGTATGTGCAGGAGAAAGTGTTTTTGGAAGTTGTATAGCCAGTAGTGGTGCTTGAGGCTTCGAGTACCCATTTAGACCTTAAACAATTATCTGTTCTTGTTAAATCCTGGCTGCGATGCTGTGAATTACATATCTTTTTAAATGATTGTCCTTCAAGTTTACTCTGAAAATGATGCCTAACAAATATGTTTCAGTAAATACAAAGGTCACAATTCTATGGAATACTATTACTATAACTGAGCAATATTTGGCTACACTTATCTATGTCTTTATTAAAAAATGATAAACTATAAAATATGATGCGACGTGGTGAGAATTAGAATGATTTAGATTTTTGAAACATTGGTGCTTAATTTATCATTATTATTTCTACTACAATTTTTTCAGATAACGTGATTAAAATTTGGAGATTGTATCCATTTGCTGAAGAAGCCTTGACACCATTAATGTCATTTTACTGTGCTCATACTCCTGCTCATATGTCTACCATTAAGTCTACATTATGTGTGACCTTTCAAGATCCTACTACAGCTACCTTCAGTACAGTGCTTTATAATCTCCAGGACAAAAGTATGTTTCTCCTAATCATATATTGATATTACATACTGAACAGCGAAATACCTTTCAGATCACTGCGTTGGCCAAAGATAATCATCGTGATTTACCGGAATGGTTCCCCCTTGTCAGTGGTGTAGGACCGAGGGCCTGGCAAGGAACAATGTATAGTCATTCAGATAGGATGAAATACGAAGGTTCCGTGTACACATTGGCGCGGAACCCTTAACAGTTGAAATTGTAAGAGTAGGCCGTAGAGCTGCTGTCTTGGCAAAATTTTCCTCATAGCACACTACATAGCGTATGTCCCTCTTCATTAGCCCAGTCGGTGCAGAACAGTAGGATGTTAAACCCCATTTCTTTTCATTTCTCTTCAATGGTTAGCATGGATGCAATCAGTGTACCAGGAGAAATAAATGTCCTTTCCATTGCACACATATGTTGTACTGGAAGAAAATATAAATGACCATCTGTTTGTCTCAAAATGCCTAGGGGGGTGTATTGCCGAATGGTTAGCTTGTGTGCGCTGTATCATAAAGTCTGTCATTGAGTCAACTGGCGTGGTTTCGATTCCCCGGTTGTACGTGACAAGGAGTAGAGTCGCCTGTCCAACCTCGTGGGTTTTCTCTGGGTCCTCTGGTTTTCTCCCACTGCTAAAGACCCCTATGCGCAAGCGAATCATTGAAATAAAATTGATCCATATGTTAGTCTCGAAATGACCTAGCTTGAATCAAGTAGACTCAAAATACCCTGATGTTGACAAGATGTTAAATCTCTTTCCTTTCTAATTTCGGTCTCATTTTGACACTTGGTCTTTTTAGCTATGTCTAATTCCATACAAAAATCCATACAGAATATTTTGCTGTTCTGTATGATATTGTTACAATTCATTTCCAGTTTGCTGTGATTATTAATATTTTGATTTGAAGTGATAGATTAATAATATCATTATCATATTCATATCATTTTTCTAGTGTTTGGGAATGAAACTCAAAATTTAGATGCTTTTCACAGTAAGTCGAGATTGACCAAACGTATTTCACAGCAATATCATCACTAACATCATACATGCACACAGTCAACTTTGCACATTTTGTTTTTGCTCTGTAAAGATACCTTCCTGCATACAAACTGGGTGATTTTATGATATATTTGGACTAAAAACATATTCAAACCAATTAATCTATCAAAATTTTGCTTCAAATCCATCTCAAAACATTGTTTCGCGAGGAAATACCTGAAGCTATAAAAATCTATTAAAAGATGGCTTTTTGATCCCTGCATTGGCCAAGAAAGTTCATCCAGATTTTCCAATGTGGTTCCCCCTTGTCAGTGATGCAGGACAGAGGGCCTTACAAGGACAGCTGTCTAGTCGTTCGGATAGGACGAAAAACCGAGGTCCCGTATACACATTGGCATGCACGTAAAAGATCCCTTGACAGATGGAATTCAATATAAGATATGCCGTAGTGCCGCTGCCCGGTAAAAATATCCCTCATAGCACACTGTATGGCCTATACCCGTCTTCATTAGCCAAGTACAGAGCAGAACAGTAGGACATTAAACCCCATTTCATTTCATTTATTGGAAATAACCACCCGATAAACAGTTTTGTGGGAAAGAATCTTTAAAACATAATATTGACAAAATTTCTCATAAAATCTATCTACATCATTCCACATCACTACTAATTTGCACCTAAAATGTTATTTTTTTCTTCAACTTTATAATATGCATGAAATAAATGGGTTAGTCCAATTCTTCTAACTCATTTCCATGTGTCTGATAATTATATGTTGACAGCCTGACATAGTCAGAAAAACTAAACATTGTTATTAACGATTTCCATTCCTTCAACAATTAAGGGGATTTGAAGTCATTCCACGCTTCCAAAATAATTTTGGTACTCAAGGCTGTAAAGTCTACAAGAACTATACAGATTTTACCACTGAAAGAATCTTTCTTTATACCTATCAACTCCAAAAAATTTAAGAATGGTATGATGAACTTGTTTTGGAGGCAAAGGAAAAGATTTGTTTTGGAGGCAAAGAAAAGACTCAGAATCCCTTAACCCATGGAAGGATCAGATTCAGAAATAAAAATAAAATAAAAACAGCAAACAGTTTATATTATAATTTGCATGAAAAAATAAACATCTAAACCTTTGAACATTGCATGACTTTAACAACCAAACTTTTGTAAATGACCGTATTCTTTTTTATTTACAAAACATAATAATTCAAGCTATCTTCAATATCAAGCTGGCATTGTGATGTGCTATAAATTGATAACATATCAACATGTGAAAATTTAACTGTAATTATTGGAAACAATTTTCCAAAGCCGATAATAGATAAGTTTTGAAGGACTTTAGTTTAAAGTTATACATGATATGTATGTTAATATGCATATGATTAGTATTTAATTCTAAATAACAATCACATTACATCTTATTGATCAATACTTTGTTGATGTGAATCAAAGGTGCATTTTGTAAAATTTAGATAAAGAGTCGTTTTGCTATGAAAGTATAGAAAAAGATAATGATAAATGAATATATTCGAAATTTCATTCAAATTACTTTATTCTGGTCTAAGCTAGGACTGTTTGAAAATGTAGCACAGATTGTTTATTATCGTAGCAGTGGTACTTGACAACCGAGGCTAAGTCTCAATTATCCATTGTATCGTTAAATTTTTAAATCTTGCAGTTTTCAAATCGATTTAAATCTCGGCCATCCGATGGTGAAGAGAGATAGGCTTGTCATGTGAATAAATGTCTATATAATAATTTATATAACATTTGAAGCCAAAATTAAGACCTGCAATAGGTAGATTTAGCCTTGCATAATGTATCTTTAATACAAAGTTTGAAAACTGTATCAATCTTCACTGGTAATTGTTTTTATACACCCATATTTGATGTAGACATATTGGCGTCACTTGCATCTACCTATAAAATTAAAAAGTTGGTCACATTTTTACATTTAAAGCTAATGATAATATATTTTTAAACCTTGCTTTGTGGGATTTGTTGATAGTGATTTTAGATTTTACGACTTTACTGCTGGTGGGTATATTGAGAGAATGACATGTCCCCTCTATGTTTATTATATAGATCGGTTTGACCATAAACCAGACGACGACCATGTAGATGTAATAACTGGACTGACAGTCTGTCGGCGTATGAAGTTGTTTGCATCTGCTAGTATTGATGGCACTATTCGTATCTGGAATGAAACTAATACTCTTGTCAGGTAACACTTAATTTATACACATACTTCTGTGATAGGCTTATATAGATTAGTTCTTTTGATCTGAAAGAGTTGACAGTGTCTCAAATACTAATAAGTAGATAATTTCATGGTTCTGATCAGTTAGGTAAAAAGATTTAGTGGCCAAGTGGTCTATGCAAGTTTCTTCTGCCTGACCTCATGGGTTTCTCTGGGAACTCTAGTTTTCTCCTACTTACTGACTACAGTGTTGAATGGACATTATACCGTGTCTCTCACTAAAAATGATTTTTTTTTTTTTTTTTTCATCTTTCTTCAAACTCTAAATTTCTTTTGTTTTATTTGAATTATCAGCTGCCATTTTGGAGAACCTAATGGGAATATTATATTAAAGGGGCATTATGGGAGATTAGATAAAGAGCTGGCAGTTCTCATGATAATAGTTAAAAACTAGATAATGTAAAGTGAATTTGCTGAAAATTTCAGTCAAATTGACCACTCTGAACCGAGATATTAGCTTTTGAATTTTAGGCCTAGCCTCGATGATCATTACTAAAGTCAGTACGATAAAAAAACATAGTCTCGATTATCCATGTTTGGATTTAATCATCAATGAGCGTTGAGCAGCAGATCAGATTCAAATCCAGTAAATATCGCAGGCTAGCGATGACGAGAGTTGATTATGGTCTGGATAAGTTAATTAATGTCTAATTATTAATTTAGATAACATTTCAGGCCTAAAGAAAGACCTGCAATAGGCAGATTTAGCTCTTATATATAATGTATGTTAAATTAATAAACAGGTTACTGAAGTTAAATGTAATACCGTACAGTATCAGCTTCTATAATTCTAAAGGTGATCTTTTAGTTGGTATAGGAAGACATCTGTTTAAAATACCATACGAGTCATGTAAGTATAAGTTACATATAAGAGGATGTTAGTAAACTGCTTCTGCAGTAACAGGTATATTGAATTGTAAATGTTGGTAAACTGATCGTGTAGTGAATCTTATAATAGTTACAACAGTACATTGAATTGTAATATGTTGGTGAATAAATATAAGCGGTTTGAGATGTTTGTGAAGCGAATGTCCTAACCGATGAGTTCTCCTGTCTGCCCATGACTCATTTTTAAACAAAATATTTCTTCTTTTATTATTGACTTAAAATGTTCATGAATGCAGATGAATGAGCATTTTCTACTTAGGCTAAGCATGAGGTATAAACAGTTTGATTTGCCGATTCTTGCTTCTGAGAGCGATAGGCAATTTGATTAACGAGTGCTTAAAAAGATAAATGATAAGTAGTAAGAATTATATGTACTGGAGGAGACTACAGTCCACACTGCATCCTGTATAATACATGTATATTTTATTGTCCCCCCCCCCCCCACCTTTCGAAGAAAGCAGGGGGCTATTAAAATGGGTCTGTCTGTCTGTCTGCCTGCCTGCAGGCCAGGGGGTTTGGATGGCCGAATGGTTAGCACGTGTGCACTGTATCATAAGTTGTCATTGAGTAAACTGGCGTGGTTTCGATTCCCTGGTTGTATGGAATAAGGAGTAGTGTCGCTGTCCAACCGGGTGATGAAGTTCGAAGATGAGCGTTTTCTGCTTAGGCTAATCAGAGATAAGCAATTTGATTGGTTGATGCTTTGGGATGCGATAACTTTAGTTCAAATTAAGTGAGACTGCTTTAGGATACAATAACTTTGTTTCTAATTAAGTGAGAATGATGAAACTTGGTGTATAGTTTCATTATATCAACACCATGACTAAGTTCGATAATGTGCATTTTCTGCTTAGGGTAAGCAGAATGATAAGCAATTTGATTGGTCAAGACTTTGGCGCGCGATAACTTTGATTCCAATTGATGACAGTGGTGAAACTTTGTGTATAGTTTCATTACATCAATACCCTGACTCAGTTCGATAATGAGCATTTTCTGCTTAGGCTAAGTAGAGACCTCTCCTAACTGAGGTAGAATGTTCAAACTTGGAGTAGGTTTTCATTAGGTAAATGCCTTGACAGTGTTTGATCGTGTGCATTTTTCACTAAGGCTAAGCATGTGATTGGGTGAGACTTTGGAACACAAAAATAAATTTTGGCTCTAATTGGGTGAGAGTGATAGATTCATTATATCAATACCTTGACTAAGTTGGATAATTACAATTTTCTGCTTAGGCTAAGTAGCGTTAAGTAATTTGATTGACAAAGACTTTGGAACATAACAACTCTGCTTTTAATTGAGGTAGAATGTTTGAACTTGGTGTACATAGGTGAATGTTCAATGATTAACATTTTCCACTAAAGCTAAGCAATGCTTTGACAAAGTATAGATAATCAGATAAATGTGCAATTTGTTAATATATTCTTCAAAAAAAGTAGGGAATATTCAGAAACAATACAAAACTGCGGAAATGCACTGCTGTTTTTATTAGAGGTAACCAGTGTATGTTAATAACAGACCAATTGCCTACACATGAATAAAACAGTTCATATAGACGGCTTTTCTGACGGCCCCATTTTACTCGCAAAGAGATACACTGTCAAAAGTGAAAATGGACGTTTTTGATTTTTGTCTTAATATTAATAATGAGTAATTGCTCCACCAGTCCTCAAAGATTCAGCAATTCATCGTGGCATGCTCCTAATCAACCGTCCAATCACGATTTGAGGAAATCTAACCCACTCCTCTTGCAGTGCCACGGCCAATTCTTGCAGTGTTTTCGGTTGACGTTGACGTCGACGAACACGTCTCCCGATCAAATTAAACATAACACACTAAAGCAAAGATACGCTAAACAGTAAATCTTATGCAAGAACCGATAGGAAAGCAAACATGGATTATCCAGCAAGCGGCAGTTTTCATCAACCCTTTCTTGAAGTGTCAAATTTGACAATGAACCCCTCCCACGTGTATGGCGCTATTTCGTGTCGCACATGCAGCTCAGTGGTTCTGTTGGGGCGATAAGTTCTTTATCTGTGAACATACTCACAAAGCATGTCAAGTGTCCATGACTATCATATCACAACCTGCATAGGTATTTGCATTTCAATATCCCCTACTTTTTTTGAAGAGTATATTTATTTTGGGATTGCAGCGGGGGACATCAGCCTCACTGTTTGCTTGTTTTTATTTAGATATGCCAAGAGCTTACAAATGTAAGATGGTGACAATGAAGTTTTTAGAACAGAAAGCAGAAAAACCATTAGAATATGATTCTAACTTGATAAATATGATGAGTAAAAATGATGTTAAAAGATTGAAAAATTCACGATCTTCTTTCAAGTAAGTTGGTGTAGTATTTTCATCTTCATTAGTCGGGTTGGTGCAGAAGAGTAGGGCATTAAACTCCATTTCATTTAGATTATATTTATAATTTCAGTTGACAATTTGATTGTCTGATTAGTGATATTGTTTGTAAATGAAACAGTGCCAGTTAAGATTCAATGAAGAAAAGGTAGAAACACTACTGCTCAAACAAAATTCTCTTCCTTTAATTAAAGATGTGCTAACTTGCATTAATTGGTAACCTAGCTGGCCATTTAAATGTAGTTTCTCTGAAAGTATGATATATTAAATGGCCAACCAGCGGTTGCCAGATAAGATATGCCCACATTTTGAAAGAGATGGATAGAGAACAAGCTAAAAACAAAAGTGTTTTTTTCGTACAATCGGGCCATAATCCAAAAAGTTATGGTCTGAAATGCGCAAATATCGAAAGGGATTGAGATATAAAGATTTATTTTAAGTTTCATCCAAACCGGATAAAAATTGTGACCTTTAGAGGGTCCACAACCTTCATATTACATACTTTTACACAATTTGTGTACAAAGAGCGGCCATTTTGTCGGGCAGTTTAGTTTCGATTTTCCTGAAATCAGAATTCAACCTTAATTAGGGTGTAATGGTGATATATTCAAACTTTTTTTTTTTAAATGAGAAAAAACACAAGCTAAAAAACACGATTTTTTGTTCAATAATTCAGGCTGTTACGATCCGATATGCATATGAATATCGAAAGGAACCAAGAGCTTTGGGTTTTAAACATTTATTTCAAGTTTCATCAAAATCGGATCAAAATTTAGACCTCTAGAGAGTCCACAACCTTGATATACCATATTTTTACACTATTTGCATACGTGGGGCGGCCATTTTGTCCGGCAGTTTTGGTTCGATTTTCATGAAATCAGGGAGGGGTCATAGTTCAGGAAGTTACCATCCGATATGCATGAAGTTATGGTCCGATACAATATCGAAAGGAACCGAGATGTTTGGGAGATAGACCTACATGTATATTTCAAGTTTCGTCAAAATTGGATGAAAATTGTGACCTGTAGAGTGTCAACAAACAAATTGTGGACGGATGGTCAGGGGCGACGGCATAATACGTCCACATGAAAATGTGGGCGTATAAAAAAGATGTTTTACGAGATGTTAAATCGCATAGACTAATTGATCTAAATTTCTCCTGTTGAGATGATTGTAAATTACATACTTTGCTTTTTTGTTATTAAACTAGGTTCGATACATATGTTGATGTATTAACACCAGAGGAAGAAGAATCTGTTAATAAAGAAAAAGCTGAAAAAGAAAAGGTAAATGGTGTAAATGACAGAGTACACTAATGATTTTGTCAAAAGGAATTTATCTTTTAATACTAAGATAAAGTTCATCAAACAGTGCAAATGTATAATCTTCAATACTTAATAGATTTATCAGAGGGTTGGGTGAACCAGTGGTCTAGCTTTATATAGTAGCTAGTTTGCTCCCACTTCTGAAGATACTTTTGCCACAATACAGATTTATCGAATTTTGGTTATGTTTTATCATGCTTGTGGTTGAATTCTGTTATAACCACTGATCTTTAAATTAAAGCATGAACATACCAAAACAATTCAAGTTTAAATTCATTAAGGCATATATTAACTGTAAGCACAAAGGCTAATGTCAAAGCTGTACTTTTCGAAAGGTTGAAAGACAAGTTTGAGTCAAAAGAGAAGTCAGTCTGTGGTTAGCAGCTGGCTATGAGTGTTTGTTGAGTTTTTTTGTTTTTTTTATTTTAATTGTCTTGGGAAGATGCTTTTGTATTGTACGTCTTGCTAACCTTGCGTTTTGTTTTTTTCTCTATGACCTTGAGAAGAAGATTAAGGAGGACAGTTTGTTAAAACAATTAGTTTAAATACATGAAAAAGTTTTCAAATGTCACCACATAGACTAAATATTGATATAAGAACAATGAAATGTAGATTGTAATTTGTCTGGTATCAAGTACATACACTGTAGCATTTAAAATGTCAAAACTAAAGCATATATCTACTTCATAGTATTTGTATTCAACCTGAGACTTGATTTTTTTTTCAACTATAATATAAGTATTGAGTTGTATAATTACTATTTGTCAACATATCTTTAACTTTTCTTTTATAAATTTTAAAAGAACATCAAAGAAAGATGACTTGTCTTGTTAATTGTAATGCTATTGCTCTGTTAAGATGAGTCCTGTCATTGTAATATGCATTTTGAATTTTAAGAAGGTATTTTTTTGTGTGATTTACTAAGTAATAATATGCGATGAATAATAGTAATTCCAATAACAAAAGCCTATTTGTAACCAAACTAATAGTTGAACTATGACTGTAAGAATTAGTGCTAGATATGGCCTGAACGAAATGATCTAATCTTTTATTCTACTTCTTAAACCTATCTCTGGAACTGATAACTCACAGACTGATATGTGATAAACGGTAGAGGGTTTTAGAGGATGTTTCATTCCAACCCAGAATTTTTATCCATTCCTACCCCTTTATGCAGCTATAATAGCATTAAGAACAGCCGACGCCATATTCATGCTAATGATCATATTCCTGAAACAAATTGTTTAACCATTGTTATGCCCATAAATGTTTCAGATTGTGCACATGTAATCAGACCGTATTAATGTATAAATTACACACAATATATAATTTAAAAAACACATCACAATTTATATGGAAAACAATTACTGGTTTATACACACATAGCACACATATATACATAGTATTCTCTTATTGTTTTCAGGGGGGTTGGATGGCTGAATGGTTAGCGTGCCCGCGCTGTATCATAAAGTCTGTCATTGAGTCGACTGGCGTGGTTTCGAATCCCCGGTTGTACGTGGCAAGGAGTAGGGTCGCCTGTCCAACCTCGTGGGTTTTCTCCGGGTCCTCCGGTTTCCTCCCACTGCTAAAGACCCCTACGCGCAAGCGAATTATTGAAATAAAATTAAACCATATGTTGGTCCCGAAATGACCTAGTTTGTGTCGAGTGGACGTTAAACCCCATTTCTCTCTCTCTCTCTTATTGTTTTCATATGTGCTTGAAAATGATAGGAGAATACTTGTCGAAACGTTGTGCTATATGTGTATAAACCAGTGATTGTTTTTCATATCAATTGTGTTGTGTTTTTGAATGTGCTCAATTGCTAAATGCCACTCAAGGATTAATATACAATTTAAAGTAAATTATATGGATTTGGAAACAATTTTTTTTGACTTACGTTTGGCCAATGGTACATAGAGAATTAAGTGATTCTGGGCAACACATGCCCTGAAGAATTTAGTTGTACTATATGGTAAAGGTGTGGCTTCTGTAAATTATAAATCTTTATAATTGTTATTAATACAACTAAGTCTTGATTATCATTTATAGCTTTTTAGCACAGACATTTTTGCGCTTGACAATCAAAATATCTCATTAGTTTGGATAATAAAAATGATTTACATATTGCTGTGATTAATGATCGGAAAATGCTGATCATGACCTTTGGTCACGACAACATGATTCTTTGCTTCTTGTAAGACATAATTTATTTTATGTTCTTTTATTTCAGGCATTTTCTGTATTATTTACGAGAGACGATGAATTAAAACAGTTAAAGAAAGGGGATGTTAAACCCCGTAAAAAAAAATTTGCTAGCCAACAAACTAAAGATGAAGCTTTTAAAAATTATATGAAGATGTTTTATGATAAACCAAAAATTACTGTAAGTATTGAAACATGGTTTTTAGTTTTTATTTATTAAATGCTTGTTTGATTTTTCATATTTTTAGTAGAAAATATTGTACTGTAAGCAAATTTTTAAAAAATAAAAAAGCTTCCCTGTATTTATAGAAGAGAGAACTATTTTTGGTGTGACTTGTTTGTGGGGATTAATAAAGACTATGCAGAACACTTATAAAACTGGTTTCAAACATTCAATGAATGCCAAAACTAGTTTTATTTTTTTGAAAAATTTGCTGCAAGTTATAGGTCACAATAAATAAAGATATAGTGGTTGGCTAGAAAATTTAGTAATTGGGAGCCCAATCTTAAATATCATTAGATGTTGAAACAAAATTTCTCCATTTTGTTTTTATACGCCCACATTTTCATGTGGACGTATTATGCCGTCGCCCCTGTCCGTCTGTTCTACAAGTCATAATTTTTATTTGATTTTAACAAAACTTGAAATATAGGTCTATCTCCCAAAGATCTTGGTTCCTTTCGATATTGGCATGTATCAGACCATAACTTCATGGATTATGGCCCCTAATTGTACGGAAAATTACGTTTATAGCTTGTGGAGACTCTAGAGGTCACAATTATTATCTGATTTAAAAATCCATTCAAATATACATGTATCACCATTACACCTTAATGTTGGTATATCAAGGTTGTGGACCCTCTAGAGGTCACAATTTTGATCTGATTTTGATGAAACTTGAAATACATGTTTATAACCCAAACCTCTTGGTTCCTTTCGATATTCGCACATATTGGATCATAAATTCCTGAATTATGGCCCCGGATTGTACGAAAAATTGTGTTTTTTTATGGTTTATCGCATAATTTAATTCTGCTGTTTTGTTTACTAAAATTATAATTATTTAGTCAACTTTTGCTCAGAAAATTAGCAGTCTAGTATTGTATTAATTTTAACATTAATGAAATGCTATAGTCTTCAAATAGATTAGACAATAGACATCAACATTTTGTCTTTTGATAAATAGCAACTTAATCAATGTTTATACATAAATTTGCTGCTAGTAAATCAAGTCACAGACAGTATTAGTAGGTTAAAATTAATGTCTTGTCCTCGCTCTTCTTGAATCTTATTTGTGGTATTCTTGCAATGTTGTGAATCAAGCCCTTTTGAAACATCCCATATTGCCCATCTCTGATTTGGATAAAATGCATTTAAATGTCCTTTTGTGTTCCAGTTCTGTATTTTCTGAAATTATCAGTGATTTTGCTATAGATTAATTGACTGAAATTTGATGTTGATCGTACTTTAGTTTAAATGATTATATTTTATAGTTACCAGAAGATGATTTATTTCCACTAGATACAGTTAATGATAGATTAGCTGCTTCACCTGATGGAGATAGTAAGTTTATTTTATAGACGTTAAAACACTGAAATCTAAAAAAAGGCAAAAGAATCCGAAATTTTCTTTTCATATTTAGAAATTTAAAGAAACATCATCAAGTTTGGCAAAATAAAAGGAATTACTTGTTTATCTCAAAAAAAGTATTAAATACTCTCGATTGTAGGGACTTTACATAACTCATCTGTTTTATATTACAGATGATTCATACAAACCAGAAGCAGGACCAACAGGATTCTTCCCTGATAATTTACCACCAAAATCCATTCTTAAACCCTCAAAACCATGTGCAATGCCACAGAGGATTGTACCGGGAGGTTTTATACCTAATTCGGTTCTAGCTAAAATATTATATCCGACACCTCGTACACCAGACTCGGATCAATCTAGTGAATATCGACCACCATCTTTAACATTAGATCAGCTACAACAAATTGGTGAATTTGGAATAGTAAGTTATAAAAACTTGTTTCGTAATATTCAGATTGTTCTAATGTGAAATGAAATGAAATGAAATGGGGTTTAACGTCCTACTGTTGTTCTAATGTGGCATCAACAGTGACATAAAGAAACTCAAAAGGAGTTGAGTTTGAAATGACAGTAAAAGGCACTGAAATTTTCCAAAGAGTTTTGATGACAAAACATGTCATCTCCAAAAAAGAAAGAAAAGAGGGAATTTGTCTTTTTTATCGGGTACAAAAACTTGCAACTCGACTTTTGGTTTTAAATCCTGCATCAAGTGAAAAAAAACCAGATGTCAAGGGTAGTGACTGCTGGACTGACAAGGAAAGAGTGCCTAGTTGTTTGAATGGGATGAAAATCTGAGGTCTATTTGTGTATATAATGGTGTGAATGTAAAAGACCCCTTGATAAATGAAATTTACAGAAGAGTAAGATAATTGTCACTGACCAAGAAAGAAAACTTCATGCTTCGCCATAGAAATGAACATTATGATATATTTGTGTTAGTTCCAAAATAACTGCAGTATTATGTTGATGAGACATTAAGCCCTTCCATTTCTTTCATTCAATGGATGATTTATTCTATTTGAAATGAAATGGAGTTTAGCTTTCTACTTTTCTGCACCAACTGGGCAAATGAAGACATTTAATTAATCTCTTTGACTTTGAGCAATGAAGCAGATTTTTGATTTTGTTTAGAATGAGACATATGTTTTATGTATTTTATTATAGGACGGGGGTTGGGTGGCCGAATGGTTAGAGTGTGTGCGTTGTATCATAAGGTCTGTCATTGAGTCAACTGGCATGGTTTCGATTCTCCGGTTGTACGTGATAAGGAGTAGCGTCACTTCTCCAACCTTGTAGGTTTTCTCCAGGTCCTCTGATTTCCTGCCACTGCTAAAGACCCCTATGTGCAAGCGAATTTTTAAAATAAAATTAAACCATGTTAGTCTCGAAATGACCTAGTTTGTGTCGAGTGGATGTTAAACACCATCTCTCTCTTTATTATAGGATACAACTGATAAAAACTCTCCACATAGAACTGTTAAATTTCATCGTAATGACGATCATTCAAATAGAGTTTTTGACATGGAAGATTATGTGGAAGATAACCAATCACAGCGTAGTTCACTACCTAAAACACCCTCACCGACGCCCTCTAATAAATCAGAAGAAGATGCTTTCTGGGGTAAACCTAAGCCTCCACCCGAACAGTTGCCAACCAACAAGTTCCAGGGTTTGTTAAATCAAACACCAACACCAGAGGTTAGTTTATTGTCCCCCGCTTTCGAAGAAAGCAGTGGACTATTAAAATGGGTTCGTCTGTCTGTCTGTCTTGTCTGACTCAGAATCTTTTGTAAATTAATAAAAGAAAAACAGAAATTAACTATGCCAATTTTGGAGTTTGTGTATACAATAGTGACTTTGCTAGAGGCTGTGGAAATCCTGAAAAACAAAAGTAATTATTAGTTCATTTGTTCCACATTTTGCCACTTGATGGCACAAACTGTGAATCACACATTGCATGTGATGCTAAAACCGTATTCTACACCGAAAGTCATTTTAGATTACAAAGTTAGAGAGTTCTACTTCGTACTCCTATTAGAAATGTGAATTTTTACACCAGTAAACCTGAAAAAATAATTACTGAATTTCTGATCCGTTACAGTACCCTAATTTCAAATGGACATATCTCAGCGAGTTTTCGACCTAGAGAGGTATAATTTAGGATTTGTTAGCTTATGGCCATATGCTATAACACATATTTTTTTTATAATTTTTTGGGAGGGGGTCATGTTCCCAACTTTCCGAAATTTGGTCCACTTGACTTGGAATGACCCATAAGCAATTTGATTGGTCGAGACTTTGGAATACAGTAACCCTCCTTCTAATTGAGCTAGAATGTTCACACTTGATGTAGGTGTTTATTAGGTGAATGCCTTGATGGAGGCTAAGGGTAAGCAGAGATAAGCAATTTGATTAGTTGATGCTTTGAGACACGATAACTTCAGTTCTAATTAAGTGAGACTGATGAAACTTAGTGTATATCTTCATCACATCAATAGCGATAAGCAATTTGATTGGTCGAGACTTTGAAACACAAAAACTCTCCTTCTAATTGTGATAGAATGTTCAAACTTGATGTAGGCGTTCAATAGGTGAATGCCTTGATGGAGTTCGATGATGAACATTGTCAGCTTTCTTTGACTTTGATTCTATCTGATAGAGAATGATAAAACTTATTGTATAGTTGATAATCAGTTTGATTGCCCAATACTTTTGAAAAAAAAAAAAGTGCAATTAATTAATATGTGTCATCTATTTATTTCGGGATTTCTACGGGGTACATCAGCCACACTGTTGGCTTGTTTAATGAATGTAGAATTATGTTACAACACACCAGGGGCATACAATGATGTTTGCATACTCTAGGAGTATAGAATGATGTTACGATACACTAGGAGTTTTGAATGATGTTTGGATAATCTAGGAGTATATAATTATGTTACAATACACTAGGACAATTATGTTTGGATACACTAGGAGTGTATAATGCTTGGAAATTCATGAGTTCCCTAAAAAAAATGACCAATTCTTTACTCTTTTCTGTGTACCTGCCTGATTTGGAATATTAATTAATCCTGACTTATGAGTTAATCTAGAAGAGATGATTGGTTTCTGAGAATTAGTAAGGGAATATATGAACAAATAAAGCTACTAATACTAATGAAGTTTTGGTTCCAATTGAGACAAAATTAAAATTCTTCTACTACAAAACTATAAAAGTATAAAGAAATTATCATGCGTTTGTCTCGATGATCGAACACATCAAGGTATTGTGTTGATGAGACATATAACCCCATTCCATTCTTAAATAAATATTTAAATGTTTTTTTGATGATTTTAGCCAAAACAAGAAGAGAAAGAAGAAGAAGAAGAAGAAATTCCTGTCAGAGTTCAAAAATCACCCCCTAAACCAATAGCTAAATTAATATCCCGTCCCCCAATCACCCCCCCTAAACGCCGAGCACCTACTGTTATACCTACTCCCTCGCCTCCTGCTGTAGTATCTGTTAGAACTATCCCAACTCCTGCTTCTCCACGTCCTATCACACCGCTACCAGATTTCATCACTCAGTTTACAGATACAGAATGGTTTAAGCAATATTTTCCGAGCTGTTCTGACACAGTAAGTTATGCACTATTTGTACTGACCACCATAGTTAAGCTTAATGCAGACGATGTAACATTTTAGCAGAAGTTCATGAAAACATTGTTCCTATCAATCACTGTCTGTCGGTTCAAAAAACACCAACAGAAATGTTCTGACAAAATGTTAGTGAAATCATACTTGTTAGATAGTTGGAAATTGTTCGCCACCCAAACATTTCTCTGTTCGTTGTCTGCGTTGAAGACAAACATTCCCGGAGCATTTTTTCCATGTAGCACCAATCAGCATTCACATACATATCACATGACATTCAAAATGGTGACCTCTACTGAAACGGCATGTGTGAAATTTTGGTCGGCAGAAAATAAAATTTTGAGGATTTATGGGGCAAAAGCCATGTCTGTTCACAATTATATCGCCAGAATATGCCTACAGAAATAAAGATTTGACTATGCAAGAGATAGTACAGGCACTCAATACTTCACCCGATTTTATGTGACACTAGCGCATTTTTCGATTTAAAACATTGCAAGATAAAAGTGCGTCTCTCAAACAAGATTTACACTTATCCATTTATGAAAGTGTTGCATATACATGTATATTATCAGATTATTATTTTAAGATTGAACATTTATTTTGTATTTTCAGACCTGGCCGAAACCTTGGACAGCTGATGCCTTTGCATTATCATTATTAAAAGTTTTACGTTCTACAGAATTTCCTAATAAAACCGCTATATCTGAGGCACTAATATTACTCAATGTACAGGAAGGATTTTCCGATTTCACTTGTCAAACAGCAGCTAGAACTATTATATCTGTGTTAAATGATAAAAAACATGTTCCAATTAGTGCTGTGGATCTAGAGAAAAACTTTATTCTAACAGCAATACGAGCTTTAAACTGTTTGAGTATCAAAGATAAAGATTTTATAACTGAATTAATTATACAGTATTTAGATGGTGACAGAGAAGTCAGGTAAGAATAATGGTAGTTATTTATTGTTTATACTATGGCATCTTAAATTACAATTCAGCAAAATATCGATTAACATTCCTGACACACAGATGAGTTTCTTTTTGAAGATGCTTTATGTAAAACTAAATCATCCTATTGCAGGTCTTTATTTTGGCTTCAAATGTTATAAAAACTATTATTTAGACATTTATTTACTTGACAAGCCTATAATCAACTCTCTAGGTCATTGGATGGTAGAGATTTAAACGGATTGAAACATGGTTGCCATTTTATGATTTAATTTAGAAATGGTGAATCCAAGCTAAGTCTTGATAAACGAGTACCGTGGCTACGATAATAAACAATCTAGGCTACATCTTGTCAAAACTGCAAACAGTGATAACTTCACTTGAAATTTGAAATGAAATTATCAATATATTTATTTTGCATTATCTTGACTAAACTTTTAGTGATAAATCAGATTTATGATCTAGTTGTGCACCTGAGATTTTGGTTGCTATGCTTCTAGACGAGTTGAATAATTCAAACAAAACTGGTGCATAGATCTCACATAGTCACTCCAATTTTTGTCATGATGCAAACTGTATCCCTCACCTCCATTAAACTTTGACATGATTTTCTACGGAAGGGGCTAAACATTCTGAAGAATTAGTAAGAAACCGATTTTTAAATTAGAAACATCACCCTTCTAATTTTTAGCTAATATCACCTTAGTTACAGTAAGGACCATCTTCTTTAGTCCAGTTGGTACAGAAAAGCAGGACATTGATTCCCATTTTATTTATTATTCAGTGGAATCAGAGTTTACAGGAGAATATAAGTGCTATGACTTTTGCGGTCAAAAATCAAATTATGGTGATTTTTGTGAAAAATCTTAAATTCTCTGTTTTTAATGTTATGGTACTGTGACAGGTGCTCGCACTGCAGCCATTTTACCATTTTAGCTAATGGACCTGTTGTTAGAGTATGTTTAAAATTCTCATCGTAACTTTAATTCCCTCCAAAGAAATTTGGATGGAGTAAGAAATGTGTTTAGTTAGAACGTGATTAATCTTTGACCATCAACTATTTTCCGAGGAACAAAATGGAGTCAATTAAAACCCAAGTGGTCCAAATACCTCAATCGTTTCGCTACATATGGCTACTAGTAGTTAGTTGAGTTGTAAGGTCAACATATGTTTGTCTTTATGCAAATCTGTCAGATGTAAAAGTTGTAATTAAATAGTGTCTTGTACTATTGTTTTGTGGCTATATTTCTTAACAAGGTCAGTCAACTCATTTGTTTAGTCATCACAGTGTACTGTAATCAAAAATGAAAAGTAAATACGTTAGTATTTGTGTAGACTTTAAATTATGTTGATTTTGTATTGTTAGTCAAATTATATTCTATCCAGCTGTTTTGTATAAATCACTTCACCTATATCTTATGTTACTTTAAATATTTGGGACAAGTCAAGAAGTTTTGGGAAAATTTTATACCTGGACTAGATAAACAGCTAGATGACGTAAGTCAGTTTTGTATAAATGATAATCATGGAAATACTGTTCTCCCATGAGAAGATATTTTGATATATTTGTCTAATCAAATATTATGCTGGAGGTCATATGTGTATAAAGAGTTAATCATTTTCATGTTGACAGACCAGATGTATTCACATTTCTGTATAAACAATTTGCTTATATAATCAACCAATTAAAAACTCATACAAGTACTATCATTTATGTTCACAAAGCAATTTTAATGTCACGATGGGTGACAAATTTGCACAAAATGTTATGAAAACAGAAAGATTTCCTCGGGTATACCCCATCTAGCCTGAAATTTCTGTATAATTGAAATTCATAATATTATTAGTATTATGACATGGTAGAGATTGTTCTGTCATTGAGTATAGGAGTCAAGTTTTCTGGATTCCTCTCACAGCTAAAGACTCTTTCGTGCCACCAAGTTATTTGTTCCCTTCCCCTGAAACTAGAGGGGTCAATCGCTATGCGTTTTCTGTCTGTCAGTTTTTATTAAATGGATTTTAGCGATATTTGAGTCAAATGTAGAACAGTGCTGTATGTGGTAAAGCTAAAGATCAAATTCATGTTTCGTAGGACTCCGATAATGTTTGACTAAATTATGGCCCTTTAATTGTTGACAATTTGGTTAGACCTTGAGATGTTAAAATTTGGTATACTGCTGTATGTAGCTGAGTTAGGGGGTGGATAGCCGAATGGTTATCACATGCGCATTCTATCATAAGGTCTGCCATTGAGTCAACTGGCGTGGTTTTGATTCCCCGGTTGTACATGGCAAGGGGTAGTGTTGCTTTTCCAACCTCGTGGGTTTTCTCTGGTCCTCCGGTTTCCTCCCACTGCTAAAGACCAACATGCGCAAGCGAATTATTGAAATAAAATTGAACCATATGTTAGTCCCAAAATGACGTAGTTTGTGTTGAGTGGACTTAACCCATTAAATCTGGAGATATTTTATTGAGGATTGGTCTGCTGTATATTGAGAGTTACAAATCAAGTTTGTGTTTCATGGGATTCCATTAATTTGTTTTCCTGAAGTATGGGCTTATGTTCATAAAAATTAGGTTTTCCTTGATTATTTTAAGTTAAACATTGAGGTATTTAATTGAAGGTTGACACACTGCTGATAAATTCTGAGTTTCATGGGATTCTGTTAGTTTTTTTAATGAATTATGACCCAGTTTTTTTTTTTAATGAATTATGACCCAGTATAGATTTAAAATAAATGAAGATTCTGTTATCTGAAATTGTTTTAGAGAAATTTAGAATCTACAGATCTTTCTACACTCTTCTGTTTGTTTTTGTTTTTAAAAAAATTTCACTATTGATATATTTTTTTTTTAATTTCCAGATCCCTGGTTTGTGATATTCTCATAAATTGTGGTTTACAAGATTCTCATCGACAGCTAGAGAAAGAATTAGATTCCTGGGATATCTGGAATTTAGAAGAGGAAGATAGAAAGACGGATCTACGTGTCATGTGTCATCAATGGCTAGATAGGTTGATTAATATTAACTTACTTAAATCATAGCTTTAAATAGAAATTGGACACTTACCTATTGCCCAACTTGTCTATTCAAATATTATATGTATCAGAAAGAAAATACTGCACTAAGAAAAAAAAATCTTCTGACCTTATAATTTACTATACAATTTCATCATGACACTATACAGTTAGACATATATTTACTCTTTATGTTACATTGATTTTATTTGATATTCCACTTCTTCCCCCTTCTTTTACTTTAATCCTTTTTATTAAACATAAAGAATAGCAAATAAATAGGTTTAATGGGAATTTTCACTCAATAGAAATATAAATAAGGAAGATGTTTAATTTGTTGATAGAGAATAGACACAGATAGAAGACACATTGAATAAATGTTTGATTATTGTCTGTTTAAGATGGATGACATCATATAAACTACATATAGAAGATACACTAGAAAGAATGAAGAAAGGACAAAATATTCATGGCAGAATAACTAAAAGTCAATTACAGAAACATCAAACTAAAGCTAAGAAGAAAGGCTCTGTAAGTATTTCACATGGATTATAAAGGAAAACTTTTTACTGCCTGTTCCATGTGACACTACGATGAGAAAATTGCTTGCCATTTCATCAATTTTCAGATTAAAGTGGCTAAAACTTAGTCACATATTTGGAATTGCCATCCCATTACTTTCTTACATGAGGGAACCAATTTCAGATCAAGCTATATATAACCTCCCACTTTTGAAAAATCGCGCTACTGAACATCAGCCATGTTTGACCTAATTATCTGGAATAGTCGAAGAGGGCTGGGGGCATTGGTTTGGCTTTTGAGTCGTTTCGGCCTGCTTTGATGTTCAGGAAGTTGTTTCGGCCCAGTAGAATATAACTTTTATTTTTACCGGATCCAGACCACAGTTGTTTGTTCAACTGACTTGAATATTTAATTGGCCCCCGAGGACTGCATTTCCCTATCTGGCCATTGCTGCATTGACTTCTGATACTTAAGCTTTTAAGGGAGTTTGTCTATTCTTCCCGTCCAATTAAATCTCTTCTAAATACAGCAACATGACAGCCCTTAATTTAAGCTGGGATCTTCCCTAAAACTTTGGACAGTGATTTAAGGTATTAAAAACAGTGAAAGTATTGTTCGTGTCCAAACAGTTTTTTTTTCATTGTAGCCTTTTTTGATTTTTGATAGCCTTTTTTGCAATATTCTGCTATGCACTGGATAATTGGGCGTAATAAATTTCGTGAGTCATGAGGTTACATTATGTAAACTTATATGGAGCTCTGTTTAAACCCGAATGATATTGTTATGCAAATAGATATTGGTTGTTAATTGGATTATTGACCAGTCATTATTTGGAACAGAAATTTGCTTTCATTACTGCAGTGTTGAGTGGTAATGGGTCTAAATCAGAGGTTGAAATAACGCTTGTCTACTTGTTGAATCCAAGTAACATTTTCATATGACAAGTAGAAATAAAATCTACTTGTCATCGACGACAACTAGAATAATGTCTATAAAAATTCTGGTTAAAAATGTCTCCGTCTTATTTATCCATTCCAATAAAGTTGGAAGACGGGAATCTTTCATTTTTATACGCCCACATTTTCATGTGGACATATATTGTCATCGCCCCTGTCCGGACCCGGACATCAATCCGTCCGTCCGTCCATAATTTGTTTGTGGACACTCTACAGGTCACCATTTTTATTCGATTTAAAATATAGGTCTATCTCCCGAAGATCTCGGTTCCTTTCGATATTGGCATATATCAGACCATAACTTCATGGATTATGGCCACTGTTGTACGAAAAATCACGTTTTTAGCTTGTGAACACTCTAGGAGATGTTTTTCTATTATAATATTTTGTTATTATAATATTCAGGCTGTAAGTATATTAGATGACCAGGGTACCGTAACAACTTTACCAGATGGCACAGAATTTATACCACGCCCATCAGAAGTTGATAAAACATCACAACGATCACCTTCTAGTTCTAGTAGAAGTATTACATGTAAGTTTATTAAATACAATTCATCACGTTTCTCGCAAACCGACGAATCTGATATATTTAAAGTATTGAGAATTATGTGTTTGAAATTTGCGTTCTGTTGTTATCTCTGTAGCCACCAAATAATAACATTCATGTAAATTGCATTCCGTGTCTTGATGTATATGTATGAAATATTAAATCACAAATGAATGTTATTAATATTATTTGATGGCTACAGAGATAACAACAGAACGCAAATTTCAAACACATAATTCTCAATACTTTAAATATATCAGATTCGTTGGTTAGCAAGAAACGTGACGAATTATTCAATCTTTTGTAGATTGAATTCTTGCTCCTGGGATTTATATTAAATCATTCTATACTTGACTCTAACACTTGTGCAGGTTTAAACTTAGCCAATTGTTTGGAGAATCTAGTCAGAAATTTTTTCCTGACATCAGTCTAAAAGCATCCTGTATATCCAAAAATGGCTGTAAAGTGAACTAAACTTAAATTTTTTTTTGAAATAACAAAGAGTTTATTTACTGAATATCAGCAAATTTTAAAAACACATTATCATCTTCAATTAAAAAAAAAATAAATAAAAATACATTACATTTTAAAATGACCTTAGAATAACCTACTTTGAATGGGCATTAATTAATCGCCTTGAAAAAACACAAAAAATGAGTTCAATATAATTCAAACATAACTGATATAATTGTATATTCTAATCACATCAAATCAAATATCAATTCAGAGATTTAGATGTGACCATGAGGAATTGGATACTGTCCCTCAAATTTGAGACCCATCTTGTCTAGACCACTCAAAAGAGGAAGTAGCCTATTGGTGTATTTTTTGTTTCCTATGAGATTTATATTTCAGTAATGTATAACAAGTTACCAGATGGTAATTTAACTGAGAGTGCCAGTTATATTGATGTTGTTAATTATTTCTGTGAGATGATGGTAGAGAAAGAAATAGAATCTATAAAACGAGGTCACAGCGCTCACCCAGTCACTAAAACAACTGAAAAAATACAACAAAATAAAAACACAGTTCTTGTTTTACCTAGATTACCAAGGTATTAATTGAATTAAAATAATATTATTTAATGCTTTTAGTATTTGCAGTTGGGTGGAGTGTGATGTTTGTGTAAAGAGCTGCATTGTACATGACAAGGAATAGGATTGCTGTGGCTCAGTAGTTTTCTTCGGGTTCTTCTGATAAACAGCGCTGTGTCTATGCCAAATAATGAAATAAAGATTTTCTGCATACCACAAACGTTTCAATCATTAAATAAGAAATAATTTCATTTTTTTAGGTCCAAATATCACAATATGCTGCAAATATTATAATGTGGTATAAATCTGGTCACTTAAAGGGGTGTATGGCTCTGTTTCTTGGAACCTTAAAATAGACAAAAATGTGTCTTAACAGCACATATTAATGTAACATGAATGTATATAAAGTGATCTGTATTCAGTTTTTGAATTTTTTATTGTAAATTCTGATCAACATTGTTTGGTGAAATACTTGAATAGTCCAAACTTAACAGCAGTCGTATATGCCTGATTAGTCTATTCTGCACATTTTTTTTTTTTTTATTATTATGATTTTATTGTTTGTGAATCAGCCATAACTACTTACTTCTGCATTGTCTTGTAGATGCTTTTCTTTGTCCATTACAAATGGCACCTGAAACTGTAGAATACACAACTCGTGTACTGATTTTAACATGTTTATTATATCTTAAATATTGGATATTTTCCCGGCAAGATATACAACATCTATATTGACTGAAATGGACCAATATCGTATTTTAATGTGATTTTAATTTCGAATTTTATGAAAAATGTTGAGTTACAGGTTTAGTTCTTTTAAATAGTTTGATCCAATCAGTATTTTATATATATATATTGTTGTAGGAAACAAGCATTAGTACGACTTGGTGAAACTCATACTATTTGTGATAAAACACAGAAAGATCAACAGAAATCTTCAGGTAAATAATTTACTCTCTCAATTTGGTATGACATATATAGATCTAATTTTTATGATTCCAAATTAAAAATTTTTACAATTTACACTGCACTTTTTCTACTAGGGCTGTCCCATATTTCATGATAAAACTGCTTTATAATAAAACATTTATAAGACTATAATTATTTGTATAGACTTACCTTGAGATATTTATATATTTAGCCCTTTTTTTGTTTTAATTTAATTACAGACGTCTGTTTGCCTCCAGTAATGATGCGTGGTAGATATAATATACCAGGGGAAATACGAGGCTTTGTTCCAGCTATTAACTTACCATTAAAAACAGTCTACATGAATCCATTTCCCAGTCCGATGGATCTTTATGATGCCAGATTCCAGGAACCTATTTTAATCACTTTGAAATCAGAGCAGAAATTCTTTGTTCAATCAAATTCTGTTGTGCCCTTAGCATGTCCTGTGGCACCAAGTAGTTAAATTCGTAACAATTGTTAATTTCAAACTGTATAAGATATAATTGAAGGAGATGTTTTGTAACTATTAAAATTATGAAACTTTTATACATAAAATAATCAGTGATACAAAGAAATGGTACTCCTCAACGTCTACTTTGTTTATAAAGGTCATCTTATTTAAAAATTGTAAATACGTGGCAGAAGTGTTGTGAATTAAAACTAAAATGCATTAAAGGTATTTTATAATTATAAATAGTAAATATTTCAACTGTTTTGTTAGGTGACTCATTTCTTGTTTAGAGGTGAAATTGTCTGTGATATTTATATAGAAACAGTTTGAAAGATTGGGTAATTAAAAGTTGTAAAATTGTAAATAATAATATTTATTATATTAGAAATAATTGCAAGATGATGTTATTTAAGCGGGTAAAATTGTAAATAGACCTAATATTTTATGTTAGAAATAGATAACAAATTATAAAATTGTAAATGGTATTTTTGGACAAACATCTCCAATATAAACAATTATTTTACAGTTTGAACAAGAACAACAATAAACCGACAGGGCATTGTAAACTTGGTATTAAATTAAGATAAGAGTAAAATCCTTAAAAAACTATGTCGGGGGGAAAAAAAAAATTAAAATAGTGTGATTAAAGGAACTTTATTAAGGCTCTATTTACCTTAGAAATTGCAGTAATTGAGAAAAATCTGTTTTATTGTGCACTTAATGCCTTTAATGTAAAGTGTTTACTGTAGGTATTGCCAACAATAGAGGCTGGAGGCTAGCATAAGTAGATAGTATTTACCTATGGAGTTACCAGAGTGACATGATGTGAATGTAGATGTTAACCATCATTTCTACTATTATTACTCTCTCTTTCTTAAACCAGATCCTTATTGTTAGTGATGAGAAAGAGGATGAGAAAATAGGCTGATTTTGACCAATAGTTTCACAGCTTGTTTAGTTTACATCTTCTATTCAGGATATTACTAAGATACAGTAAATCAGATGACTATATTTCGTGATAAGAAATATAAAAGGATCTAATTTTGGTTATATAAAGGGATCTAATTTTGGATGTATAAATAAACTAATTTGATAAATCAAGATACCAAATATATGTGCGCTATATTATTCTTGTGTATATATAACAATTCTTTAACAGCATTACTTATGTTATTTTCTGTGATAAATAGTTTATTTATATTTGATCTGTGATAATTGTTACATACCATATCAGCATTTTATGTTTATGTAATTGTGATACAGTATGTATAATGAAGGAGGCTTTAATTATCTAATAAAAAAAAAACTTCTATAGAATTCTCAATAGAATATTGGTCAGATCAGCTCTTTAGAGTGCTTGTCCTTCTTTCACCAAGTCATCAGTAGGACCATCCCCAGACAGTAAGATCTACTGCAGACCACTTTGTACCTTCACAATCACAACCAATATACATGTAATGTTTTTAAACCCGGATGTAACAGTTAGGCAATTTCAAGTATGTCAGGATACCATATTGAAATTATAAGGACACTGTTTTCAGCTTCATGGTTTTTCTTCATATCCATGTCTTTATTAGACAATAATAATACTTTTAAAAGTGTCCCTTTTGTTCTTTTACGGTCAGTTTTTCTAAGGTGCATGTTCTCGACTCACACAAGTGCAAGAATGGCTCCAATTTGTAGGTTTTTTCATTGTTTTCAAGGGCTAAATTACTATAATAGATTTGTGGTTGGAATAGTAGTTACTTCTCTGTTAGATTGACTACAGCAATACAAGGTTTCAGTATTTCCCAAAGTTCTCTCTTGGTTGCTTAGCCACCGAAAACTTAATATTGCAAAGAACCAATTAATATAAATACAGTAAATGCCCCCTTATATATAGCCTTTAAACTTTAAGAGGCAGCAAATTTCATCTTGTGTCATGATCAACAAGAATTCGGTTAATTTATTCGTCCCTAAAAATATGAAACAATTAGGCACCCCCTCCCCCTTTAAAAAAAAAACCAAAAAAAAACCAAACAGTAAGGTTCAGATCGAAAAATGTTATATTCTTACCCAATAGAAATTGTCAGGTCTCCAGGATTAGAATAATGTTGTTAATTCACGCCATTGTCAGAACTGATAGTGGTATGTTTGATTATGGCTAGAAGTTGTGTATTGTTTGTTTATATTAGTCGTGTTTACAATCTCTTGTCACGTATGGGTCAACTTAATCCATTGCCTTCTATCAAACATTGTCAATTAAGGAATAAATGACCTATGTCGTCGAATCATCAGATGATAAGTTTTCTACACGATAGGAGAATAAAAGCATGAATTATGGTTTTAACATTGAACTAAAGTTGTCGATAGAAGACAAACTAGATGAGCACGTGTCTGTTCCTCGTAATATGCTAGTCCTTTCTCGGTAATTAAAGCCTTTCGGTATGTGGGGTTGCTGAACGCGCCCCATAAAGAAACAATCTGATTAAAACACAGATCCTATTTCGTTTCGTTTTTTATAGTTCAAAATTTCGTTGTACTTGTCTTTACTACACTAGGATCTGGAAGAGTTGTTATTACCGGCGTTTTGGTTGAAGTGAGGGATAAGCCATTGAAACAGTCTGTTACGGCGACTGCTTGGCGTGCCATGCCCGTACTGCGGCTAAACCACTAGAAATGCCAACGCTGATTGATTAATCAATGTCTGATGTCATAGGGTCAAAAGCCGCTAGTACGATCCCTGCCACGACTTTCGAGTACAACTTGTCAGATCTTCATGGACCCAGACTAGCAATTATTTGCCTATTGACTTCAATGTTAAATGGCTGTAACATCACAGGCTGTAGCTTTTTGCTCAACATTCCGTTGGTTCCAATCTTTAATCAAATTGGCAGTTTTTCATTTAAACTAAGCGTAAAAATACGATTGCAGCAATATACGATTTTAAAAGTGAGTTGTGACCCTTTAAAGGGCCAATCTCGATTATATTTTGAAGAATAAACTGCCCAATTTTGTGTTAAAAGCCCTTACAATCCCATACCTTAGTGCCGAGCAACTAACTAAATACGTGATAACGTTTCCAAACAATTTAAACCCGACAGTCTTCATCTGGTAATGGAGACCAGTGCCCCAATATTATACGATGTCTGGATAAAACCAGGCTTTTATTCTATAAAAATAACGTGTAGGTGAAATTTACCTTTCGTTATCAAGTACAGCACGGGAACGGCAATAAATTGGAAGGTCACCTAACGAAACTAATGACCCGAAATTTTAAAAGGGTTACGTGTCCGGATAAGCGGTTTCGACGTTCACGTCCAAAAGACTCAATATTTTGAGCTTAAATTTTGAGACAAGGTAGGCTAAATACACCATTCCTCTATATTTTGGCGCTTAAATTTCATACATTTTCATACTTTTATTTCTGAAACTTTGTTAAAATCGGAATGGTCCCTTTAAATAAAATTGCACCCATCTGAGTTCAAAAAGTTAAACATACATTATGCAAGAGCTAAATCTGCCTATTGCAGGTCTTTCTTTAGGCCTGAAATGTTATCTAAATTATTAATAAGACAATAATTAACTTATTCAGACCATAATCAACTCTCGGTGCCATCGCTAGCCTGTGATATTTACTGGATTT